ACCGCTTCCTGTTCCGCATTGGTGCCCAGGATAACGCCATCGTCTTCCCTCACACTGCAAACTACTCTAGCAACCTGCTGACCAAGGCCGATGACGGTACGATCACGATCAAGCACACTTCCGCTGGAGCCAGCAAGTTCCGTTACTCCACCAACTTCGAGTCGTCTTGGAGTGACTGGGCCGACTACGAGACTTCCACCAAGGTCGTCAAGCAGTCCTGGAACGGTACTAAGGACCAAGAATGGGAGGGCGAGCACGTGATCGTTCAGTACTACAGCAAGCTCCTCGGCTCCAGCGCGTACAAGGTGCACGCCGATATTGACTACGACATCCCCCGTCGCATCCCGCACATGTTCGCTGTGGGCAAGTTCAACCAGTTCGGCTACGACAGCGGTCTCCTCAAGAACATGAAGCACCAGAGCGAGTCGGAGTGGACCTGGCATTACATGGACGAGTGGCCAAACTACTTCAAGATGAGCATCTGGGGTATGAACCCGGACAAGATGCCCGATCAGTCTTTTGTCTACGGTGACGTCGACGGAGACAACGTCGTTGAGCGTCTCCCGCCTTCGTCCTTGTACGAGAACGCCGTCAACATCACTGGCCACCCTCCTACGCCGTACCTTGCTTACAAGGTCGTCCTCAACGATGCCACTTTCCAGTACCAGCTCATTCCCCAGGGTAACATGTGGATCCAGTTCTTTCTCTGGCTGTTCCTCTTCATCGTCCCCGTCCTCACCGGTCTCGCCGCCGTCCAGGCCTTCAAGCGCTCCTTCTACAAGGTCAAGTTCAACGAGCACGGTGTCCACGACCAGTCCAAGTTCAACATGATGATCCAAAAGACCCGCAATGTCTTCATGGGCGCCGCCGGTGCGATCCCCCTCAGCATGCGCAGCTCGACCGACCTCGTCACCGCCGCCGCCGCCGCTACCGCAGGCAACAAGCGCAAGACGGTGCTGATCGCGACCATGGAGTACAACATTGACGACTGGAACCTCAAGATCAAGATCGGTGGTCTGGGTGTCATGGCCCAGTTGATGGGTAAGGCCCTCAAGCACCAGAACCTCGTGTGGGTTGTGCCCTGCGTCGGTGATATCGAGTACCCCATCGATCAGATCGCGCCGAGCATGTACGTCAAGATTATGGACCAGGAGTACGAGATTAAGGTGCAGTACCACATTGTGGACAACATCACCTACGTTCTGCTCGATGCGCCTGTCTTCAGGAAGCAGACCAAGTCTGAGCCTTACCCCCCGCGTATGGACGACTTGGAGTCTGCTATCTACTACTCTGCCTGGTAAGTTTTCGTCATGATATCTCTCCTGCCTAGACGACTGTATGCTAACAAGCCTTGAAGGAACCAATGTATCGCCGAGACCTGCAACCGTTTCCCCGTCGACATGTACCACATCAACGATTACCACGGTTCCATTGCTCCTCTCTACCTGTTGCCCAAGACCATTCCCGTTGCCCTTTCGCTTCACAACGCAGAGTTCCAGGGTCTCTGGCCCATGCGTACCCCCGAGGAGAGCGCCGAAGTGTGCAAGGCTTACAACTTGGATATCGAGATTGTCAAGAAATACGTCCAATACGGTTCAGGTAAGACAATACGCTCCTTTAGAAAACTCCACGTCCAGCTGCTGACGACTATCCAGTCTTCAACCTTCTTCACGCCGGTGCCTCGTATCTCCGCGTCCACCAGAACGGATTCGGTGCTGTCGGTGTCTCCCGCAAGTACGGTGATCGTTCATTCGCTCGTTATCCCATTTTCTGGGGTCTCAACAAGGTCGGCCAGCTGCCCAACCCCGATCCTACCGATACCGCCGACTGGGACAAGAACGACTTCATGAACCAGCCCAAGATCGAGGTCGACCCGGCCTACGAGGCCGGCCGTGGTGAGTTGAGACGCCAGGCCCAGGAGTGGGCTGGTCTCAACGTGGACCCCGAAGCCGAGCTCTTCGTCTTCGTCGGACGTTGGTCCCTGCAAAAGGGTGTCGACCTCATCGCCGATATCTTCCCCTGGGTTCTCGACAACTACCCCAAGGCGCAGCTCATCACCATTGGCCCCATGATTGATCTTTACGGACGCTTCGCTGCTCTCAAGCTCGCCAAGCTCATGGAACTCTACCCCGGACGTGTCTTTTCCAAGCCCGAATTCACTGCTCTCCCGCCTTACATCTTCAGCGGTGCCGAGTTTGCCCTGATTCCCTCCAGAGACGAGCCTTTCGGTTTGGTCGCCGTCGAGTTCGGTAGAAAGGGTGCCTTGGGTGTCGGTGCCCGCGTCGGTGGTCTCGGTCAAATGCCCGGTTGGTGGTACACGGTCGAATCAACCAAGGCCGCCCATCTTACCAAGCAGTTCAAGCACGCCATCAAGGATGCTCTCGCCACGGATACCAAGACCAGAGCCATGATGCGTGCCTGGTCCGCTAAGCAACGTTTCCCCGTCGCCGAGTGGCTCGAGAAGCTCGAGAAGCTCCAGCAGGGTTGTATCAGCGCTCACGCCAAGTATGGTAAGAAGGGTCTCAAAAAGGGCAACGTCCTCGTCAAGAAGACTCGCCCCGGTTCCATCCAGGAGCCTCTCCGCGGTGAAGTCGAACTTGTCGACCGTTCCCCCGCGTGGATGCGCCAGGTTTCCGACTACGATGATGATGGCACTACCCTCCACACCGGTCGCACTACTCCCGCCGGCATGCAGACTCCCGTTGGCATGCAGACTCCCATGATGTACACCAGCACTCCCGGATCGCCTTCCATGTCACCGTCTCCCGCTTATGTCGACTCCCCGTACGGTTCTCGCGCCAACTCCCCTGGGCCTTTCGGCAGACAGATGGAACACGGTCGCAACATCTCCGATACTCACAGCCGCAACTTCTCTCTTCCTGGACAAGGTGGCCAGGATGGAGTTCACAGCCGCAATGTTTCTGGCTTCTCCATGGCCGATACTCTGCCTCTCCCGCCCCCGGGTGGTGGTCTCGGCATGCAACAGGACAACTCTTCGAGAGCCTCCATGCTTAGTGTTGAGGATGTCGTTGGTGACAGACATGATTACAAGCTCCAGCAGGTCGATCCCTTCTTCACTGACTCCAAGGGTGAATTCTACGAGCACTTTGAGGAGAAGCTCAAGGCCCTCAACGCCGGCAACTCCATCTCTGAGCTCTGCATTGAGGACTACCTCATCAAGTCCGAGAAGGAATGGTTTGACATGTACCTCGACGCCAGACTGGGTCGCTCCGCCTCTCCCTCGTCGGCCAGAGGACAGTCCAGATCCAGAGCCTCCTCGCCCAACGCTTCCCGCCTGAGTCTCGGCATGTTCAAGAACAAGTCGTCTTCCAAGTTGAGCTTGCCTCTCGAGCGTGGTCGCGCCAGAAAGTCCGGATTGATGAACAGCATGGCCGCCGATGATCCGAACGGCGCCTACGACAGCAGAACACCCCCCGACTCGCCCGGCTCTTACAACGCGCAGTTCGACCTTCCCGAGGACTACGTCGCGCCCACCGGTATCAGGAAGTGGCTTCAATACCGCGTCGGCGATTGGCCCGTCTACGCGATGCTCCTGGCCCTCAACCAGGTCATCGCCACCAACTCCTACCAGGTGACCCTTCTCACCGGTGAAGTTGGCCAGACCGCCGAGAAGCTCTACATCATCGCGACCATCTACCTCGTCTCGTCCGTCTTCTGGTACGTCTTGTCGCGCACCATGCCTCTGCTCTACCCGCTCTCAGCACCCTACGCCGTCTATGGTATCGCCTTCCTCGTCCTCGGCTGCTCTCCTTTCGCCGGCGACAACAACACAATGGTCTGGCTCCAGAACGCCGCCACCGGTCTTTACGCCTTTGCTTCCTCCTCCGGATCGCTCGCCTTCGCCTTCAACTTCGGTACCGATGGTGGTTCTACAGTTCCCAAATGGATCCAGCGTCTTGCCATCATCCAAGGTCTCACCCAGCTCTACACCCTTGGTCTCTGGGCCTGGGGTAGCTTGGTCTCCGAGGCCGAGGCCAACAGCGTCGCCAAGCCCACTCTCGCCGGCAAGCCCGCTCTCCTGGGCATCTGCCTTCCCGTCGCCATCCTCCTCTGGGCCATCGGCGCCATCCTGTACCTCGGCCTGCCAGACTTCTACCGCCAGACCCCCGGCCCCATCCCCCAGCTCTGGAAGACGCTCATGAAGCGCAAGACCATCGCCTGGTACCTCATGGCCGTCTGCATCCAGAACTACTTCCTCAGCACCCTCTTCGGACGCAACTGGTTCTTCCTCTTCGCGTCCCAGCACGTGCCCGTCTGGAGCATGGTCATCCTCGCCCTCTTCTTCTTCATCATCGTCTGGGCCCTCGTCCTCTGGGGTCTGGCCAAGGCCAGCGAGAGCCATCCCTGGCTGTTCCCCATGTTCGCCGTCGGTCTCGGCGCCCCGCGCTGGGCCCAGATCTGGTGGGGTACCTCCCGCATCGGTCTCTGGATGCCGTGGGCCGGAAGTGCCGTCGCCGGTGCCGTTCTCAGCCGTGTCCTCTGGCTGTGGCTCGGCGTCCTCGACGGTCTCCAGGGTGCGGGTATCGGTATGATTCTCATGCTGACGCTTACCCGTGTGCATGTCGCGGCGGCCTGTGTCGCCGCCCAGGTTCTGGGTTCCATCTTTACTATGTTGGCCCGCGCCACCGCGCCTAACAACGTCGGTCCGGGTCCTGTTTTCCCTGATATTAGCGAAGGATTGGGCGTCGCATTTGCCAACGCCTGGTTCTGGGTTGTGCTTTTGCTCAACCTGTTTATCTGCATTGGTTACTTCAAGTTCTTCAGAAAGGAGCAAGTTAGCAAGCCTTAAAAAGAAATAGGCTATGACATGTTTGGGTTAGATAAGGATAGAATTTTCTTTCATTTTTCTTGAGTAGACATGAACCTCAGTAATGACCAAACTACTATGTTAATAGAGTTAATGACTTGTTATTCTATTGTCGCCATTGAATCCCTCCGTGATAAGTTCTTCATACTCTGTGCTGGATGGCATCTCAACAGGGCCTCAGCCATGGCTACCACGATTTCCTTACGAAAACATATCAAGGCCGGACGGCGTCGATTGATGGTAAGCCGATGAAGGCAAAGGGCAAGGATATGAGCCCCGTCGATTGGTAACAGTCATCAACGGCATCCGCGCCGCCCGGCCTACCGTGCCGGAGGGTCGACTATTATATGCAAGGGTAGGCTTGGTCCATACGGAAACGCCAACGGTCTTTTGACAACACGGTCTTCCACTCGCACAAGTAGTATCATCATTGCCGCAAACGTGCCGGATCATCGGTGCTTTCAGTGGCTCTCTCATCTAGAGCAATCTATGTTAGAAGTTTAAGCTTCCAAAAACACAGGCGCGGTGGGCGACCAAATCTCGTATCGAGTCATGCTAACCCACTGCACTTCATGGTGTAATTTGACACCCGCTCAGATGATAGTAGCTCTGGAGACTACTGACTCGTTTCCACATCTCACACAAGGTCGAAGCTATATCAATTCAGTCTCGGTCTCTTCTGCCCCAGGAGACTTTTAAGCTATTGAAGGCTTGAAGCTAAAGTTCAACAACTCTATCCTCATTACGAGCTTATCATTGCGGCCATCGAAAGTCAAAATGAAGTTATCGCTCCTAGCTACAATCGCGGCAGTTGCCATTACCTCTACGGAGGCATGCGCCAAGTACAAGACTTGCTGGTAAATAGACTCCATCATCATCCCTACAAAGCTCCAAGCGCCCTGTACTGACTTTGTGCTACAAAAAGGTGCGAGAGAAGCAACTTCATGTACGAGGGCAGACTGCAGGATAACATCCCCTGGGACGAAGACACAGTCAAGGCCTGCGTGGACCCCGGAAAAGTAGGATACTATGGGCAGAACTTTAAGGAGTGCCACCGATACAAGAAGTCGTTCTTCGCTTTCATTCCCTCCAAGGCCATCAACAACTGCGATTGGACCAAGGTTAGTTGACACGGAGATCTTGGAGGATACAAAGTCACTGACCAATTCCACACAGAAATGCCAATCAGTCGGTGCTACGACCGGATACTGCCGCGAGAAGATTTAGATACCCCGAAGTTCGAGAAAGCCTTACGCTATTTAATGTTTACTACAATTTAACTTCTTAACCGATTCGGTTTTCTAGTGCAACTTTCACACAGCATACAGGTTGGTCAGGAATGGCACAGATCGAGGTTGCGGGTCAATAGTCGTGAAATTCTATCGCACCTCCTTGCTGTAGTCGGGTCAAAGATATCGGTCATGCAACAATATGAACACTTAGTTCTAGTTCTTTGAGATCTCAAGAAACTCGGCAATGCTTAATCCTGCACCTTAGTTACTCCACCGAGCTCCTGCAGCGCGTCAAAGCTACCGTGCAGCTCATCGGCAACGGTTGGGGCGTCCCTCCAAAGTCCAGATGAGAACCACCCCCATAGATCGAAACTTCTTCTTTCGCGACCGCAACTGTGTCATCACTCATCGAAACATACGAGAAAGACCCCTCAACCAACACTACTCGGCCTCCGAACCAGTAGGAGGGACAGGCATAACCTCCTTGAGCTTCTCCCCGCCAAAGACAGGCATCTCCGCCGCAGTAAGCACAACAAACAACCTCGCCACCTCTGTCTCGCTCACATTCCTCCACCCGTGCATCGTGCCCCTCTGCACATAGACATCTCCCTTCTTGAGGATAGCCGTCTCCCCGCTGTCCAGGACCAGCTCCAGTTCCCCCTCGACAAGCACGCCCGTGTCCAGGGTTTCGGTCCGATGCATCGGCGCGCCGGGCCCACCGGGGAGGAAATCAACGACGCGGGCGGCGAGGCCTCCGGGGATGTCGATGCCGATTTCGAGGGGTGGCTTCAAGGTGAGGTGGGTCTTGTAAGCGTTCAGATCGGCGTCTTCGGGGAGCGGAGCGGGGAGGGAGGGGGAGGAGTAGGCCAGATAGAGGTCTGTTCCCGGGACGGATCCTTTGGGGAGTTCAGGGGCGAGGTCGGTGGTGAGGATCGCTTGGCCTGCGGCGTGGTGAGTTGTGACTATGCGCCGGGGTGCCGGGAGGGGCTTGTATGATGGTGTTTGACTGGACATTTTGAGAACCACAAGTAAGATCGCAGGCTTGAAGGTTTGGTCAATAGTGAGATGAAACTGCGATGTAATCGTCTAGATGGAAATCTGAGTCTTGCCAGAAAGCGTCTTGTCAGCTCGCTTATATACCTACTTAGATAAGTAGGTAGATCTGTTGCTTACTGGCCTTCCTCACTGGCAACTGTTCAGAAAACGACGTAATCGGTCGGCCGAGGAATACTTCCAAAGACCGAGGCACCGTCAGAAAACATGCCTGAAGCGAACCCCTCAATCCAGGATCGATACACCATCTTGCAGAATCTCCGGCCGAACCTAGCGACGGACCTACATCTCATTCGTTGTTGAGATTCCCAAGGATCGCTTCTCATCCTCTTCTCCAAGCAAAGTACGGCTGAGGATTTGTGCGGGGAACCTTGATTCGTCGCGTGTGCCCGACGAGGTGGTTGAAACGGCCCGAGATGGGATGGGAGACGTCAGCTTACCTCATGGCAAAGATCACTTCGCATTTTGCAGGCTGAGAAGAGCTGAGACGATGGTCAGCGGGAAAGATTGCGTGGTTCTGACCAGAGGAGGGAAAAGCATTTGCAATGCTGCAGAGCATAATCAGGCGTTTAAGTTTCTTTTCACCTCAGCCCTGCTATTCCGCCCGAATCTCTTTGGGATGCAAATCAGGATCCCCTTTGAAGATCTAACGATCAAATCTGCCGCATTTAGCATTGAACCGCTTGATGTCAATCTCCACTGGGGCGCTTCTAACCGCAGCCGCCGGATTGCTCCTGCTCTGTAGAGCGGGAACGCGAGCTTACACCCCGGGATGTAAGGTACGAGGACCAGTTGGGAGATATCTTGGAAGGCAAAGTCTCTTCGAAAGTCTTTCATAGGCTCGATCAAGTTCCGAGAAGGTACTTCTCAAGTTCCTCAACTCACGAGGCACTTTGAACTAGGAAGATAGGCCCACGGTCTCAGCTATTGCCTGCTTACATGCCTGCGAACCTGGCAGACACGCTTACATCCAATCCACTACACCAGACCACACCTAGAGCATTATATGATGCCTCCATGATGGATGAAAAGACGACGTGGCCTTTCGAGGGGCTCACAAGCCGCTGTTCTCTAGATTCTTGGAACTTATAAGCGTTTCTTAGTTATTCTTGGCGCGCTAGCCATAGTCTTAAGTATCAATTTCATATTCTGCCCCAAATCCTTCCAGCACATGGGAAGCGCATTGAGGAATCCTACACACCACAATGAACCCCAGACCTCATCGTCCCAACGCGGCAGAGAGCTACCGGAAGAGTTGCGACAACTGCGCCGATTCCAAAGTACATTGCGGAAAGGGGCAACTATGGTGTCAACGATGCATCCCACGGGGCCAAGCCTGCAGCTATAGTCCATCACAACAGACAAGAAAGCGGACTGACTATGCGGCAAATTCCGAACCCGAAGAACGCAATACAACTCTTTCACTCACTAATAACGAAAGCACTGCTCTTCAGACGCCAGGTGACGGCGGCCTGGGTTCGTATACTGATATCGTGGAGTTGTTGACCAGGGGCAGCAGCGCCGAGTTATTGACACCCGAAAACGCAGACTCGTCGTAGATTTCGGGGAAAGAAGAATCCCGAGGACCCTCGTCCAGAGTACAGTGATAACGACCCTCGCGAGATGAGATGGCTCTTGGAGAAAGGAACCAGTCTTTGGCCGAATGGGTGGGAGGCTTAACTTGGGGGCGAAGAAGATACCGTTGTCCATCGTATCTCGGGGGCGAATCATTTCACGATGTTGAAGAGAGGCCGGAATGCAGGCCTAATTGCTGAGTTTCTTGCCAGAGCTTTTGTCGACTTGAGTGAGCAAAATGTAGACTGAACGGTTGTCGCTTTTTGTCATCCTGCTTGGGAATTCGTTGCATCACAGAAATCTACGAAACTTAACTTTCTCAACCCGCCCTCCGTCTATGACCCTACAGTGGACTTGATGTTTTAATAGCATGAACCGAAATAAGACGAAAATTTGATCAAACACTTTGCTTTTGTAGCTATTCATACTGGGGATGGAGGCAGCTGTGCCCCTAATCATGTACTTCATCAAATATCAACTTGAACACACCACCCCGGCCTCGTCTTTTCATCTCTTCGTCTCCTTCTTTTTACTTCAACAAGTGCCCACCAGAAACGACACCCTCAGGCTTCTTCCAATGCACCGGCACCCCGCCCCAACTCTCCTCAGCATACTGCTGCTGCACCTTCTTACACGTCCTCAACCCCCACTCGGTAACGCCCACCATGGCACAGCTCTCAAACATGAAGGCGCAGCTGCCCTCGCCCACCTTAGCAGGCTTCAGCTCGGCGTTCCTCGCGCCCTCTCCGCTCTCGGCGTCGGGGCCGTGGCCAGACATGGTATTGTGCAGACTCGCGCCTCCGGGGACGAACCCGCCCTTGCCGCCGCGCTTGGCGTCGTAACCGCCCGTGATGAGGCCCATGAACTCGGACATCGTGTTGCGGTGGTAGTATGGGGGACGGAAGGTATCTTCGGCGACGAGCCAGCGCGGGGGGAAGATTACGAAATCGGCAATGGCGGTGCCGGGGACGCCGCTTGGGGCCGAGAGGACGGTGAAGATGGAGGGGTCCGGGTGGTCGTAGGAGATTGTGCCGATGGTGTTGAAGCGGCCCAGGTCGTATTTGTAGGGGTAGTAGTTGCCGTGCCAGGCGACCACGTCAAAGGGCGTGTGAGGCTGCTTGGCGGAAAAATAGTCATTGTTGAACTTGACCGTGATGGTGTAGTTATTCTCGCCCTCGTGCGCCGTGGCGCCAAAGTCCTCGTCGAAGCAGGCGACGGGCACCTGGAAGTCGCGCGCGTTGGCGAGACCGTTTGTGCCGATGGGCCCCAGCTCGGGGAGGGTGAAGTGACCCTGGTAGAGCTCGAGGGCGTAGCCGCGGGCCGGGCCGGAGGGGAGGTGGACCTGGTATTTCACGCCGCGGGGGATGACGGCGATCTCGAGGGGCCGGACGAGGAGCCAGCCGTGTTCTGTGCGGATGTCGAGGGTGCCCTCTTGCGGGACGATGAGGAGGTCGCCGTCTGCCGAGTAGAACGCCGCCTTGGAGTCCATGCTGCGGCCTGCGGCGTAGACGTACATGCCGATGCCTTGCTTCAGGGTTGGGTCGCCCGCGCCTGCGACGAGGCGCATGCCGGCGACAAAGTCCCATTCCTTGGACTCGTCATGGTCAAAGGGGTCCCAACGGAGCTGATTGGGGATGTATTGAAGCGCAGAGGGCTGGGCACGGGTCTCTGGAGACGGAGCTGTTGTCGGAGCGTACGGGTGGTGAGCGCAGGAGGGGAGGATGCGGTAGAGCCAGGCTTGTTTGCTGTCGTGGCGGGGTGCCGTGAAGGAGGTTCCGGAGAGCTTTTCGGCGTAGAGGCCGTGGGGGGCCTTTTGTGGGGCGTTTTGGCCGATGGGAAGGGAGTCGGGGACGGCTTCGGATCTGGGGAGTAGAGAAGGTGGAGATGTTAGCATATTCCGGGGAAAAGATTGTGGGGGAGAGAGGGATGAGTGGTAACCTAAGACGGGAAATTGGGAAAGTGAGGGTTTAACGTACTCTAGATGTGAATCGAAGCCGACCTGGTAGCGGTACTTCTCCTTGAAATCAAACGTTGTGACGGGCATTGCTACGGGTTCTTGTTTGAGAGGGCAAGGCTATTAAGATGGGTGAAGTCGCAAGCTTTGGTGATGTTGATGGTTTGCACAAAAGGCCGATTGATGAAGGAGATAAGAAAACTGTGATACACCAATGTTTCCTTCGAGGATACACGTCGTTCAAATATCACCGCGTTCTCCCCGCCTCCTCCCCCGCGGACCTTTTCTGGATGACGTTTGGGTGAAATGCCATCCAATTCCTCCCAAAGCCGGGCGGGCAGCTTGTGTGCGCCGGTATCATATTCCGCGTTTGTGTGAGAGGGAAAGGTGCGGCAAGACGCGGCGTCTGCCGATGTTAGCCGGGGTCCGTGCTTTGCTCCCCAAGGTAGGTACGAACCTTGGACCTCCCAATTCCGATTTCCGACAGGCTTACTCAGGATACCTTGGGTACCGTCAGATGTGCTTTTGAAGGAAGATACCCCCGGCCGTTGGTTCCGCTCAATCGTGCGATTCTCAAGAGCTTGCATCGGAGGCCAATCGTTTTGAGCATTGCTGGGGATGGTTCATTCACATCCTCACTGGAGAGGATATTTCATCAAGCGGGGAGTTGGCCATCATCTTCCGTGTTAAAAAGCATTCAATAGAGAGCCGTTGACGTATTAACAAAGTTAGCTGTGAAGCATAGCGCTGCCATGTTAGTGCACTATGGAATTACCCCGCCATCCATACCCCGCGAACAAGTGAGAGGTCTTCCCTTGATTGTTTGACGGATTCTTTAGCATTAATATCCTCATCTTGTGCCTGAAGGGTCCTTGGTAGTGATTCAAGCTGTAAGCCAACATTAGTCTACCATGATACAAATCATTCTCCAGTCAGGATCTTCCAGGCGTGTGGGCTTTCACGTGGAATCCACGGTAAGCCGCTACGGAGCTGCGGCGTGCAGGACCCTTGCTCCCCGGAGAGTGGGTCACGATAGATGCAGGCCAGCCGCAATGGACTGTCACTCATATCCACTCACTCGAACTACACACTTCTCTCGGCTGAGCGTCATTTTCTATTCGGACTCGGATCTTGAAAGTGTTCATAATCACTCGTTATTCTCACATTCAAATGAATGAACAGGTGGAAGGCCAACGAGTCAATTGAACTGGGTACCCAAGCTATCACCGCCAGACACCCCGCTCGATCGAGCGTCAACTCCATAATCCTCTTAACTATACATCTCGAAGCATCAAGCTCCAGAGCAGAGACCCGTACCCATTGACAATCATCCGACGATATCTATCGCAATATCCCATTGCGCCAAGTCGCCTATTGAGCCAAAGCGAAGCAAGCAGTTTTACCAGGAAGTATTGGACATGATACGAAGAAGCAGAGCCAGGGCAGTTTACTCCTCGCCCTCGTTCTTCTTGTTCTTCTTCTTCTTGCCACCGCCGCCGCCGCCGATCTTCTCAATTGCGGGGTTCTTCTGGAGGTGAACAACCAGGCGCGTCCAGCACTCCTCCTTGTCCCATTCAAAGCCTGCCAGGTACGGGTTGTCGAGCTCATCGTCAGACTGAGCACCCTTGTTAGCAGGGGTCTTTTGTACCAAGGGACTCTACAATTGTGTACTTACTCTTTTTTTGTATGCCTTGTGGATGGCGTCCAGGGCGTCCTTTATTGTTACTCCCTTGAGGTTGCGTGCTGTTACTTCCATGCCAAGAGGGAAGTGCAGGTCAATCTTCTTGACTGGGGGCTTTGACAGGTGCAGCTTGAGGATTTCCTTGTCCTCAACTTGCGATGATGAAGTGTTGATCTTCCTGTTGGGGGTCAGCCTGTGTTATCTGATGTATAGCGACAGCAGCCATCAGAGAGTCCAGAGTAGGCAACGTAGCTAATCATGTGTGCTGAATAGATGTCAACTTACCATCCTGTCCGTTGTGTTTCCGGTGCGAGCTCAAGCTCAATCTTTTGTTCCTCTGTTGTGTTGTTAGTCGTGTCCCGAAGTAGCCGAGTCAAGGGTCAAGTCAAGTGCGGGGTTGAGGCAGTGACGTACCAAGGTCCTTGATGTTGTACACACCAGGTGCAGCGGCGGAGGATTGGCGGCGAGTCTTGGACTCCTTGGGTGGTGATTGAGAGAGACCCTCGACAGCTGAGTCGACCTTGGTGAGCGGTTCCGTCATGATGGCAATTGTTTTGTGTGAAGTGTTTGATCAAAGGTGATCGTGTTGTGTAGTAATCTGGATGGCATGTTAGCTAGGGGAGCTTCCCATGATGCCAACCCGAGCTGAAGCTCAAGCTCAAGCTCCAGCCCAAGAGCTTCTCCAAGCTTCAAGCTCCGAGGCCCAGGAACAGGAGCTCTCGTACTTCTCTCAATGGATGACGATTTGGAAGGAAAGGGGTAAAGGGGTAGCTACCTTTGTTGAACAGGTGATGTGTGGTTGTGAGATGGATGGTTGGAGGAGAAGTGGGATGAGGAGGGGATTAAGAAGGGCAGAGAAGGAGGGGGCAGGAGCGGAGGTAGATGGATGTCGATCCGGTCGGGCGCCTGACCTGGCGTGCGGGCCTGAGGTAAGGAGAGGAGAGGGGAGACGAGGGAAAGAGAGGGGTCCGTCAAAAGTGAAGTATCGAGAAGAGGTATCTGATGTTACGATGTGCAGAGTGAGGCGTGGGAGGATACTTGGAGATGTACATTGGATTGGGGGTGTACTCGTACGTATTAGACGAAAAAGTGGTGCTTGGGGTCCTGGGAGTGGTCGGTTTTGTCGGACCAGAGCTGGAGCTGAGCAAGCCGTAGGTACTTACTTACCTGACTGAGGAAAGAAGCAGCAAGCTCCCTGCATTGGCCTTGGAGTGGTAGCCATTCCATTGTCGATGCATTACGGTTTCGTCAGACCGGGCGGGGTAACTGCCCATCAATGGCGTCGCCAGACGATCGCGTGACATGGAAGCTCATGAGATGCGCGCAGGCCTGCGACTTGCTGCGAGGGAGCACGGCGAGGAACGGGCGGCAGGTGACGGGTGGTCCGGGCTGGGAGCAGGTGCAGCGCAGGGACCAGGGGGCAGACCTGAGCTGACAGGGAAAGAGAGAACCACAACCCACAGGAGCTCCTTCTCTTTGCTCTCTCTGCGACCCTGGCACTCCTGGATGCCTTCCTCCGTGAGCTCATATGAGGTTATTCTGGAAGGTACCACTTCCATGCTGAGGAAAGTACACGCAATGTTCTCTTGCCTTGCCTTGACTCTTTACCTATCAAAACCCCCCGCTTTCTCCTTCTCTTCCACTGCCTTCACTCCTACTTCTAGGAAATGGTACCTAATTACCTGACTGGGTGAGCAAGATGGTCCGACTGCTTTGGTTGGCTGATTGTCCGAAACGGGCATGGCGCGGCCCAGGTCGAACAACCACTGGAGGGGACTTCCTGACAGATCGGCTTTAGTGCGGTCTCCGAAGTGCAAAGTCTGGGGTAAAAAGTCTGGGGAAAGGGCCAAAATAGAGAGCTTGAAGCTGCAGTCTGACGGTCCAGCGACGGTCGGGCCCACTCCTCCCGTCTCATCCAAAGCAAGCTACCTACCTACATGCAGCGATGAAGATGGGTGCCATCAGGAGGAGAGTGCGAGCGTGTGTGTGTGTGTGAGGGTATGTGTGGGAGGAGAGCATCTTGAGATCATCTTGATGCTTCTTTCTGGCAAGAGAGATTCTACGCAAGATCTCCAGCCTTGAAAGCAGGCACACATCCAGGGTCAGGAACAGGCGGAACAGGGACACAAGCGCAGCTCGGCGTTTGTACGGAGCACAGCAGCAGTAAGACCACCGTCTCCGACCCGTCGCTGCAAAAATGAGCCAAGCGAACCGGTTTCCCGTGGTGGGTCTCGCCGTTCAGTGTACGCAGTATGGATACGGTGGTACCACAAAACAGCCCATCCCTCACCTGATTCATCACCCCCCAACCTGCCGACACCAAGACAGCACGGCAGCAACCAGAAAGAGCGTTCGAGAGTAAATTGGGAAAATGGTTCGCTAGTGACACCCAAGACAGCCATTACCGATGGGCGATGACAGACGGCAACTGAGACGAGTGAGGTGATTTGCTGGTCTCGTGAATATGCTTTGATGGGGCTTCTGCTAGCAACGAATCGACGGCCTGCCCTCAACCGCCAGAGTTTGACCATTTCCTCACTGTGACACGGTGACACAGCTCACACCACCCTCCCCGTGCTTCGTCTTGGCCCCTTTGCTCCCCCTTCTCGAGGATCCCACCTTCAATATAAGCCATGCGGATCCCGACATATGCTCTTTTCCCACTGACTTCTGGAAACATTTCTTCTCATTCACGGATTGCACCCTGTCTGCGTTGATTCAGTGTTCTGTCCTGCTTCGAGCTTTTGTCCATCGTTGTTCTGTTTCCTTTCTCCAGAGCATCCCACCATGACCTGCTCCATGTCTTTCTCTATCTATACCTGCTTTTCTCAATAGCCAACTCTGGCAAAGTCACAGACACATTGCGCGTATATCAACCCCAACTGCAGCTAGGCGAAGCAACATTACAGTAGCAGCATGTCGTCACGTTCCCCACATTCTCGCGCCAGCTTAGCGTCTCACTTCATCTCGTCTCGCATGCTTCACACGTCCACGTTCACGCCCGCATCGTTTCTGTCTCTCTTTCAGTTTCTCGCTCGCTCTCTCTAAGTCACGTTTCCACGTCCTGCCGGCATTCCTCGTTCCCCGCTTTCGCTTCCGCCCGTCGTGAAGACCCCACAACCCCAAGCGCGCTCAGCAAGACCATGTCCATCTCCGTACGCCCCCGTCACCTGTTCGATCAGAAACGCCGTCCTACGCCACTGCCCAGATATCGCTCGGAACAGCACTTTGAAGTCCATCGCCAATGTGAAAATACCTAAACGTACTGCAATGCACTATTTGACTACTTCGCGACCTCGCCCTTGGATGATCCGGTGAGTATGGAAGATTCCCCTCCGCTGATGCTTCAGTTGGACCATTCGCCGTCCCGAAGACGTCGACTATCCCGAGCATGATGCGAGCATGAACACGATGCACTAGCGGCACGGCAAGCCCACAACGCCAATGACGGATGTCCCGGCCATTTTCTCTCCCCCACCTAGGTACTTTACCTTACGGATAGTCGCCAGCCCGTCCCAGTCCACTCCGATGCGCAGTAGTGATCACCCGCCACCTCACTCGCCCTCCCGGCGTTCACCGTTTGAACAAGATACGGACAGCGTTTGAGATGAGGAGGTGTGAAAAGAATGAATGAGAGTGTATGTGAAGAACATTTGGCTCCTTGTAATAATTGTACTAACGGATATGTAGTAATTCGAAGCAAGATGAGCATGGGGGTTTCAGCCTTTGTATCTAGAGTCTAGACAGCATGCGCCGACCTTTCGGAATTCGACAATGATACATCTTCCCCACCCAGACAACTACATCGAAACGTCGACATCGCCAAGCGACGAGTCGCCCTTTACATACGAACGACAGACGACATGAAAACACGACATAAAAACAATATATTGCATGGGCATAAATGGTTGGGGACGAAGCACGAACGCTTGACGGACTCATTGCTCAAAGCTTGAGCTTGGAGCCGCGGCGATAAAGTGCCCTGGGCTTGATGAGCGGAGGGATACATGAGCAGATGGTTTGGAAAGATGGAGCTTGTAGTGCTTGGGTCATTCAGAGCCCGGAGCCAGCGTCTTTGCTTGAACCGATAACAAGCCTTATCTTATCACAATCAAATCAACCCCGCCATCTCCCTTATCACATCTTAGTCATCAGTGACGGGTACGACTTTATGCCCCTCGTACCCCTCTAATGCCAAGTGAGCAATCCATCCGTGCCGTCCAGTGTCCCAATTCCTGCCACGGAACCCCGCCCCGGGCGTTTGCTTTGCTTGACGTGAACTTTGTCCCCGAACAACACTCGCTGCAACCAATCACTTTCTCCCTCGGCTGCCACCACCGTCCGCAACCATCCAATCGCACTTTTCCTGCGCTCCGTCTCTGGATCCCACCTACGGACCAGGTCCGCCATCTTATATCGGACCGCACTCGGCCAACCGCCCGTCGTTGCCATGTCATTTGTTACCGTCGCGGCGGCGACCCTGCCTAGTGTCCCCTTGGACTTCAAGGGAAACCGTGACAGGATCTTGGAGTCCATTCGCATCGCCAAGGCTCAGGGTGCCACGCTCAGAACCGGACCAGAGTTGGAGATTCCTGGCTATGGCTGTCTTGACCATCACCTTGAAGGTACTTACATCCAAAACCTTGGCGAGCGTTGCGAGAAGTTATCTATAGAGATGAGCATGGGCTAACATCCCGCCAGGTGATACCTTCCTCCACAGCTGGGAAGTCCTTGCTGAGATCATCAGCGATCCCATCTGTAAAGATATGCTGATTGATCTTGGTATGGGATGCCGCCATCGCAACGTCCGTTATAACTGCCGCGTCCTCTGCACATACAAGCACATCTATCTCATCAGGCCAAAGGTAAGCTTTCCATCTCAACCCTCCTTTTTGGGAACCCAAGCTGGACTCACACCAACAAGCAAAGCCTGGCCAACGATGGCCTTTACCGCGAAGCACGGCACTTCACGGCATGGACGAAGCTCCGGGAGGTCGAGACCTACTACCTAGAAGCCGTGGCCGCTGCGGTCACCGGGCAAAAGACGGTCCCCATCGGTGACTTGATCCTCAGCACGCTCGACACTGCCGTGAGTTGTGAAACCTGCGAGGAAATGTTCTCGCCCCTAAACCCATCGACGTTTCTCGGCCTCAATGGCGCCGAAATCATCCTCAACAGCAGTGCCAGTCATGCCGAGCTGCGAAAGCTAAAGACACGACTCGATCTGATTTCGAATTCGACGCGAAAACTTGGTGGCATCTATGTATATGCCAACGCGACCGGCGTCGACGGTGAGGCGCGCATGCTGGTATGTATTCACTAACTGGCCACCAAATTCTTTCAAATAGGTTCCAGCAGCTGACTCGAAGTCCAGTTCGACGGATCAAGCATGGTGCTCGCCAATGGCAAGGTCTTTGCACAATCCTCTCAATTCTCTTTGAAGCCGGTTGAAGTAATCACTGCCACCATTTCTGTGGAAGAGGTCAGAAGCTATCGCTCTAGCATCTCACGAAATGTGCAGGCTGCTGCCCAGCCCGACTTCCCTAGAGTCGACTGCGATCTGCGACTGACGAGGCCCGCCGACGAAGTGTATCTATCGGATCACCTGCAAATCGCAAAGGAGATCGAGCTTAAGATTCTCGACCCCATGGAAGAAATTGCCCTGGCTCAAGCGGTCTTCCTCTGGCAGTACCTCTGCCGCACAAATTCCCCTGGCTACTTCCTCGCCTTGAGTGGAGGTCTGGACTCCTCGACGGTCGCGCTCTTCGTCTACAGCATGGCTAAACTCGTGCTTCAGTCCATTGAAGCCGGGGAGATGTCGACGTTGGATGATTTGAGACGCATCACTGGTGACAAGACGTTCATGCCTGAGACACCACAGGAAGTTGTATCGCGCCTGCTGCACTCGTGCTACATGGGGACTGTCAATTCAGGAGACGATACTCGGACAAGAGCCCGCCGCCTCGCAGAGGTCCTCGGGGCTTACCACTCTGATATCTCAATCGATGAAGCGGTTCAAGCTCATGAGGCTATTATCGAGAAGACGCTTAACTTTAAACCCCGTTATGGTGTCGAAGGTGGCAGTCCCGCTGAAAATGTGAGTAACCCTCCCGGCAAGATGTACGAGGTTCTAACAGTGGATCTAGCTTGCGCGCCAAAACATTCAGGCGAGAAACCGCCTCGTTGTTCAGTACGAGCTGGCACAGCTATCAACAACTGCAAGACAACTCCCAAGAGCCGGCGCAGCGCTTCTTGTCTTGGGAAGTGGCAATGTCGACGAGAACCTGCGTGGCTACTACACCAAATAGTAAGTCTCGAACCCCACGCGCATGTGCATACGGCACATCAAGCTTACCAATGCCAGCGACGCATCGTCCGCAGATATCGCGCCGCTAGGAAGTATCTCCAAAACGGACGCCAAGAACTTCCAAGCTTGGGCCAGGGATCAGTGGGACTTGCCCATCATGTCCGAATTCCTCGAGGCTACGCCGTCGGCGGAGCTTCTTCCTCTCTCTGCCGGAGTCCAAGATGACGAGGCAGATACCGAGATGGGCCTGGCCTACAGGTAAAGACACCAGACGTTTCCTGCCATGGCTCCAAACACTGACCATTTTCGCAGCGAACTCTCCGAATTCGGTATCTTGAGAAAAGTACACAAGCTCGGCCCGTGGTCGACATATCTCCGTCTCCTCGGAGACTGGAAAGAGAGGCCCGGCTACGGTCCCCGCGAGATTGGCGAGCGCGTCAAGAGGTTCTTCCGCTTCTACTCGATGAACCGCCACAAGGCCGTCATCCTCACGCCCTCGCCGCATCTCTCGGCGTACAACCCCGACGACAACCGCCACGACCTCCGTCCGTTCCTGTACGTCGTCAACTGGCCCTGGCAGTTTTCCAAGATTGATGCGCATGTCGAGGAGCTTGAGAAGAAGATTGCGGATAGGGCGAGGCCGGCGGACGTCCAGTACGACGCGCTCGACTAGGAGACGAGACGCGAGTTGCTGGATGATGCTCATAGACGGATGGCGGGCTGAGAAAGTGAGGTTTGGTAGATTACCGTGGAACAATAAACTCCCAAGCAAGTTAACCAGAAGAAGAAAACATCAATTCTACAAGTTACTCACTCAATCACGTTAGAGTTCGTGACACAGGCGGGTGCCTTATCACTTTCCTTGGGGGTTCCAAGCTGTGAAGGCGAGGCTAGATGTCTCGTCTGGAACTGATGAGAGGCGATGGATTTAGCCCTGGTATTTTGTGTCATCTGCACCGTCGACTCTGGTCTAGGGATTGCGCTTCAATGCGCCATATGTTCTACGAAATCCCAAGTCAAGCAACCGCTTGACTGCCCGATTACATCCAGCCAGGCCTTGATACATTGATGACTGAGACTCGTTGCATTGAGTATGTATACATGTGATAACTACGATTTGCAATGCCATCCGAACGACCGATCCATCGTAATCACGCAACACTTCCGTGATCTAGCTCTTCAAGTTCTCGCAGGGCTCAGCGTGTGTCTAGCCCTTCTTCGTCTTTCCACCAGACGCAGTTACCGGCTCCCCGACACTAGCAGCATTGCCTTTCACGTCATCCCCTGAGGCCGAAACCTCGGTCTTCCGCGGGAGAATAGTAACCAGCATAGGCCACCATGGCTCAGAGCCCTCATCCGTACTCCACGTAGAGACAGACACCCCAAGTTGAGCATCGTAGAAATACACAGATTGTAACTCCTCATTGATAGCTTCAGCCCGATCCGCATGGCCAACGAGATCAGCCATTCGAAATCTCGTAAGCGGACCGAGTTCGCGCGCCCCGACCGCGAGATGCGCCGTCCATCCGCCACATGATTTGCCAGACAAAATGTACCGACGGGTTTGGACCCAGTCATTGGCTTGAAGATTACCGGGACACTGTTTGAACGTGATACAGCCGGATTAGGGCTGAACGTTGTCTTCCGAGATGATGAGGCCTTTTTGCAGGACTTGCTTGAGATCTTTGGCTTTGATGTAGAGTGCAGCCTCCCATTCTATCTTCGAAAGAATCGTCTCTCCTGGATTGGAGATGTAAATGAACAGGATATTGCAATCAACATTTTTGGTGGCGTTTTCTGTCGTGATCTTGCGCGGTTGGCGATTGCGCGGCTGGCGGCTGAAGATGACACCCATCATGACGGAGCGGAGCCCGTCTTTTGTAGCGATCTTGTTGTACTGCAATGCTTGTATTTTGTTGATTTGAGACAGATGTATGGAGTTGATGTAGATGAAAGGTGCGAAGTCAAGCGTCGAAGATTAAAGAAAGGGGCAGAAAGGTTCGTAACTCAGGCTTTGCCGTGCCATGGGGGAGGGGAGGTGCGCACGACAGAGGCCGTCCTTCCTACTTGCCAGATATTGCTAAATTGGGCAGTAGCCCCCCGGGTAGATACCACTTCGTGTACACATTGCGATATTCATGGTGACTTGACGGCAAGTGCGCCCCTACCTCTTCTATCTTAGCCTGTTATGCTTGCAGAGCGGCTTTTCTTGGATAGAGCAGCGATTCCAACAAAGATCTCAAAGACCAGAGGAAACCCATCACTAGCGATCAAAGAGAGTAGAAGGGGCACTTTGGCATACGGGACAACTGGCGACACGAAAGGCTACTCAACCAGCAAACTGGCACCTTTGGGTCACAACTCCCCATGAAGCAGTAGAATATGCCCCTGTCCAGAACGCCCCCTTCCCGGCTAAGTTTGTTGCAGTCTTGAGACAAACTGGCAAAGCCACTCAAGAATGAGACTTCCGTTGACTTGCTGACCAGATTCCTTACAGGCGTGTCCCTCGTTATCAAAGGGGGTCACGTATATAGGATCCTGCCTAACATGAAGGTGTTTTGTTTCTTTTGGTCGTCCTTGACTAAGGCAGTAATACACTTTTGGGGAATCTTGTTTCCTATGTCCTCCACACATTTATCAACCAGGCACTGCTCACTGGACCTGAAGCAGCCATCCATCGCCCTCCTTGCCCAGCGCACTGACGCCGCCCCAGAAGACGACACTCTTTCCATCCGCTGCGTCTGCGCCAAAGTATCCCCGTGGTCCGGGGTGCGCCTTTCCCTCCGTCTTGACTTCCTCTGTCGGAATGAGCTCCACCTCTGCCCAGCTGAACTCGCCAGAACTAACACGGGGCAGCTTGTCACGAATCGCATCCTTCACAGCAGCCGCGTTGAAGCCGTGAGTGGGTAGCTGAAGAGCCCAAATGTCAGTGTAGAAGTCCTTATCGGCTGAAGTGCTGTTCTCGCCAAACATATAGACGAGGTAGTGTCGGCCAACACCAGTGTCTACTGGCACTAGCGCGCCGCCTTCGCGGGGGCGGGGACCCGGGGTGAGTGGGTTAGTAGGGAAGTTGACAGTCTTCCACTGAAGAGCGTCGGGCTTCTCGCGGTCCTCGGCGTTTGACTTGAGGTCCATGTAGTGGATAGCACCGCTCATGTTAGAGTCAGCCCCAATGGTATAAAGAACGTTATCCACGAATGCGGCCGCGAGAGGAGGCTGAGGAGAAGGCGGTAGTGCTGTCCAGGCGAGAGTATCAAAGTTGTACATCCAAGTCTCGGTAGATGCCTCCTGTCCTGGTGCAGTCCGTCCTCCGTGGAGAACCAGGAAGTCCTGGGTCTGCTCGACAAAGATGTGGTGGTCGAATCTCGGCGTGATGGTCTTGCCAATCTGGCTTGCTCCTTGGATCTTGGTCCACTTCAAACTCTCAGAGTCCCATAGCCAGAGACAAGTCTCGTCGATGGGCTTTCCGCTAGCATCAGCACCGCCATTGACGATCACGAACTGGCCGCGGGCTGCCGCCGCATGTCTTGAACGCGGGGAAGGGACGTAGGTCTTGCCGGTCTCTGCATCCTGCATTGCGAATGCCGGATAGCAAGCATAGGCTGCAACTGGCTCACCCTTGGTCATGGCCGGCAAGGAGAGGACATGAAAGTCAGTAGAAGCTAGCTCGCCCTCTGCTGTCTCGCCGCCGAAGATGCATGCCTTGTGGTTGACGACAGTGACTGAGTGGTGAGAACGTGCAAGAGCGCTATTCAAATATTAGAGTTAACTTCCCTAGAAAAAAAGGGATCTGACTTACGACGTGTCGAAAGCGGGGGACTGGGTGGTGGCGACCTGGGACAGTGACACCTTCAGAGGCTGGGTTGGGCGTGCCACGGCGACGGCAGCTCCAGCCTCAATGCCAGTGGAAACGACCTGCTCAGCTACGACAGCGCCTGCCGCGATTTCTGCCATGGTGATTGTGGTGTGTGCTTGGTGTCGAGAGATAGAGACAAGGATTTTAATGTGATCGGTAGCAGGAAATGAGCGGCAATAGCCTGCTTGCTTCCCGTGGTGTGTGATCTCGCGAGTGGTGTTCTGAGGTGTGTTGTATGAGGGAGAAGGTATCATGAAGTGCCGCACTCAACAAATCTGACAGTTGAGGCTGGATTGGTTGTGCTGCAGCAATATCGGCTGCGAGGTGATTGTCAGGAACAACTGGGGAACGTTGAATGACGTAGTTACCTTACTTGAGGTCCCTGCCTTCTGTGTACGGTATGACGTCACGTGTTCTCGTCTGATCGTCCCTTCCGTTCTAAAATAGGGTTCCCAAAATTATTCGACAAACAGAATTATTACGGAATTGGTGCAGGGACGAATAGAGTATCTCCGGCATAGAGAAAGGACGAACATGGAGGACCTTCCCGCCCCGGCCCGACGCGTCCTGTTCCTGCGAGTCAGTCGCCCAACTGGCAGGAGCCAGACAACCTTCATTCAAATGAGGAGGAGTTCACATATTGATGAATTAGTCCGAGGGAATGAGTTTAATGAAGCATAAGATGATGCATACATGGATCCTAGCGGAAGCAGCTCTCAGGCGAGGCCCCGACGCATGTCACCTCAGATTCCCGGCGCCGGCTCCCGAAGGCCACTTCGGCGAGGTGGAGCCTGGCGGCTTGGGTAACCAGAGCCGTAATTCCGGACCTTTCAACCCACCCTACAAAATCAGCGCTGAAGCTCTCGATTATCATCAGCAGACAGGAACCACCAAGTATGTCACCAGCAGACAATCAGGAGTTGTAGCACTGTACCCCGCCCCAAGCACCGTTCCTGTGCGGAAATACTCGTCATACAACGGACAATACTGCAAGACCGTCGCATTGAAGTACCCCTGCGTGCATGCCAACTCCTTGAATCCACCAACATATCGCCCCGACGGAGGCTGCATCGTGCAATAGACATAGTCAAACCCGACGTCCTCGCCATTATGACCTCTGCGCGCCTGGATCCATCCACGGGGCAGGATGTGCATCAGCTCGAAGTCATTATAGTCATCGCTGGCGAAGAAGTGATCGTCATAGGATGTTTGCGTGACGATTCGGCCTTTGCTATCGAGGGTGAAGATGCTGGCGGTGCCTTTGTCCGGAGTATATTGCGGCTCGAACAAAACGCCATTCTCTGTGAACAATTCGAACTGCGGATTCGCGAGCACGTATCTGCCGTTGTACACCGGGACCGGTGTTGGGACCGGTGCAACGGTTGCTAGGAGGTAGAAAGAAGCGTCGCTGAATGAAGGGGTGCATTTGATCTTTCGCGTATGGGTCGCAATTTCTGCTTGCTAAAATGTCCCGAACTCAAGATCAGAGACGACCATAAGGCGACAACGCAGGGGACTTTGTGATTCGCGACTTACCGTGACAGTGCTAGTCAGAAGTGACACTTCGGTTGTAATGATCGGATAGTATTCGATATTGGTATACGTAATGAAAGAAGTTGTTACCTAAGGTAGTGATCAGACTCACGTCAATATTGGTCTGGTCAACAGGCCTCAGGGAGGATTTCCGGGTTAAGAAACCTACGACCCATGAGATCTCAGTCTCAACACTCTTAATGGTTTTGCGACTATCCTTGGTAATAGGTCCTGGACACGTGTAAAGACACGAGCAGGCGCTCTTCTGAACTGCAGACGGGCACACTGAAGTAACTGCTCTGTCTTCAAGGTGATTCGTGGCCTTTCGCCGTTTCTTCGTCTTTGCTGTTGTAACTTCGAATCGCCTACAACAGTCAGTCAAGAGCACACACCTCATTGTCATCTGTATGGCCTACTCGACTGTCCATGTTGGCCTCACAGTCTCAGTTGCTATGTAAATGTAGGTTGACTCCTGTAACAATGGAACTCGTGTCAGCTTCCTGAAGTTCTTGATGGCGCAATGTGGAACATGACAACGCATACTGTGTAAGAGAACGTGGAGGTTGTAGTTGTTTCGGTGCCCTATCAATCACGAACATGCGTCAGTTTGATACGCAACCCTAGAGTCCATGATACCTACTATTTCTTCAAGAGTGTACGTAGATGTCTGCGTTTTGGTTGTCGTCGTTGAGACAGTGCCGACCAGAGTCGTGCTTGTGGGCAGAGGGCATTCCAAGACTGAAGAGCAAAATTTCGACGCGGACGCTGTGCGACTGATGAGTGATGTGACCGAGGATACGCAGGAGGCAACGCTAGGAACTGCTGTGCAAGACGATGCTGACTGCGCGTACACGATTGGAACTGTTCGCAGCAGCAGCAAAAGTACTGCACCTGCGATGCTCGGAAGCCTCATCATTTTAGAATCGACCTATGGTTGTGTTCTTTGTAAAATGCTCAAGAGTTTCACCTGTGGAAGAGCCGATTTATATGAGATCCGACATGGAAAACCATCCTCCCACTTATTGTCAATTCTGAATTGCCCTTCCAACTTCCCACATTCAGCCTACCGCCACAATCATAAGCTCAACGCCTCACCAATGAAACCGACGGTCAAGTAACATTAGTCTCTGGCACATCGCCGCGTATATTGCAATGCACTTCACGCACCAGGTCAGCCGCAGCCTAGCGTCGGGGATAAGTATTTTGAGACTAGCAATTGATTTCAAGGGAGAATGAACTGTTGTTAGTGCGCCTTCGATAAGACAAATGCCTGTGGTCTTGACGACAGCTCTTTTGATGTCACGACTTCTCATTCCTGAAACCTAGAACACCCTTCCTACATAACAGATGTAATACCAGACGGAAGCCTGTTTTCATCTAAGGACAGTCACGTCCAGGCCAAGTTGTGGCTTTCAATCGATCATCACGCTTCATGCGGGGAAAGAAAATTCAAAATCTAGCTCTCGATTTTAATGCATATCCTGTGCTGGGTATCCGTCGTTCTTCAACTCAAGACTGGTTCAAATTTCTAATGCTTGACAGTTTGGATCAGGTGTCGATACCGCAAACTTGCTTTAGGCATGTAAGCAAAATCATGTCGCAGTAATCGAATGGAGTCGAGTGTACTCACAGATCTACGAGCTCTGAAGTCCGTGTAGAAGCTAAGCCACAGCTTTCGTGCAGTACAATCCTCATTCCCATCTTTGACCACGCAGTCAGGTTGCCTCTCCTTGATCAGACTATCAGAGGATTTCAACCAGGGTTTGTGCATAGGCCAGTCAGAGAAGTGAAGATATTTGGCCTCATTGTAGACAGTTACCGCATCCCAAACCTCGTTGCTGTTGCCGAGATAGTAGTCTTGGTGATCGCCGCCAAAAGAGCGAGTCAACAGCGCATATGGCCGGTGAGGGAGAATCATGGCGCTGTCTTTGTACAGGTCGTTGATGATTTCCATGTCATACTCTTCTTTCCCGGCGTGGTCCACCTTTTCCACTATCCGGGCAAACTCAGCAACGCTGGGCTGCACGAGCATGATGTGCGAAGCAACTATCTTCTTCTCAGGGTAGAGCCAGTAGGCCCGCGGGACGGCGACCGTAGCGGGCGGCGATAGGAATAGCTCATCGATATTCTGTAGCAGTGTGGAATCAGAGTCAATAGAAAGGACTCGATTATACTGGGTCTGGTTGAAGGCTAGGAGCTTGGTGAAAGACTCAGCCCATGTAGCTATTGTAGTTGACCCATTAGTACATCATAGACACAACTGGTGAGGCGCAACCAAGGGACTCAACGCACGATCCGAGCCTTTTCTGTGCTGAACAGTGATGGGAATTAGTTTCACACCATATGTATCCCTCGCATGAATGAGGAGGGAAGCATCTTTGGTATTTCCAGTTGTTGCCAGGGGATCTAGCATTTCGGAAGGGTACAGCAAGATGCGATCAGCTTTGCTTTGCAGGTGCTGCAACCTCTCAAACACCATAACCGAATTGCATAGATATGGTGTGTTGGTGGCATACTGCACATAGGCGAACCGGGACCAGTCTACGTCTGTGTGGCTCTTCGCGCCCTCGACTTGGCCCAACGCCGCCTGGGATGATGACGAGGTCGGGTGCCGGAATCTCGAAACCTGAACAGAGTTGTCGAGAACAAAGACCACCAATAGCGCTCCAATGACTGTCCCCACCAGCCAGCGAAAGCGCTTCGAGGCTATGACCTCGGAAAGACTTGGCCGTTCTGTACGGGAAGACGGATCATTTTCAACCGCGTCGTAATCTAGGCCCTTGTTGCGGTGCCATGATGGAAAGAGACCTTGAACAGCCATTGAGAAAGTAGATGTAGCGAGGAGGGAAGTGGACAAGCAGAGCGGCCAGGCACAACATGTTTTTTCACAGCTGTCAGATTATGCCACCTAACTCTATAAGACGGATCTTTGTGGATACGATTGATCTAACTTTGGTCTAGGACGCCCACGAGATTGCTGGACAAGCTTGCTGTGCCTTTGTGAACCCTGTCGTGTAATAACAAGAGTGGATTCGCACTTCCAACAGGCGCTTAGCTTCAAACGCAAACTATTTACCAAAAGGCTTCTTGCCGGTGGGCGCACTTTCTTGCAGCCAGATCTCTCGAGAAAGTGAGAGTGTCTAGAAAGAAATAAAGAAGAAAATGGAGCGAATTAAAGATGAATGGATCTAGGAGTCTAGAATATTTAGAGAGAAGTGTGAATTCTCAAATGTGGTGGTTTGTTGGGAATCCGTGCTTTGACCGAACGAAGCTGAGGCCCGGTTGTTCCGCAGTCTGGGCAGAATTCTGAGCTGCGAGGAGGTAGAAATAATCCCGACTGCCGACCCCTTGATTCAGTACCTATTAGCAGTTCATGTCCTCTTGGATATAAATAGAAATTCTCCTGGAAGTAAAACAAGCGTGGAAAATGCACTGTTTGCCGCTTGATGCCAGATAGATATGATTCTTGGATATGTGCAACCGACGAACCGCCGCAATCCTGCCTATGAATGCCCAAGGCCCATCTTTCATTGCTGACCTCTGTTCATTTTTGGTTGCTTTGTCTTCTTAAACTCGCACCCTTGGCATCCTAGCTTCTTTGTCTATGTTTTAGGTTCTGACATCCCCTGCTGATTCCTGTTTGGTGAATCTATTTCTATGAATCGCTGGGCCATGGCCCCTAGTTTCGATAACGGCCATCAACCCGCCGCTTGGTCTCCCGGTAATTATCTTTTCTTCTCAAATGTCTAGATTGTTTCGGTATAGGGCCAGTTTACTTCTCCAGTGGCAAGATCTCCTTGGACCTTCTGACCAGACGTTCAGTAGCAAGCCATCGGAACTAATGCCGGCGGGAAGTCGAACATGGCTCGGTATCTGGAACAAACTCTCATTCCATAAGGACTGAGTTTAAAACTTATAAGCTCAACGTTTCCTTCGGATACAATAGTACAAAAGCCGACACATATTTACTTTATATAACAGCATTGGTTGTTCAAAATGGCATCATGTCAAAGTGGTGCTTTGATAACGGAATGCGTACCGTACTGCCACCTAATAATCGAACCCGTCGTCAAATTACGGACTCTACCCTTTCCCTGGTTTCCCGGTGGAACTAGTATACATGATCTGGGGCAACGTTCTAGCGCATTCTGGGGAATATAGGTACTTGCGGCAGTCTCATTGACGGCTTAGCCAGGCTTCAGACCCGAGTAAGTCGTCGCCAAAGTCTGGCTTAGATTGTGGGGGAAAAGACCACCACCTCTGGCAGGAGTAGCAATCTCTTCCCCCCGGCCCATCTAAGCGGCTCAGTCGTAATAATGCTGAGGATATATGATGTACTCAATTCGCGGATTTCGTCATTCCATTTAATCAGGACACTTCAACACTGCTGCTTGTCGGACGGACTAATTATTCACTTCATATGCCTCCAACAGGCAAAAGTCGGTCCCGGATGATTCGACTCGGGCTAATTCCACGGACTGATTAATTGCGACTGCTGTTTTTTCTTCAAGTGTATGCCGCATAGCTTACCTACAAATGATTTCCTTTTCAAACCAACTATCATCGAAGAACAGTCCTACCCTTTTTACTTACCGACCACCATTTCTAAGATGGTGCTGACAGCGCCCATCGACACTCGGGTTTCGGCCCCAATGCAGCTTATTGTCGTTATCGCCAGCTACGTCATCTGGGCCGTCTTACTCATTTACGGACTTTTCCTCCAGAAGAAGGAAAATACGTGGTTTTATATCATTATTGCGCTGGCCGCGGGTCTAGGCGGTATATTTGAGCCAATCTACGACAATGCGCTGATGCTCTACTTCTACGGCCCCGGCCAGTGGACAGCTTTCACCTCGATGGGCGTACCGCAGCCCGTATGGGTTTATAGCGGCTACGCGACTCTCTACGGCACCGTCTCCGTCTTTCTCAATCGCCAAATCACCAGCGGCATCACACGTCGATGTTTCTTTCGATACGCCGTCATAGAGTTCGCCAGCTCATGTCTCTTCGAGATCGTCGTTATCAACGGTGGTGTGTACGAGTATTGGGGTCCGCATGTGCTCCGCATCTTCAAATATCCCATTGTTATTGGCATTCTAGAGACCGTTCAGGTCATGTTCTACAGTGTCGCCGTCGCCAACCTGCGTGCCAGGAGCGATCGTACGGTATACCATCTCATTGGCGCATTACTTATATTTCCGATAACTTTCATGGCCGCAAACATCGGCGTTGGTGCGCCTCTTATCATCAGTCTCCATTCTTCTATTCAATCTGAGGCCTTGGTCACCTTGGGGACGATGGCGTCCATTCTGGGCTCCGTGGTCGCCATCATGGCTCTCCCAACCATGATCCCTGGAATTGAGGAGGAAGTGAGACTACCGATGCACTCTTCGAGTTCTTAGCAGATCAGATCGTGTCAGAGTTGAAGGACAGCCACAACCGACGGAAGTTTTCGATTAATTATGGGCCGCTGCCGTTGTGTTATTCAAATGCAGACAGATCACTCATTCACCGTAAGAGCGGTTTATATAATGCATGAAGATCAGATTTAAAGAATAGTGTGTAAGGTATGTTTTTGGCTTTGCAGCTGTTTCTGGTCTACCGTGGCGCCCCGAACGTTGAATAAACAAAAATAGTTCAGATGCTAACAAACATCTCTTCTGAGCGTTGAGTTTGATGATGTTATTGACTAATGTGGCGGCCAATTGAAGAAGTCTGCAATGACAACGTTCACCCCTTTGTCTCCCCTTCAGATTTTCTACAATGAACGGGCTGATGATATGCCGAAGCTCAAAAATCTGCGGGGATGACCGTAAAAAGATGTCTCGTACGGATTCACTACGAGTTGACTAGTTAGCATACACCGGTTGTACGATGGGAAAGAAAGGCATACGTATGAATACTGTTTATCTACAGTTATTCCCAGTGCGGCAGAAGCCACAGCAACGCTGACCGGTGACTTTGCTAATGCAACATTGGCGGGCATTCAGCTCGCCGCTCGAGAACGGGTGCTCACCGAGCGGAGTGGCGGCGGCAATGGCGGCGAATGCAGCAACTAAGACAAATTTGAATTGCATGATGATGGTGCTGCGGCAGTAATGGGCTAACGAATGATGATGTTGGTTGAGATTGATGTATAGCGAGGAGAGTCTGTTGATGGTTGTAGCGTACTCATATATATATACCCAAAACGATTAGGTTGGTGTTCTAGAGATGCGGCAGTGTGTTCTAAACTAAGACAAAGTCTCTCTGATTGCCTTACTCCGTATAACCTCGCCAAAAGTCTCAACGTACCCTTGACCTCTGCTCGAGTTAATTACTTACGTAGGTAAAGTAGGATCAGTCTCAGCGGAGGAATAGTATCCCGTCGGTTGCTGCATGACTCTAACCCGACGGGATGTACAGGGTTGTTGACTTCGTATTTCCCCGGATCTTTGACTTTGAGACCGACAAAAACTTGCCGTGCATGTCTTTGTGAATTATGAGTAAAGAGGCGTCTCATACCCCAGAACACCTCGCTAGGAAATTAGTCCTATAGACTTATCCTGTGCCACTTCAACTGTGCCAATCTACCCTGGATTTTGACCATTGGCGAGGTGGACCGATGCTCATAGAGAACAGATTCAGGATCTCCCTTCTGCAGCTTCAGCAAAAGCAGAATGACATATTCCATCAATTGGGGAGTTGTGCTAAGGGCAAGGTTTGGGGGTTTCTGGTGAAGCCAAAGAGGCTTCTTTACAATTTATTTGACTTTCCGCTCACCGTCGATCCGGAAAGACGGCAAGAGCTATGAAGCCCAAATTCTTGTCATGGCGTGGTTTCAAGTCATGAGATTGAAAGCGGGTTGATTCTAGGGCGGAGATTGTCGATCAGTCAGTATGTTGGAGCCTCCTAACCTGGCAAAGTCTGCGGGCATGACCGGGACGTGCGGCACCGAGATGAATGCACTTTACTAAGGGTAGATGAGGCGATGCCAAAAATCGAACACTTGAAGTTGCTGACTCGTTTCACGAAGATCTCGAAGCCGGTTTATTTATATTCATTTTCTATTGCGTCGCTGAGACCGTAGTACAAATGTCTCATTTTCTCTCTTCTCGGACGATTGTCTTTCCATCGCAAAACGCTGATGGAATAGTTAGCGGTAATGGGCTCTGAGACATGCCGTGAAAAGGGCCGGCTGCTTACGTGGTCCGACGATGACTCCAACACCGGTGAACAGCCACGTAGAGTAAACCAGCGACCTTGGGCGTCATGTATCATAACGGTACTTGCATTTTCGAACCTTCTCCTCGTCGCTCTCTGCGTGTGCCTCCTACTGCGAATAGGTAGCCAACCAGCACCAGAGACTGCAGCACACACCGTTGCAACCTCCGGGCCTTCGTGGCTTCCACCACAAAGTAACGAAACCGCCCATTTCCCTTGCTTGCCTTTTCAGGGAATTATGAAAAACAAAATCACAGACATTTTCTAATATTGGCCGTGCTACAGTACCGATGAAGAAGACGCTCAACTCCGAACCGATATATGGAGGCCCGATGACGAATGAGAGCAAGGACGCTTGGGATGCATTGATGCCGCGTATGTTCCCGACACCTGGTTCTGAGTTGAAAGATCTGACATGTACACCAGACGGTCGTGGGTTTGTTATCATCAAGAATGAGACGGCTGTTCCTGAGATGCCAAAGTTCAATGCGACCATGAGTGAGTACAAGGGAGTAATATCGGTCTTCCACCAGCTCCATTGCGTGGTAAGTTTTCAGCATCCTCTACAATTGCAGTATCTGCCAAGAAAGGCAATCGCTTTCCATTGAATATGCTGAGAAAATGACAACTTCAACAGTGGGCTACTCGGGAGGCCTTCTTTCGGTTACTGCGTGATGGCAATTCGACTGAGATCGACCTTGGACACCTTGGTCATTGTTGGGACTTTGTCAGACAAGCCATTCAGTGTCGTGCTGACACCACCATCGAGTGGCAGGTGTCAGATGAGCTCTCTGGAAGCCTGGGATGGGGCTACCAACATCAGTGCTATGATTATGACGCCCTGCTTGCCTGGGCTGAAGAGCACAGGTGGGGTGATGAACAGAGTATTCACTAAACAGTTCTCTACTACATCAAAACTCCATTATGCCAGGCACGCTTGATGAACTGTCTCATGCTGACATCACATCCCTAAGCCATGGCCTATTGTTCCGTCTTTTCTAGCCGTTGGTCTTGGGTAAATATTTGTACTCGGCACGGGTCAAAGCAGATACGGGATTTAGTCTTTCTCATGCTGTGTCATACTGGTTAGCAGACTTGGAAGGAGTGCTCATGCTCCTCAGAAAGTTAAGTAACAGTCACTGTTCGCCGAGCTGCCACAACAGCTCTCAGTGATTGTTCACAAGGCAAGTGTTAGAATGACCTCACATGAAGTCTAGAGGTGTTGACTAGAGGTTCTATGTCTTTCTGGCGTGCGAAAGTGTTCACCCTGTTGGGGCTGAATGACCTTCGTCCGCTTATCACGGTTCCACCAAGTGACAATTCGGAGGATCGGCCACCATGCTCAATCACTGTAGCCGAATCGAAAGAAGATATGCGTGCGAGTATTGAGATGGAAAATGACGTGTCCGATCCAGACGGGGCGAACTGGGAGTTTGCCGACCGATGCCGGTCGACCTCCGAAATAATCCCCGAAAAGCCATCCGATTCCGGGGCCCAACGACGCCGGGAATACTGCAGGCAGCATATAACCATCAACTTCTAAATCTGGAGGCGCATCCAAGTGCCGACCGACTTCCAGATCTGCGCCGTGTGACAAAAGGCACGGGGACATCACCGCCCGCCCCACAAGGAACGGACTTCGTCCACGGAGCTAATATGGTACTACCTACTTAGTTGTACTCAACCTCCGTTGCTCTTACAAGTCCTTCGTCACAGCCCGACTGAAGCTATTTCATCTCTCAGTCTTCTCCCTGACTCTCTCTGTGTCAAGAAACCATCGGGCTGAACTTCTTCATAGATGCTATTGATTCTCGTCGGGATGACCAGAGTACAAGCCGGCACCGCCCAGATTGCGGGGTCACCAAACACACACTGAGTCGCATCAACAGATTGCGTGCTCAACGCCCAGGATAGCAACATTGCAACCACCATTGCTAATCAAAGCCATTTCTGATGGTCTCTTTGGTGGCCATCCCACCATAAGATCGGTCTTGTTAGATATGAATGGCGTCATTTCCCCCCATTCAGCAACACCCGACTCCTCCATCCTTTCGTCTCAGGAGGTACTGAACGCCAATAACATTGCAATGTTCCATGAACCCAACAGTCGGTACCGCATCGGCTGGTACTACTTGACTATGTCTTGTTAAAAGTCCGAAAGGCAACGCAATCGAACCCTTGTCAGTATGCAATATTTGGGACGATTGCCCCTCATCGGATGTACTCCGACATGGACGGCCTTTTGGAGGGGTAGTCTATATAAGCTCACGGACACGACTTCGAGTCTGTAATCCTGGCCGTGGTAACCTATCCTTGATTCGACATTAAGAAAGGAGAAAAAACATCAGTGGCAATACAATAATTCACAATGGCCCCTTCAGCAACCGCGACAGCGACTGTGACCGACCCGGCCAACCTCCCAGTTAACAATCTCCGCCTGTACGCCGACGGCTCCGGAGACTACAAGGAGCTATCACCCACAACCTACGACAAGGACGCTGAAGCCAAGGGAGGTGACGGTCATCAAGGCGCGAAGGTCAGTACCACCTCAAGGGCCCGTCAAATCATTCTTGATTAGAAGATGAAAGACTGACTTCAGTGACGTAGTACCCTCACTACCTACCGACGTGGAACCCCGAACAACAATACCCTCCCCTGCAGCCTTTCCAGCATGTCGAGCACGGCAGAGACGCAGACCCTAGCTATCCCGATCTTCTTCCCAAGGACGCACAAGTGACCGACCTCACACCCTCAATCGGCACAGAAGTCAGAGGCGTTCAGCTCAGCACACTCAGCAACGCTGGCCGTGATCAACTCGCTCGCTTCGTCGCCGAGCGTAAGGTCGTCGCTTTTCGCGCACAGGACTTCGCCGATCTTCCTATCGACAAGGCCCTCGAGTTCGGCGGGTACTTTGGTCGGCACCACATTCACCCAACTTCAGGATCCCCTGAGAACTTCCCCGAAGTCCACCTTGTCCACCGTGCCGCAGGCGACAGGTCAGCAGAGAAGTTCTTCGCCACCAGAACCAGCTCTATCGCGTGGCACTCTGATGTCTCATACGAGCAGCAGCCCCCTGGCACAACTTTCCTCTACATCCTCGACAAGCCTGAGACAGGAGGTGATACTCTGTTCTGCAATGCCGCTGAGGCTTACAACAGACTGAGCCCGCTCTTCCAGGAGAGACTTCACGGCCTTCAGGCTGTCCACTCTGGTATTGAGCAGGTTGCTGCTTCTGTCAAGAAGGGTAGCATTAAGCGTCGCGAGCCTGTTGCAAACACTCACCCCATCGTCCGCACACACCCTGTCACCGGCGAGAAGGCTTTGTTCATCAACCCTCAATGTGAGTTTGAACATCCCACACCATCTCCACTTGAATACTGACCATCATCCTAGTCACGCGCGAGATCGTTGGCCTCAAGAAGGAAGAGTCCGATGCTCTGCTCAAGTTCCTCTACGAACACATTGCTTGGGGCGCTGACTTCCATGCCCGCGTGAAGTGGGAGGAGGGCACTGTGGTTGTTTGGGATAACCGCGTCACCCAACATTCAGCTCTCATTGACTGGAACAACGGTTCAAGAAGGCACTTGGCTAGAATCACACCACAGGCTGAGCGGCCGTATGAGACGCCCTTCAAGGGTTAGAGCGCTGCAGGGGTGAGGAGTTCTGTGTTGTGTACATCAAAGACCGATGCGGTCGGTAGAGGCGAGTAAGCTTCTGAGAAATAGTCTGGAAAACCGGCCGTGTGAGCCAGGTAGTTACGAAGGAAATGCCAAACTGATGATTGATTATTACGTAGTTTGGACATGAGTCCAACGCAAAGTCAAAATGTAATGATTGACACCGTGTGTGAACACTCACAAAATGTCTTCGTTGCCCATCGCTAGAGTCAGCCGGGGAATGATTCCTGCGGAACATGCCTTACGACTTTGCTGAAGATTATCAGCCAGTTGCCTCAGTTGTGAGAGAAGAAATCTTTTCGTTCACTCCAATCTTGGTCTCGGAAAGACACCGAGTTCCTTTTTGCCGTTACCAACGTTTGAGACTTTTCCTTCATCCTTATCACCGCCAAATAGTACCAGCGGATGATGAGATAGTTCCAGCATCCCAAATAAACGTTAGCTCGATGAATCTGAAGTATGTTTTTCGAGCTATTTTGAATTTGGGGGCATTTTCTGCCCTTGACAAGCCACCGCTGAAGCCTGGAATTGCACCGTCGGACCCAGACCTCTGGGTAAGACAAAGACCTTGCAGCCTTTAATCAAGTATTTACTCGGAGTAGTGAACGATTAAGGCATTGGGTTGTAATAACTCTTGGCGTCAAGTTGCATAGCCGATTTGAAGGGACCGCCGGAGGGGTTGGCAGTTGACGCGGGTTGTTTCTTTTGCTGTTATCTGATTGGCCAATCTCTCACATTTCGGCCCAAGAGTCTGTCGCAATCCCATGGCCCCCATCACGCAATAAATTCTCCAAGCCTTTTTCGTCAACAAACGTGTGGATGCTCATGCCGCTTGAGACACTCAAGGCTCAATAGGGACGGGCATGGATTAACCTCGTTGTCGGACGCACTATCCACATGTGGTGATTGACTCGTCATCTTTGCGGCATTGAGCAGCTCTCCTCAGTCGGCATCTAGACCCTCAGACATCCAACTCCCCAATCACTCCCGGTAGTCCAGACGGGATTCCTTCCGCTTAGCTGAAGCCTCTGTAAAGTAAGCTTGAATCGGCTGTTTGTAGCGCGCTCCATGCCCTTAGGTAAGGGCCGCCGCCCAGCTATCGTCGACGACATTGAACATGGCCGGAGCCACCCCGGATCACACCCCCCACGCTGCCCAGCACAACTCGTTGGACCATTGACATGCGGCGCAATTCAGTCAAGCAATTGCACCATAGATAAGAAGTTCTATTCGCTCAAGGAAGAAAATCGCCCATGAGGTGATTGCCTTGGATCATCGCGACACTGTAAAGGTTTTTTTGTCTCTGGAGAGCCCCTGTCATCTAATGTCGGGAAGGAGGTTTGAGATGGATCTGGTTTGAATACCACTACCAGATTGTCGGGTCCAAGGATGGAATGTATAAAGGTCTTTGCATCTCCGCGGACCGGACCATGCTCCCGGTACCTCTGTGTGGCTAGAGCTCAAAAGACTTCAACAGGACTCTGCATTCAACACGACAATTGGTTTGTCAATTGTTTGCCAGTCACGTCCAGCCATGGCTTCGAAAGCAGTCGAAGGTCCCTTCAGGGATTCGACTAAAGAGGTCAACACCATCCAGACCCAAGCTGCTACCGACACTTCAGCTTCGTCTTTGAAAGAGCAGGTCGCCCAGCAGTACGGGTCCACAGACGAACATGTCTTCTCGGATCCCAGCATCGCCGACCACTGGCGGAAGGTCTACGAAAAGGCTTCATACGAGAACCGCCACCGTTTCGATCCCAACTACACATGGTCGGCCGAGGATGAGAGGAAGTTGGTCAGAAAGGTATACTTTTGTCCACCTGCGCATCGGAGTTGGTCAACACGGACTCAAATGGACGCTAATTCGGCTCGGCGTAGATTGATAGGAAAATCATGGTGTGGGCTTGGGTAAGAACTCCATCCTGTGAGCAGATTGATAGCGGGCCGAAGCTAACGGCATTGAAAGGTCATGTTCTGTGCTCTCGATCTGCACCGGCGAAACATCAATCGTGCAATCTCCGACAACATGGTAAGAAGTGAACGGCGTAAGCTATGGCAGTATTGAAGACGCTAACTCGGACACCAGCTTCCCGAACTCGGTATGACCACCAACGATTTCAACTATGGACAAACTGTTAGTATCCGCATGCGATAAGATATCTTGTGAGGTTCATTGGCTTATGCGTGGTTCAGATCTTTCTTCTATCATTCCTCGCTGCCGAGTTGCCAAGTGGTTTGGTCAGCAAGAAGCTTGGCGCCGATGTTTGGATCCCTTCGATCATGGTTGGCTGGTCGATTACGGCAGGATGCCAGGCTTTCTTGTCAAACCGTGCCGGCTTTTACGCTGTGAAGGCTCTGCTAGGACTCCTCATGGGTGGATTCATCCCGTAAGCTTTAACCTTTCCACATTTGCTTCAAGAGTGCAAGGTACTAACTTAACGCAGTGATATTGTTTTATGGCTCACATACTTCTACAAGTCTAATGAGTTGCCTCTGAGACTCGCATGGTTTTGGACAGCCCTCAGCACTGTCAACATCGTTGGCTCACTCGTCGCCGCTGGTGTACTTCAGATGCGAGGTGTCGCAGGATGGGCCGGTTGGAGATGGCTGTAAGCTTTTGTCGCAATTGGGGCTTTTTGTTCAAAACTGACTTTGGCTAGCTTCCTTATCGAGGGTATCGTAACACTCATCATCGGCCTTTTCTCATGGGGTCTCATGCCGCCTGGTCCTACACAGACCAGGAACTGGTTCCGTGGAAAAGATGGATGGTTCACCGAACACGAAGAGCTGATCATGGTCAACCGTTTGCTGCGGGATGACCCAAGCAAAGGTGACATGCACAACCGGTATGGATACTCGTACTCTACGACTTTACCTGTGGATATCAACTAACTCACTGAGCAGCGAGGCCGTTGGACCGTCTCTTCTGTTCAAGGCGATCAAGGACTGGGAGCAGTGGCCTTTGTATCTGATCGGCCTTACCACCTATATCCCGCCGTCCCCGCCGAGCACATACTTGTCCTACATCCTGCGCCGACTGGGCTTCTCGACGTTCCAGGCCAATCTTCTCGCCATCCCATCACAGTTCCTGTTTGCCGTCAACCTCTTGATTATCTCTTGGGTTTCCGGAAAGTTCAAGGAGCGCGCCATCGTTTCCTCCATCTCAAACATATGGATCTTCCCCTGGCTGGTTGCTCTCGTTGCACTTCCTGCCGATACCAGCACTTGGATCAGATATGCGCTGTTGACGGGCCTGCTGAGTTACCCTTACTGTCACGCGATCTTGGTCGGATGGAATGCCAAAAACAGCAATGCCGTGCGAACAAGAGCTGTTAGTGCCGCACTGTACAACATGTTCGTTCAGGCGGGTAACATCGCGGCTTCAAACATCTACCGTGATGACGACCAGCCTCTGTATCGCCGTGGAAACAAAATTTTGCTCGGGGTCTGCTGTTTCAATATCGTTCTGTTCTATTTTGTCAAGGCCTTCTATATCTGGCGCAACAAGGTTCGCGACAGGCGGTGGAACGCCATGACTAAGGAGCAACAGGAGGACTACTCTATCAACACCACGGACGAGGGACAGCAAAGACTTGACTTCCGTTTTGCGCACTAAGTAGCAATGCCCGTAGTTATTTTGCAATACTGTAAGGGTAGAGTATCTTTAGGGCCGCTGGCTAGAGATAGTCGGGGACAAACTTTGATCTTGCCAGTGGAGACACCGTTCTTCAAGTAGAAGACAAGTCCGCGAAAAGAGCCCTGACCTCAAACATCTCCCCAAGATCTTCCCATACGTAGAAAATTGTATTGTGCGAGTAATCATATCAAATAAGGACTAATCGGAAATGAACGCTACGTAAACGGTGCTTCCATGTTATAGTCTTTTCATTAACCAAGCGTAAGATATAAAGTCGATAAGCTTTTTCTCCTCTCGAAGGCCATGACTGCATCAATACAACTAATGCGCGAGTTATTGATTGGCACAATTGGGCACGCTCAAACAGAACTGGGGGGTCAGCCAAGTGATTAACATAAGGTCTCGCCATAACTCGATGTGTCAGTCAATAGGGCCCGCGAATGACGGCGTCCTCGCAGGCTATGAGGTACACATATGACTGAATAACTCTTTGACGCAATAACAATACTACCATCTGGCGATTTCTTGCTTCTTACAGCATTGAGTGCATTTTACTCACCGTTTACTGTGCTTTTGCTCTTCTAGCTTTCGCCAAGCGCGACGAATCATCATCCAGCTCGGTCGATATGCTGCAGGCATCGCGATCTAATGGCAAATCAAGACTCATTTATCGAGTTTACGAGGCAATTAAAGGCACGAAATATGACTTGTTTACGGCCGCAGCATTTCTCTGTCGAAATCTAGGCTATTGTCATCTACAACCAAGTAGGACCCAGCATCTACGAGTATAGCTCATCCTCACAACTCATCGTCTCAGGATCAGCTTCTATGTGCTGGCCGCAATGCTATCACTCATACTAGATTCGACATGTCTTAGCTGGATGAAGGGCACCATACTGGTCGGTGTCTTCCCATCCACACCTCAGCACGATGCGGGTTCTCTGCACCATTAAAGCCCAAGTCGACGACCACCACATCGAAGTTGTCTTCGACGCCTGCCCAAAGAACCAACCATGGCATAACTTATGAAGCGTAAAGATTACAACTTCTCAAAATAACATTGTGTTTTCTCTAACAAGGTACGATGACCAAGACCAACCTGTCCTCAAAGCGTTAGCCAAACCACCTCACGCATCAATGGTTTCAAGATATAATTAACCCGAAAGTTGAAGCTCTCCGGTCTCATTTCTTGTCAGAGACACGGCCATGAATAGGCTTGAGGTTGGCGCTAGTCCCGTCAACTACGACGATATCGCCTTGTTTAACCCCGTAGTCTACTCCAGATGTCGCCCCTTTGGTGACCGCATCCTGGATTCGAGGTGGCCAGGTTTTCTTCCAAGGTTGGGACTTCGTGGGTTTCGAACAGTTCATCGTAATGGAATGTAGTAATAACTTGATGGTCTGGATTACTGGAAGTTGTATGCTGTTTGATATAACTTAAGTCTTGAAGGGGGCGTTCAGCTCCTTTGATCTCAAGATCATGAGGTGGTCACAGAACCTCAGGAGGCGGTTGCACGTGGCTTTCCAATCGTTGGAGATGGTAAAGTATGTCCAATTTGAAGCTCTGAGTAACGTTGAGACAAGCTTAGTTGTAAGGATGGATGGGATCTATGCGAATTTGGAAATGAAGTGAATCTAGGGAAAAGATTATCTGAGTCAGGCCGCGACTGACGAGAGGGCGGCAAGCGCAATTGAGAGGATATTAAATATTTCACTGGCGTACCACTCGGAAGAGAGTGGCCTGAAGCTTTTTTAACATCCTGCAGGTAATCTCAGGCTAATCTACACCGCTTGGCTCAAACTACTGCTGAGCAGTGATGTGGCGGTCAGAGATAAAGATCCACGGTATCATGGGTGGAAAATTACGTCCAACGAGCAATCACCCGATTGGCAACCCCAGCCATTGACTTAGCTGCGCTCCGTGTATGCAATTGCGTCAAGGAACCCACGATATTATCAACTTCTCATATGTGTGAATTTGTTGAGAACTTACCTGGTACACCAAAAAGCTTGCAACCAAACCGGTCAATCGATCAACGGCCACACTTAGATGTCGTGAGTGAGGTGAATTCCTTCTAAAGACTAAAACTTTCCGGGCACACCCATATTTTGAGCTGAATGAGCCACACTTCGTTATAGCCATCATGACAAAATCCATCCAGAGCGTCGCTATGAGCTAGCACGAGCAGCACACGAAAAGATGGGTTCAGCTACAGATTAACGATCACAGGAACATTTTGGTGTACGTGCTAGGTTGACCGAACGTCGCACATAAGAAACATACGCTGACCTGGTGACCTGCAAGTCTCCTGAGGTTTCGTGGCCATATGCATGTTCTACAAATCAAGAAGCCGCGGAGATGCCGCGGGGGATAATGCGGTGTGTTGTGTCCTCGATTGTCCGAAGTCGGAAGGGTTCGACCGTTCGAGTAAGCACCCATTTCCTCACATGCAATTTCAACATAAATTTGTGACCCCTCCAAAGTTACCGCCGGGGCTAATCAATTTGAGTGTTCGAAGCTGGCCTCTCATGTTCTACGACCTCAATCAAAATGGCATTGCCTTCGCCTTCATGTTTGACGGCGCAACTGCATTTCCTAGCTCGCAACCCAAAATACGAACACGAAAAGCCTTACACGCTTCGATATACCCCAAGCCCCAAAGACGGCCTTTCTCAGAGCAACATTGACCGAGTCCAACATGAAGTCAAGTTCCATGATCTGCGCCTTCGGTCCTTAGATTACAGCGAGTGTGGCTTCACAGTGACCGACTGCTCATCCATCCTGCAGTATGACGACTACGCAGACACAGATAAGATCGAGAAAGCACATGCTCCAGAAGTCATGGTTGCGGTGAGACTGGCTTTAGGAGCAACATCAGTTGACCTACTTGACTACGTGGTCAGTACTCACCTTGAGTCTGGAAAGTTGACAGACTAGTGAAGCAGGCTCTGGCTTACGCCTGCTCATGTACGACGTAGGTGCGCCGGCGAGATCCGAACTGGCCAATTGCAACAGGAAGTCTGTACGCCTTCAATCAGCCTGCTTCGAGGGCGCATATCGGTGAGCTTTCGTCTCCGATTACCCCGCCCCAAAGCCTTACTGACGTTACTTCATACAGATCATACCTACGAAGGAGGCAGGGCCATCATTCAGGAAACTTTTGGGGGTGAGGCAGATACAATATTGGCGCGACGCTGGCAGTGTGTCAAGTAAGCCTTAATTCTGTGCTCCTGTTCCCAACACAACATCCTCGCAAGCCTCGATATCCAGGCCTTGTCTAGCGTTCCACTAGCTTCCGTGGTTCCCGAAGCATTTTTACCATCAACTCGGCTGCCCCGATACTCTGCCACGTCTGTTTCTGCACATACATCACATATGGAACCACCCACATCATGCTGTGATTGGGCTGACAAGGTGGCTTGCAAGCGTGTGGCATCCTCTTCGAGGGCCTTTGGTCGATTGGCCTCTGGCATTGTGCGATGCCCAGACCGTCGACTTCGCACGGGATACGATGGCGGGCGATGTCGTCGATCGTGACAACGTTTTTGAAAATACACAAGTTCATTTCAACGAGGGACAAAGATGGTTTTACCTCTCAAATCAGTTGCCGACAGAATTGCTGATCTTCAAGAACGCTGACTCGCAGGAGCCCCTGGGGGCGACTCCTGGCGTTCCGCATGCCTCTTTCGATAATCCCATCACAAGCAAGGAGGATTTTAGAAGGGAAAGCATTGAAATGCGTGTATTGGTTCAATGGGACTGATAGAGAATATTGGCCTGTCCATACGGTTGTTCTAATCCGACTTCATATCCCCCCAATTAGTCTCAAAGTATTCTGAGAGCGGCTGCAAGATCTCGCGATCTACATCTTCGGAGAAAGAATTCGCAGCCGTTGTGAGAGAAATTGCACCTGTTTCCCGAATCACTTCGCACATCAAGCATGCTTCTACTACAGCTTGATATGCCACACTGATCTCCTCTTGCAGTATCTTCCGCCCAAGAATAGTCAAAGCGGTATCGTAGTCTCTCTCATCCTGACTATCTTCTCCAAATCCCTCATCAGTCGTGCTGCCATACTTATGCAATTCTCTCCATCGAGATAGTCTCATGCCCAGCGCCAATTCGATCAATGCAAACCCGAGTCGAACAAGTAGCGGTTCTCGAAGAAATCGCCAGATTCTTGCTGGCTTTCCGGTTGAACTTCCTTCGGATGTTGGCGCAAAGATGGTGCGTGTCACGAATAGTTGGACATCCCTGGAATTATCGTCCTTGACTGAGAAATCCCTCCATGTCCACCACCTGTCAATCCAAGATGTTGACCAAAACTGCACAATCGCTAGAGCAAGCCTCTGTGCAATGTCGACACGCTTCTGGCGGGACAGTAGCCAATCCTCGGATTCTGGAAGCTTCGCATCGAGTGATATCACATGGTTGTCTGACATTGCTGGCTCTATGTGGCGAGCTGCAAAATGTCTGTCGCCGTGACCAAGTGTACCAACTGTTTGATACGATCTCCGAGTGGTTGCGACGTTCTTATCTAGACTCTTCACTAGATCACACATATCGTCAATTTGCCTCCCATTATCGTTGGATTCGGAGAGTGGCCGGTAGAATATGATCGGGAGTGCTCGGGTGGTTCTCCTTTCGTAAGAGCCACTGCTAGTGCTGTTGTGACGCGATCGAGACCATGATGTTCTAGCATCGTCCTGACTTCTACACCGTCAACTCCAGATATTGTCAGTAGGGAGTAATCAGATACTTACCCTGGACTTCTGCTGAACTCCGTCCGCTCAGGTGTACCCACAATCTCGGGCGCTACAAATCGTCCTGATCTGTCCAAACCACCTTCAATCCCAATATTGATGGCTGACACCGCCGGTATTATAGGAAGCTGGGGCTCTAGGGAGGCTCCCGAGAAGGCCCTTCCGGTTTCGTCATCAACATGGAAGTACACCTGAAACTGAGCGTCCCCATTGATGTTGAGATCCGCATCGTGCCCACCGCTACAGCTACAATGATAGCTCTCCTCGAGAATCCGGGAGAATTCATTTATCTGTTTTGGTGCCACGCGTCTCGCTCTCATCATGGTTGAAGCCCGTCGCTTCCTGACTGAAGCTGGAGATTTCCATCTGGGCCTGTTTTGAGGCTGTTCGAAGACCTGAACGAGCTGTTGCAGTTCTCTGTTGTGTTCTTTCAGCTTTTCGAATGATTTCTGAAATTCCGAGTGCGGCATGTTGATTCTTATCTGGCGAAAGTGATGCATCATTCGACCTCGTCTCGTGCCAGTCACGGTCTATCCAGTGCCTAAGTCAGGGTGATCGTACTTTTTAAAAGATTCACATGGGCTCACAAGATCTGCTTGGCCATTTTCAAGTTGGCTGCGTAGGCTTTCCATCGTCTTTTCTATCTGCTTTAAGACAGACTCCATCAACTCAAAGTCTCTTGCACCAAGACGGTCGTGCAGCTTCACTCGGAAAGATGGTCTTTGCCAAAACGAGATGTCGAGTTGCCTAATTTTCGCATCCGTCAAATCAAGGTCAATACTTTCCTGATTATCTTCGATAAGCTGTCTCACGCAGCTTTCGTAAATGGTCTGCTGGATTTCAATCTTGAGGAGAAACGACCTGCGGTCATCTCCATCCTTAGTTGCCTTGTACCCTTTGACAAGACTTGTGATAATAGGCCATAGACCGAGGACCAGGCCTACCGCTTCGACGCCTGACATTTTGCACTCGGGATTTGAGTAGGCAATGGTGAAATATTAGCATGCGGCGTGGCAGAAGAGTGATGGTTTGGAGTGGACGATATCTCGGACAGGATTATCATGATTAAATCTTCCCACTGGACATAAGACAAGAAGAAAAGGACTTGTCAATCCCAGCCTGATCGGACCTTCACATGTGGTAGCACACCACCCCCACCCCCAATCCTCTAAAAGGCATTCGGTGACGAGGATTCTAGGAGCGGGGTACTTTCATCACACGTTCTGAGTCCAAGCCACGCAGCCTTGATTTGGCTAGTGACGTTGGGCCTGAAGCCATCGCTTCGGCTCACAGCAGCCATCGTCAACCCCTGTAAGTCAGCATCATTTGCGATAGTGGTAATGTATGGATGAGTTGTAATCTTGAGGCGTGGTCGATGACTTATGTGTTTGAGCACTGCAGTTGCCCGGCATGCTTACTGCATCCAAGCCTCAAGCCTTCTTTCGTGCCGCATCGCGGGAGGGTGTTAGGAAACAGTCCGTCTAATGGGCGCTTTTTTTCGGCTGGACTCGCATTGCACTCTGTGCTGTGTATGAAGCACGGTACTTCTTGTTGAAGGATGTCAGCAGTCTGCCTCACACACCATCTCTGATCCCGGGGTGGAGTGTTCCAAGGCATACTCAGGTACTTACCTAGCATGACCGCCTCTCCATTTACCAAGGCAAACCCACTAACATCATTTGACCTTCAGTCGCACCCTATCCGTTCGCTGATTTTTTTCGAGGTCTTTCAAACTTCAAAGCTTCGGACGCTATTGAATCGACCTGGATAGTTTGTGGTCACATGATGTATCCTCGTTTCTCATCGACAGTGTATGCTACCATACGTTCTGGGAAAGGCAGGAAATCAACTTCCGGCGAAAAGGCCCTAATAGCAGCCAAGTTCGAAGAGTGTCGTGAAACTCTACAGAGCGTCTGTACGATTTGCGAAAATCTCAAGAGCAACAACCCTGAAATTGAACTTGATATTGCCGATCAAGTCTTGACATCATTCAAAACCTGGGGCAACGACATCGGGGCCTCCAGTTACAATCTGGACCGAAGCCTTCGGCTGAACCAAAGGCTTCGTGATCAAGTTGTTGCGCTATTGAATGTCTTTCAAGATGAACTGAAGCAAGGTGATTACCCCTTACTACACCGACCTCGTAATTGTTTCCATCTTACCCAGATTGCTGACTGATGGTATATATCTCTAGACATTGAGGCTCTTCAGTACGGAGCCTACCAACTGAACAACACAAATTTGGCCGACCCCTCTTTTGACGATGAATTGGATCTAGCAAGCCCGCTGCAGCAGACCGAAGGCACACGTATAGCTGCTGAAGTCCAAGAGGTTTTCCTTTGTGCCGAGGAGTCACTGGACCAACTTAAGTCTCTCAATCCTGCTCTGAGAGAGGCTTACCCAGAAGACCTAAATGGTGGTTCTGGAAGCTCGAATGCTTCCAGCGACCAACTGGAGAATCCATTGAGCGACCATGTAGAGTTGACTAGATCGATGTTTCCTGGCGCATCAAAAGTCTTAATCGAAAGGCTTGGACGAGCCAACTGGAGACGACAACAATCCCTGCGTGTTGTGCGGGAGAGAAGGGCTATTTCTATGAGCACTAAGGCTAAGATCTCTAAACTTGGTCCTCGGCAGGGCCCCCGGCGTGATGTCGCTGTTGACGCTTTCAACTTTCAGCAGCCAGCCCTCAAGGGCGGTAGCGATTACACGAAACCATCGGTCCCTAGAATTGAGGAGACTTCGGAAAGACCGCCCAAGCAGGACTCCGTCTCTGTCTCGGACTACAGCTCTTCATCACATGCAGAGATTTCTGTTGCACCATCCCTGTTCTCTCGTCCCCATTTCTCTCGTGCAGCATCCTTCACTTCTTACGCGCAGTCCACGACTCAGAAGCCAGACCCACCGCCTTTTATACAAGGGCCTGAGCATCGAGAAGTACCGCTGCCGCCCAGATCCTTGGATGGCCAGCCATTCACCTGTCCGTATTGCTGTTTCGAGGTCAATCTTTACAAAGAGTTGACAACCACTGAAGATTGGGAAGCTCATGTATTTGAAGACTTACTCGCTTATCTCTGCACTTTTGATCAATGCGACTGGAGTCGCAAAGCATACGGTGCGCGTGACGAGTGGTACCAACACGAGCTACGAAGTCATCTCATACCTCAAGTGTGGAGTTGCGAGTCTTGCCAGAAGGAATTCAAGACCAAGTCAGACCTGAAACAACATTTGTTGAAATCACACTCAACTGACTTCTCACCGAATGAGGCTACTCAAATGGTGTCGTTCCTTAGGCCGATTCATTCTCGCGAGTCCTTCTCGCGAGAAAGATGCCCACTGTGTCCGTGTCCACTAGACCCGGCACAGATGAAGGAGCACATAGCAGAGCACTTGGAGCAATTGGCTTTGACAGCTGTGTGTGGGGAGGAATCTACGGAAGAAGACGACAGCGATGATATCATGTCTCAAAGCGCTAGCGACACCATGTCTGAGAGGGGAACTAAACTACGAATGCTGCAAGCCTTTGCTGAAGAGCAAGGCGCACAGTTCGGACAACGTCCAAAACCGGCCGAAAACATCGATGAAAATGATATCAATGATGTTTCGGACGAGGACGAACCGTTATCGGACTACTCTAGGGCAACTGGAGATCGATTACCCGGTTCCTCGGGTGCTTGGAGAGTACAGGAATTAATGAATGATGGCACTCTTCCGAGCCGCCATGTCGAACAAAGCTCAGGACGAATCCCTCATCGATCTCGATCTGACACAGACTCGTCACAGAGGTTTCCACTTGTCGAAACAAGAACGTTTCCCAAAGATGAAAGTTTCAAAGGGCGTGAAAAAGAGTTGGCCAACCTCTACAAGATACTATCAGAGCCTGGCCGGGTTTATGTTCTGAGTGCCGAGGGTGGCATGGGGAAAACAACTCTGGCCGCTGAGTTCACATACAGATACGAGCAGTCTTTCGAGTACATCTTCTGGGTTCAGGCTGAGACACAAGTTGGTGCTTCAGAAACCTTCAACCAGATTGCTCTTGTACTAGACCTAGCAGCACCTGGCACTGATCAAGAGGAGCTTACAAAAATCGGGCGCGAGTTTTTGGAAAGTACCAAGAAGCGATGGTTGATGGTCCTCGACAACGTGGAAAAGTGGGATAATATTGATGGGTTCACGCCGATGAAAACATCAGCGACAACAGGAAGTATCCTGATCACCACGAGATATCAAGAGCTCACAGCACCATCAAGGCCAATTAACTACTATCGGAAGACACTCGAGGAGCTGCCAACGGAGGAAGGAAGGGAACTTCTGCTTCACGGGCTTCCCCTGGATCTTCGCCCATCCAGTCACTCCCTGAGAGATCCCGAGTACAAGGCTGCGGGAGATCTGGCAACTCTAGTGGGTTTGCCATTGGTAATTGTTCTGATCACTGGGTACATGAAGGCAATGAATTGTAAACCGTCTGAGTTTGCCACCTACTGGGATTCGTGGTGGATGGACAATAATCCAGGCTCTGGTCCAGAAGACCAGAAAAGTACCAAGGGAAAGCTTGACACGATCATGAAAATTTCCACAGAGGATCTCAGTAGCGATGCGAACAAGGTGCTCCGCATATTGTCTTTCTTAGATAGCGACGGAGTTCCCAAAGACCTTTTGGTCGTTGAGAAAGGTCAAAGTGGGCCGCCATATCTACAAGCCTTCAGGTACGAGCCCCAATTGTTACTGAGATCCTTTGGCTAACCTCCCTCAGGATCGAGAAAATCTTGAATCAGTTGATATCCAAGCACTTCATTTCTGAGAAGACCCAAGATAACAAGAAGATGTACATCGTTCACCGATCTGTACAAATCAGAATCTCCCGAGAGCTTCACAAGAAGACTCGGCAAGCTGAAGAGCTGTTCAAACTGACTGTCGAGCTGGTCCGTCGACGGCTCCCGCGGCCTTCTTTGGACTTCCCAGACCAACAGAAGTGGAGCCATTTCAAGGAATACTTGCCACATGTTGCGACCCTCCAGAAGATTTATTCCGATCAGGGTACGGTAATCGCTTTGACGCCTTTCATCGAACTTGCCGAGCTGTTCAAGGATGGCGGAGTGTTCCTGTGGCAAAGGTTCCTCCGAAATGATGCCATGCGGCTTTTGTTGGCTGCAGAGAGAATCCTCGACCAACTGGAAACAAATCACGATGAGCTGAGAGCTGAGATCCACGTCACAATGAACCTCTTGCTTCAATATCTTGGAATTTCCCGCCGCAAGGAAATCAGTGAACGGGCGAAGAAGATACTGGACTTTAATCAAAATCGTGCAAGGCAGCTGGAAGCTTCAGGCAAGCTCAGCGATGTGGACAGGATCCGAGTCATCAACGCTTTCGCAGACTACGCCAACTCATTGCTTCAGGGTAACGACTTCAAAGCCGCCGAGGCGATCTACAAAGGCTGTCATGAACGGCTGCTTACCATCACCTCTGAAGAATCAGATCCCTTCGCCTTTGCGAAGCTTGCCCATCACATGGCTTATTGCAGCATGTATCGGCACGATTTCGCGGAAGCCATCCTACTTGCCGAGAGGGCTATTCGGCTCATGCAAGTGTTTGGCGACAAGCTACTTGTTCTGCGATTTCAGTTCGACCTTGCCTGCATTGTGCTGCAGAGTGGCGACTTACAGGGCTCCCTAGACCAGCATGAGATCATCCTAGCCGAGAGGATGAGGCTTCAGGGTAAAGACAGCTACTTCACTTTACAAAGTCAGTATGCTGTGGGTGCATTGTATTCCTATCTAGCAAGATGGGATGACGCCGAGTAAGTCAATTCAGTGTAGTTTTCATCTCGTTCTGACTAATAGAATACCAGGTGGCAGGTCAACAACGCCCTGCAGAAAGCTGAAGGTAAGCCCGGGAAAAGTGTCTGGTCAGATGCTGCGACCGCGAGAGCCAAGTTCCATCTATCCCAAATATTGAAAGCACGGAATGGTGGCAAGATGTCAAAGGATGCAGAAAAGCTAGCCCAAGAAGGGAAGGACGTGTTATCAAAGCTACTCGTGTATGATGACATCTCCGGAGTCGAGGAGGATGATACACTGGCACTATTCGATCATTTGCAGCCGGTCTTCGGAGGGCGTTGGACGGGAATGAGTCTTTTGAAGTACGTATCCTAGCCAAGAACAACTAGTTTTTTCTTGGTGTGGTGAAGATGTCATGTTACCAAATCTTCCGGTTCCTGGTCTTGGAGTCTTGACGAGGTGGTGAAGCAAGTGGGCATGTCACTAGTCTATAGAATGCGCATACTGGGAGTAAGCTGGCTCGCGTTTGTGAACAAAGGTGGCAAATAAGTCAGCTAATTGACAGGACTTTACGCAAAAAAATGTACATAACCAAAGTTCAAGTCATAGATTCAAAGTTCAGTTGCTCTTAAGTAAGTGTTATCAAAGACCTGAAAGGTACATGCACTGTACCAACAAATGCTTGCTCACGATAGCATTGTCAAGACAACACTGAGTAATGCAGACTGGCAGCTCCCAAAGTAAATGCTCACTACAGGCCTCCTGTTCGCTGTGGAGGGCGGTCTCACCAAGATTCTGCACGGCGCGCAGTCATGTAGTCATGTAGGTGCAGCAAAGATCCTCTGCCTGCAGCCCCTTGAAAGTAGCCTCGGAGAACTATCCCGCCCTCTCCATGGTCCATGTCGACAAGACCGCCTCGCCAGGGAGACATGTGACTATGGATTCGCCAACAGCGAGGTTGGTTCTAGCCGCGCCGTGTGGCATCCGCAATGCCAAGCCGCAGAACTAGGCGATGAGTGCCCCTGCACCAAGGTTTTGCTCCATCCTCTGATTCCTCTCTGTCCTCCAGATGGATCCCCATGTTTATAGTAAGGGCTCTGGTGGGTCGAAAATGTCAATGTCAGGATAACTGATTGCAAGCAGTGTGAGCATCAGTCTGGACGCAGCCCATCATGCGTTTCTCTTCTGCAGCTTGGCTCACTGCCAATTGTTCTCGTCCATCAGCTACGCCCTACGGAGCAAATTCGGCCCAAGGAAGAGCCACATGTGTTATGAAGATTTTGGCGAGTAGCGACTTACAAACTTTTTCAGTAATGCGAGTGATCGATTCTTGTCAAAAGGCAGATTTTACCAGACTAGGCTAAAAGTCAGACCATGTCCATCAGGGGTGCCCCTTGAACGCGCTCTCATTCTTGCTCCAAGTTGAGACGAACCCATTGCCACATGCGAAGTAACTCGGTCTGTTCCGAAGAAAGAAGGCGCCAAGTCATTTCCCACGATGCAAAGGGACTCTTGCAAGTTGCGGACCCCCCATGTCTAGCCCTCGGTTAGACAAATGCAACCCCAGGGCTGAAAACCTCCCTTGTCTAGCGTTGCCACTAGTCTACGCTGAGATGATCCTCCGGTAAAGGGCCTTGCCTGGACTCCACGATGCCGAAGGCCGGATTGGACGGATGGATCAGATAACGAGGGTGGTGGGGTAGCAGAGCGGATCTGATAACTTGACTTGGCATCATGTGCAAGAGAATAATTCGGCGAGGAACTTTGACTTGGATGTGTGGCGTTTGCGCCACCAATTCTAAGCGAGGCAATTCGTGATACTTCTCGTTTATGAGGCACTTGGAGACCGTTGAAGGTTCTGCGTGTTCCTCTTGGGAAGCTTTAGACTGCACTCTAGTCTAGTTGCTTTGGAACCAATCATTTTTGGATATCATGATGTGGATGCCACCATGCACAAGGCAAGACATGAGGTACCTTAAGATCACACTCGCCGGGCCCAGCTGTTGGTCGTAGCTATATGTCTAAAGCTTGGCAACGACACGGCGGGGAACAGTTCCACAGACACGTTGGCCATGGATCAGTGGTCTTTTGCTAGTTCATTCGCATGTCGGGTCTGCGTGAGTTCATAGCTGTCCCGCCCATTTGGGTGGGTGGGCGGAATCGAGTCACAGAGTCTGAGAGTCCGCAAAAAAGGTTGCAGCCATCAACACTTGGCCGAAAATCCTCAGGGGTCTAGGGCGTAGCAGAGCGGGGGACCAACACGAGGGCGCGAGCAGACTTTTGCTGCTGGAATGGCGGATCTGATAACTCTAAACGAGCCTGGACTTTGGACGAGGTGGAATGGCGCCGAAGTGCTCGCTAAGTTAGCAACTTGACTGGCCCACTGGCATCTCCCTTTGGAGTTTCCGTACTAACCTGGTCCACGTCGAACACTTGAAGTTCCGCATCGCAGAGACTTCTCCGTAGGTTGGTTGAGCCGGAGGCTTCTTTGGTCTGGGCGAGACCAGACCATTTTTACCTCCTTTGGTAAGTTGGTCGGGAGGAGACTCCGCATGAGTAGGGCAGGGGTTCGACTTTGAAGCTCTATCGTACTCCATCGGAGTGGCTGAATGGGTTGGATTATGGGTAGATGATAGATACATGGACTACTCTGTACAAAGAGGGACAGAGAACATATATAAGTCTAGCTTCAGTCCTCGGTCAGAGCCATTACTCTAAAAGATAACTCAAATCATCGTTCTTTGCCATCTTCCACTACTCCTCTTGACATTCTGAATACATTTACTTTGCAAACGTTTTGAACTAGATCTGTTCCGAACATCAGTCAACATGGGTTACGCAATTCTGCCAGCGCTGATTCCCGACATCCAGAAGGTCTACGATTCATATTTCAGTGCCTTCACTGGTGATGAGATGGGAGAGATCATGGTCAAAGTTCTCTTCCCCAACGGCGTAGACTCTGAAGAATTCCGCAAGGCACACACCGCTGGCACGTTGGCCTGGTGGCATCACAGCGACTGCCAGTACACCTACAAGTGCGTCGACACCGAGACTGGCGAGATCGTGGGCATGGCCCTGGGCGACATCTATCTCAGAGAGCGTAGCGAAGAAGAGCGCAAGAACCATGGTGTTGGCTGGCTCGAAGGCAAGGACAGAGAGCGAGCCGAGGCTGTTCTCAACCCCCTGCACGAGGCTAGAGAGAGGCTGTTTGGCGGTCGCCGCTACATCTGTAAGTCGACGAAACCTACAAAGGGTACCCTGGCAAAAGAAAAAAGACTGACTCGACCTTCTCCTTCCAGACTCCCACGTTATTGCGGTCGATCCCAAGCACCAGGGCAGAAAGGCCGGTGCCCTCTGGTGTAAGTGGGGAGCGGAACTCAGCGACAGCCTGGGTCTCCCTCTTTACTTTGAGTCGTCCCCTTCCACATACAAGCTCTACGAGAAGATGGGCTACGAGACTCTGGACGAGAAGATTGTTCACAGCGCGGAGCTCATGGGACAACCTGAAGACACAGTCGTTCCCCTCATGGTCAAGATGCCTGCATGTGCAGGGGGCATGACTTTCAAAGAGTGGCGTGCTGCCGGATACCCTGCCTTCAACGAGGTCAAGAGCGTCCCGGCCGCTCCCGTGGTCGATATGATTGGTGTCGACAAGAAGGCTAGCAATGGTACCATGGCTGTGGAGGTGCAGGTTCAAGAGGTACATGTCTGAGAGAAGACGGTGGAGGGACCTTGTGTTTGATATCGGCGTTCTAGCATGCTTGAAAATTCCCCAATTTAGTTAATACAATCGACTCCTCTAATGCTTATTTTGTCTGATAATGCTCCCCTCCCTCCTCTTCAAAGGGTCTTTTGCACGCGAGGTCCGTCATGGAGAACCATGACTCGTTGCTTGGATGGCCCTGGTTCGGTTCTCGGAGTGGAAATTAGGCTCCTTGTCCCGGGACAGGGGCACCGGCGTCGGCAAGATCTCGTCTCTGTTGGCCGTACGGGCCCACGGAGCTGCTTAAGCCGCCTTTGGATCTTCGTACCGAGTGTGGTGAAAACGCTGCAGGTTTTTTTCCACTAGAGCGTAGAACGAAAATGGGCGAGGGTTTCTCCTCCGGCGGAGACATTTGTACGTAATAAACGCCCATAACCGTCCCGAAAGTGTGGCACGTTGTCTTAGCGCCCGAACTCTTGAGGGACGATGGAAGTCATGGCAGAGTAACACCTGATTATCTCATGCTCAGCGACACTGCACATTCTCCAGGTCAGGTCAAGGCCGAGGTCAATACCAAAAGCCCGAGGAGCTGCCTCTTTTAAATCCGTCTGCGTGTCAATCAACAACTGAATCTGACCAGTTCCGGGGATAGCGTCGGCCGATGCGACATCGGTCATTTCAGAGCCGATTCGTCCGCCGAACGACAGCACGCTACTAAACGAGACCGGTTCCCGTTTTGATCTAATCAGATGCATCTGATAAGTATTGAGGCCATCCGCTTGATCGGATCCTGTCAATAATCATTGTACCACACCTCCCTTGACTACTTCCCACCAACAAGCCCGCGGACTCCGGTTATTGGCCGTGACCCCAACGATGGACAAGATTAGGAAGGTCGTCCTTTTCGTGAGGCTTGTGGGATACTCGCTACGGCTTTATGCGGACTTTTTCTCGCGATCTTACACCACTAAGAAACTCCCCGCCGGTCCCGCATCGAAAAATGGCGAGCCGATCAACATTGTAGTCATCGGCGCTTCTTTTGCCGGATATCATGCTGCCAGAGTAATCGCAACCTCCCTTCCCACAGACGGTCCGTACCAACTCATCATCGTCGAACCGAACCAACATTGGCAATTCACCTGGACGTTGCCTCGCTTCTGTGTCGTCGAGGGACATGAGCACAAGACGTTCATCCCCTATGGCCCCTATCTGCCGGCAGGCTCGGAGAAGATTGTGCGATGGGTTCATGATCGCGTCTCTACAATCACCGAAAATACGGTGACGATCCAAGGCACGGGAGAGAAGATTCCATACTCGTACATGGTCATCGCAACAGGGTCGGGCGTGGGTATGTCTCTGCCGTCAAGAGTGGGATCAATAGACAAAGCTGAGGGAATCAAACTACTGCAAAACTTCCAGCAACGCATCAAAGCCGCCAAGAATCTTGTTGTTGTTGGCGGAGGTGCTGCGGGTGTCGAGCTTGCTACGGATGCTAAGGACCAGTACCCGGACAAGAATGTTACGTTGATTCACTCTAGAGACGCAGTCATGAACCGCTTCGGTCATGATTTGCAGGCTGGAGCTCTCGCGGGCTTGAAGGATCTCGGAATCGAAGTCATACTCGGGGAGCGGACAACATCCGAAACACCCGTGGATGGTTTCGTCACACTTCGCTCTGGGCGGAAAGTCGAATGCGATTTCATGGTGAGCCAAGTTTTTGAACTCCTATTTTCTCAGTGGCCTTTTAACAAGTTTCGGACGTCTAGGTGAACGCCACTGGCCAGCAACCTTCTTCTCAGATCATCAGCGATTTCGTCCCCGAGGCAATCGCAAAGTCAGGCCGGATCAAGGTCAAGCCAACAATGCAAATAGACGTCGACTCGCTACCGCACATCTATGTGTGCGGCGATGTTGCTGAGGCAGGCGTCACAAACCCCAATGCCCGAGCCGCTATGAAGCAGGCCATCTACGCCGCGGATAACCTCGTTCTCGCTCTTCAGTCGAAGAAGCCTTCCAATATTTACGAGCACTACTGGGCTGACGGCGTCATTAAGCTGACGCTGGGTCTCGTAAGTTTTCATCCTAAGCATTTTCCATAGCCTGTGAATCTTCACGTCTAATGCTCCCCAGCATAAATCCATCACGGCCTTCGGTATTGGGGACACAGAGCTGCTCTTCCGCGGAAAGGAGAAGGAGGTTACGCTAATGATCGAGCGTGCTTGGACGAACATGGGAGCTAAGCCTTATGAAGACAAGGAGTATGACACGGGAAGAGCGCAAAGCAGCGTAGCTGATAAAGCTCTGGAGGTGGCCAACGAAACGGTGTAATATGCATCCAGCGCAACCGCATGTTACTATCAAGGGCTTGCTTGCGGAGTATTTAGATATAGAGATGTTCTTTCGGGGTTCGAGGCCAGAGGATACCAGTACAGGTGTACAAGATCAACCAATGCCCTGCCTAAATCGAGTGACGTGATTAGATCAGATCCCCATAGGTTCCGCCTTTCTAAAGCATCGTGAGGTACGGTTTCTCCCACATTCCGGGTGGGACAAGAACAAAGCCCTACCGGGCTGCTAGTCCCCAGACTCTAGGTTGCAACCCACTGTCCGCATACCCCATCGGCTTCGAGACGCCTGCAGATCTGCCGGTCACACAGGAACCAAGTACACTAGTGGGATGGGCTTATTTTCCGTGCAGAAAACCTTGATCAAACCTCATGATTCTGTTTCTCGTTGGCACTAGAGAGATCATGCGCTCTTCAGTTGCAATACTCGAAGAAAACGACTTGCCAATCACTACATATATATATCGTTCCCTTGAGGCTAATTCATTCACAAAAAGTTCATCAGCCTCTGTTGTACAATTCTCGATACTTGATATTGAGATCACATTTGACCATGACACACTGTTACCTTACACTTTCGCCCCAAGTCCTTCTCCCCATGTACACCATCAACCCTGATCCAAACATCCACCTTCCGACACCTCTCCTCCTCCTTCTCATTCCACAACCTCCCACACCGCCAACAAAGACGAAAAACATCTCCCTGCTTCTTAATCGGCTGCAAGTGACCATACCACCTCTTCCGAACAGCACAATCCCAGCACCGCCTCATCGTCAAAGACTTCCGGAACCACGACTTCTCATACCTCCGCATTCGGTCGCCGAAGCAATTCTTCTCTAGGATACGACCGCACTCGTAGCACGGCCAACGCCCTCCGAACCCGCGGCGCCCGTAGCGATAGCCGTAACGCTCCGTCTTGTAGAGGTACTGATTCCGTTGGTGTTTCGGTATGAGGGTTTGGATGTTGAGGTGGTCGTGGAGGAAGTGGTTGGTTGCTGAGAGTTTGAGAATGTCCGCGTAATCCAGGTAAACGGCAATCTGATAATGAACATCGAAAGGCAAGTTCTGGAAGGGACACGGCATTTTAGGTGTTGTACCGGGGTCAAGCTCCTTTGCTAAAGCCATAATCGTTGTTGTCAGGATCATGAGTTGTTGTATTTTCTGTGGTCCTCTTTTCTGCCGTTTGGGGCAATCATGACCGGAACGCAAATCTAAGCTCTTAGACGTTCCCAAGTTTCAGTGGTTGATGACGATGTTTACTTTGATCAGGTAAAAATCTTGGTGTTCAACTCGTTGCTGCCTGGAATCGCTGATCGCGGTGTAGGAGTCATCGTTGCAACCGGCTTAGCCGGCCCGGCTTACCGTACCTGTGTTACAAGGTAGGAATGGTGCATCTCTTTAGACTCGAAGCATACAGAAATTGCTGAATCTAATCCTACCTATCTTTCAGATCTACTAAGTTCATACAGCAAAAGATCGCGTCGATGCTGTTAAAATAGATTCGAGGTTGTTTGTTGGAATTAAGGTGTCTCACCCAAGATTTTCTCGATGCCTATCCAGTAGTATTCCATACTTATTATGAATACTTTAAAATACCTTTTGCTAAACAATTTTGTTATCATGTGTCCGTGTTGCCCATTACGCCCCGTGACTCCGGACTCTCGCCCTGCATATGGCGTAAAGAAGCAAACTCATCCCAAAATTCCTCCATTTTACCGCAATACCGATTTGACTCCCATGGACTCGTCAGAATTCTCTCCTTATGTCTAAGACTGCTGCAAATCATACTCTCTAGGCTTTCCACCGTTGATATACTCCCATAGCCTGCTCTTTTGGCAGACTATGTGCCCTTCGACGTCGCAACTGCCATTTCCAGCTTTCATACGCTTAGCCATGAACTTGCTATCCACGACGCTAGTGAGGGTTTCGTTCAAGGGAAACAGTCTGTCGAGATAATGCTGATTCAATAGGTGACCCAACACGTTGTTCTCGAAAAGTAGTCCAGCAAAAGTATTCTGTCTCTTATCCAGGCGTAGAATGTCATCAACGATTGGCAAGAAAGGGTGCCGTCCATCCATTGGCTGAGGGTTGCTTTGCTCGGCAACCAGAGACTTGAAATGAATGACTCCCCATTGGGATACAAAGTCACCAGTGTTGCCATAATGCTCGATATGCCCGATAACGTGTTCATTTTTAGAAGTTTCGGGGTCATTGAAGTGGTTGGCAGCGTTACCGAAAGTGTAGATCTCCAGCTTATGCAAGGTCTCTCGGCGGTAGTTGGAGAGGAGCCAATCGAGGATGATGCTGCCCTCAAGTCCACCTTGAGAGTGAAGGATGAGAACGGTTTTGTCTTTCTTCTGCGCAGGGTCCAGGGCAGCTGTGATGAGCGCATAGCAAGTTCTGGTGTCCGAGGTACCAAAGTAGAAGCATCGCTCTAAGAGACACTGGATAAGGTCGAAAACAATTCCAGAGCTGCGGTATTATGATTTAGCGAAGGATGCACCTAAAGTCAGAGGTTGGTACAACCTACGTTCTGTTGTGTACACCCGTAATGGGACGCTGAAAAGTGCGTGATAGTCTGTTGATGTTCCCCTGCAGCCAATGCGAGCTAGCCTCCCGTCAGAAGCGTATTCACAAGACATAGTGTGATCAAGGTGCGCTTACCCAACGGACACGCCGTTAAGAAAGATCCATTCTTCGCTGTAGTTCTCGTTGGGGTCCAGCGACTTCCAATTAGCCGCCTCTGGCCACAAATCATGCTGGGACTTGAGCAAGTTGTTCTCGGTTCCAGCATTGAGCTGTAAGCAGAAGATATAGTTGACGAAGATAAATCCGCCGACGTATATCATGAAGAACTGGAAGGGAAGGGTGGCGAGGAACGGCAGTGAAACCAAGAAAGCGAGTTGCGTCACGATGAGGATGCCGTGTATAAAGAGACACCAAAGGTTTCCGACCGAAGGATAGAGCTCATCCATCTCGCCGGAGGGGTAGTAGGGGTCGATTTTGCCTTGATACCAGGTTTGAATGGCTGTGATGGCGCTGTCGATGGGGCCCCATAGGAGCCATCTCGGCACCCATGACTTGTCGAGCTTTGGGTATCGGACTCCATCTCGCCGAGGATACCATAGGGGAGTGATGACGAAGGGGATGTATCCGATGCATCTAATAAAGAGCACCAAATCATCCCAGAGAAGGCGCCATGGCGGTGCAGTGTAGTATTCGGGCAACGTAGCCTTGATTTCTTCGGTGTCGCCCGATGGTGGGCGTGGTGATCTCGCGACTGCCAGAGATGTGGTAACGGGGCGCTTGGTTTTGTCGACCGACTGATAGACGTTGACGAAGTGCCCCGATGTCGATGAGGCCGCCATGGCGAGGAGAGGGCCGGACGTGACGCAGTCTGTGATGACGTACAAAATTCACCAGGTTTATTTAGGTTTGGAATGTTGAAGGGTTCGGATCATTTCGAGGTTGACGGGAATTTGGGACATTCGCTTGCCTTTTTGTACCTCCTGCCTGCTACCTGCGTGCGCGCCTGCCCTCTGTGTTTCGGATGCACAGTCCGGCCCGCCCTTGGCACTAGCGGAGGAGGCTGACGACGGGCTGTCAGAAGAAGCAATAATTCCTCACTTGACTTGGAATAGTAACATTGAGGCTGTCTTGCAATCACATGCTCTTACTGCTCAGCATTCAACTATTTCACTACCTTGTTGGTTGAATCTGACATAAGAAAGCCACCCATTGGCTGCGGTCACTTGAGTTGCCTATCTGAGCCATGCTGTGGCACGCGTGGCACGCAAATCACAGCGAGCGTGCACACACGCGACACCATCCCTTGGAATCTGGGCTGCATGATGCGCCCATTGCCCGCCACTTGTCAGCCCGGCATCTGAGTCTGATGGGTCGCGCTTGAATCCTTGCCGCTGCACCGTTTGCCTTATTCTGCACCTATGAGCGCACAAGACAGGCTGGCGAGCCGCATTCTCGGCCCCCATCCTCTCTTCATGGTGCTCCTTTTCCAACGGCTATGTCCGTCTGACGTACAACCGATTCACTTGTGCGATTCGATTTCTGACATTGAGACAGGCTCCTATGCAGGTAGATGTCGGTACTTGGTGAGGCCGATTCCTGCCATAAAAGTTGTTAATTTCTGTGATAAAGCTTTACCGGCAGCTATCATCGCCTTCCTCCATTTCACTCACCTTAGAAAGTCTTCAAGTCGCGGTAGCCGGCTCGATAATCCTTATCACTTGATGTAACTTGTCGCGTCCATCTGAGTCAGAGTGAAAGGTTGGCATGCCACCATAACCCTCTTCTAACCGTATTATCGAGGTACAACGCCAGGCGAGACGGGAGACGGAAGACGGGATCACCACAACTGACGTTGTGCAGCAGCAGGCGGAGGTTGCGGCCAAAGAGCCCCAAGTGCTGCCAAGGCAGCCGGTACCAAGCCCCCTTGAGCCTGCGGCTGATACTGAACCTGCGGCTGGTACTGGACCGGAGGCTGGTAGGCTGGGGCCGGCGCTTGATATTGCACCGGCGGCGTCTGATACATGCAGTACGCCGGCGGAAGGGCATTCTCGAGGTCCGGGTCGGGACCCTTTTGTATGACGACGCATTTGTATACGCCGTAGAGTACGCCACTCCCTACTAACGTGCTGAGCACTGCGATTGTGACTGCTAAGCCGGTATCCATGGCGACGATCTGTCTCGTAGCAATTCTTGAAGTAGGTGGTTAATTCGGAGGTTGTTAGTGGTTGTTGGTAGTTGTTGTTGGTAGTTGTTGTTGCTGGCTGCAGTAAAGCTGATGAATATCCACGAGAAAATAGCGAGTATGGATGTCAGACTCTAGAAGAAAGTACTCAGTTGTCATGCGAGGGAGTAATGAGATTTTCGTCTGAATCTGTAGTCTGCAGAGAAGTTGGGCCTTTGTGTGTCTATTTCTCTAGGCTTCGGAGGTACCACCTAACCACGACTTCCAAATATGTTAGCGGAGAAAGTTTCCACAACCACTGGGTATCAAGTGCTTGATACTCGTCATACGAAGTCTGATGAACCTTGTTGAATGCCATCGGCAGGCACTCCTTTGCAGGACGCCTTACGCAACCATGGTAGAGATCATCTGGCTGCCTCGACCTTCCCAAGATATGCTTGACTTTGCGGTGAAATTATGTCAAGAATTCCGCAAAGGTCGGGTTCACCAAAGACTTTGAAGAACCTTGAGGGCCGGAAGACATCAATGAATTCCTATGGCCTCGTGAGTACGACAAGGCCATAGAACGGCGTCTCATGGATCGATAGACACAAGGCAGTAGATAGCGCCAGTCCTCCGGAATAACATCCCCACTTCTCACCGATATCCGGGCCCGGGGCCGATCGGACGACTTGCGACGGGCCTTTCGCGCGACATGTCCATGCCGTGACTTCATCGTTTCATTGCTTTTTCTAAACTCTCTCCCACAGCACTCTGTCCCACCACCGAATTGACATCGTAATGCGACCTTACTCTAATACGCGTACCGAGGTACCCCTGCCCGCGCGGGGTTATGCGAACCGAGGATCGTCCTCACTTGGCTACGGTCCTTCTCCAAAACGAGACACAAACAACACCTTCTTTTTCTGGTTCCGCCTAGATTGGCCACCAATCTCTCTTATTTATCCCACCAAAAGGCCAAGCATATCTGCAATATATATAGGACAAGAGCCAAGATGGAACATCCCCAACTACCGACCATCGTTGCCGAAGCTATGGGCACTGTTTTCAGAATTCTTGGATACTCAGGGGTAATTTGCCAACCAACTTCAACCCAGCAAATCGCAACCTTCCCCTTTTATAGCCCTTGAACTTGCCTTTTCGATATCCACGGTCCCAGAGTCCCGACCTACTTTCCCCTCTTGACAAGTGTTGCGTAGGAGCACTTTGCTGGTCTCTTTGATGTGACGATACTATACCAAGGAGGCGCTTACCATGCGTTTGGTCTTCTGCATTGAGCCGAGGCCCTGGACTTTAGGCAAGTCACAACGGCTGTTGAGAGACATCTCTGACTTCTGATAATCGGACTCGAGGGTCTATATCTCCTGTATATAAACAAGCTCATTGTCGATAGACTTTCCATCTGATCTCTGCATCTCCATCCAGAACAAACTTGTGCAACATCAAGATCCGCAAATCACCATCTCACAAAAACGCTACCAAATATGCATCCCCTCACCCTCTTCGTCGCCGCCCTCCCGCTGGCAACCCAAGCCAACGCAGCCCTTCAGCGCGTCACAAACTTCGGCTCAAACCCAACAGGTCTAACAATGGACATCTCCGTGCCCCCAAACCTATCCGCCTCCCCCGCCATCGTCCTCGCCCTCCACGGCTGCGGCGGCTCCGGCGCGGCCTACAGCCGGCAGGCAGAGTACATCCCCTTGTCGGACGCCAAGGGCACTTTTGTCGTAATCTACCCGTCCTCCTCCCGCGACTTCAACTGCTGGGACGTCGCCACAACCGCCAGCCTAACCCGCGACGGCGGCGGCGACTCCACGGGGCTAGCCAACATGATCCGCTACACCATTGCCCAGTACGGCGCCGACCCGAAGCGCGTCTTCGTCACGGGCAGCTCGTCGGGCTGCATGATGACCAACGTGCTGACGGCCACGTACCCGGATCTCTTCGCCGCCACCTCGTGCTACTCAGGCGTCGCGGCGGGTTGTTTGGCGGGCTCGCCCGGCTCAAGCCCCATCAGCGCCGATCCCACGTGTGCCAACGGGCTGGTCGTGAAGACGGGCGAGCAGTGGGCCGCGCAGGTGCGCGCCATGTATCCCGGCTACAACGGGAGCTACCCGCGCGTGCAGACGTTCCACGGCACGGCGGACTCACTTGTCAAGTATCCCAACCTGGCTGAGCAGCTTAAGGAGTGGTCTACCATCCACGGTGTGAGCTTTGCGAAGAACAACACCAACACGCCCATCAGTGGATACACGCAAATGATTTACGGAGATGGGACCAAGCTCGTGGGGTACTCTGCGCAAGGTGTCGGGCATACTGTCCCGGTTCAGGAGGATCAGGACTTGAAGTGGTTCGGCTTGTGATAGCTGTGGTTAGCCAAGAGGATTGAGAAAAAAGTTGAAGAATGAGCTGGTATTGATGCAATGCAATATGTACAGCGTAGATATGGAAGCAGGCGCTAAGTCTCCGCTAGATACATTAAATCAACAGATCCACTAAAAATGGGATGTGAAGGAACTGCTCGATAGACACTAGAACATTTCCCTAAAGTGGTTGAAGACGTTGTCGACGTATGGGTTCGATACAGCAGTGGTCGGCGGCATGCTGGCATCGGACTGGCCACCGAAACCATCCTCCCCGTTGGATGCGAAGCCATTGAGCCCCAAGTATCCCTCAAAAATGCGACTCATCTCGTTTTGAATGCGGACTCCGTTGTTTGGAGATGGGGCCGTGTCCAAGTTTGGTGTTTGCTGTTGGGGTATCGTTGGCGTTGTCGATGGGCGTCCGAAAGGCGCAATCCCCGCCGGGCTGTTTGGCATGCGTCCGCCACTCGCGAGTCCAGCCATCGTCAGAGCCGCGGAGCTGTGCGCATCTTCATCTGGCAAGTTGCGAAGACCAATGCTTGGTGCAACTTCTTTGAGCGAACTGATGGTACGCCATAGCCGCTGGGATACCCAACTTTTGGCAGAAAGATCCTTGACAAGCTCCAGGGCCATGTAGAACTCTTCTCGGCACGTGGAGCTGAACCTCACGGGTGCATGGACAGAAGCCAGGAAGAGAACAGAGATTGCCGATGTCAGGAATTGGTGATAGAATACTTGTATCTTACGATACAAGTTCGTGGTGTTGTTGAGATGACTTAGATAGCGGATCGTGTCTTTCGCGAGATCAACTACACGCTGAGCTTGGGCAAAGTGGCCCATGATGCTAGTTGCGCTATGCAGAATTGGTGTATACAGCCAGATGCGGATCTGCAGACAAGTCAGCATCAAAGTCATGGCCGCAATCTCTGATACAGCAGATACAAACCTGGTTGAACCGCAAATATGTCCAAATGCGCAGGCGTTGAAGGTTATACGACGGAGTCGACGTCATTTGCTTCTCCTTGTCCCAATTACGTAGTTTGACTTCCTCTGGTACGTTCTCATACCATTGAAGGATCTCTTGGTCTAACTGCTCCATGTCTTCGTGACGGAGCTCACGAGCTAGGACAGGGCCAAAGTCTGTGACTTGACGCCAGACCTTGGCTCCCAACCTCGAGTAGCTGATCATGGCAACCAAGTACGGATATTCTTCCTATGTGACTGTGAGAAAAGACACGCCCAGGTATTTCATGCTGAAACAGGGTTACTCACAGGCATAGGTAGTTCTGGGTCAATCTCTTCATCGGGAACGACGAAGGGTAGGCCAGTGTTGAAAGCCCACCGCCGATCCAGAACGTAGGCCGACCAGAAACTATTCAACGCATTCTTCCTATCCTCTTCGTTCTTGATTTTCGCGATGCCGGTTGTTCTGTGGATGCCCATCTCCAAACACAGTCTAGTGACTTGGCCCATCACGCGCCATGCCAGGATTTCCTCGTTGGCCAAGAATCTATATCCAGCGAGAAGACATAGAGCTGGAAGACTCACAAAGTCGACCGCCTCGACCATGAGCTTTCGGTTGAGGACGGCGTCCATGCTGTCAATCAGCTTGCACGCTTTCTCGCTGTGCCCGTGCTCTTCCACCACAAGAGCGCAGCTCATGACGATCTTGAGCTGCAATGTCTTGTCATCGTTGAGATTTGGTGTGATGCCCTGCTTTCGGGCTGATTCCATGTAAGCCGTCAGGTGACGGACATGCTCAATGACTGATGGTATCTTGATGACAGGATACATGATGCCGACCTCTTCGTCATGTAGTCGACACAAGCGAATCATCTCGTCCTTGCCAAAGTCCCATAAAGGGTCAATTTGGCTTTCTTGAGGAGGCATGCGGAAAGGACTGTCCTCGGGTATGCCCAGGGGCGTGCCTTGTTCATCCTCCCCAATGCCCTTGTAACCCATATTGTGAATGGTAGTGTTGGCGATGTCCAGACTGTAAGCCATACTTGTGGGGCCACGGAAAGTTGCCTGCTTCGTTTGGGTCAACTCAGGCCGGTGGAGAGGAGACAGCGAGCTCGCCGGGGAGGCCTGAACTGTGCTTGAGGGGAAAGGCAATACTTTGTCCTGGATGGGCGCCAGACGCAGGGTTTCGGAACGGAGGGTATTCATGTTCTGATAGAGGTTATCGACCTGCTCTTGCAAGCGGGCCATCTGCTCCGTCATGGTCTTGTACTCGTCCGAGTCCTTGAAGCTGTTGGAGCAGCAATTCGGGGCATAGAGGCACTGCAGGTTGAGATTGCCACATCGTTGGCAGGGAGTTTCGCCATTGCATTTGATTTTGCGTCTTTTGCATTCGTTACTGTTGGAGAGAGCGTGGGCCGAATTAGTGATTTCGTCTTTTTGTACAGATGCGTTTTGGAGACTTGAAGGAGCTTATGACAGCCAATAGTGGACGATTGGACCATGGGTCTCCAACCACGAAGAGAAGAAGTTGCAATGGTATTCGGCTGGGCGCATGCCAAAGACACGGCCGGGATGGAGGTATCCTTACCAGGCAATGGATATGTACTGTTACAACGGCAATTAGCTTTCTGGAGTTCCACAAAGTTTATCAATGACATGGCACACAGCGGGAAAGGTGTTCACAGGGGAAGAATGACAAGAACGAGGAGACGATGGGTAGCCAAGGTAATGAATGGTAAAGACTGAAGGACGTATAGACAGCGGCAAAGACTACGCACCCGGTTCCTCTTGCTTCTCTGCTGCTTAGCAGCATTGCTCTCATCCTCTGACTTCCTCTTGGAACCAGTAACGGAGCTTGAGCCAGGCGTTCCAACTTGAGTTGCACCTCTGGAGGCCCCTGGTTGTTGTGCGGAATTGTCTCCGGGGGTCGCGGAAAGGGGGGAATGGACAGAGTGATTGTGTGGAGAATAAGCGGCGGCATTGGCAGCGCGGTCAGGCGGCAGAGGAACGGCTGCTTGGGTCAAGTAGCGCAAGTCGCTGACCTGCGCATCAATCTGCTCCATTGCGCATGGCGAGGCCCCCGGCGGACCTGTTTTTGTTTGTTTCTCGCGTTCGATCGTGAGCGACTGTTGAGCGATGGGGAGCAGGCGAGTAATGGCGATTTTCTCCCCTGTTTGCTCAGGCAGGTACCTGGGTACCTCACTGTCCCCCCCTTTGGCTCTTAGCCTCACTTCTTTTTTCGGGTATCGGGGCTTTCCTGCTCTCAGCTAATCCCGCTGACCTTCACGTGACCGGCTGAGACGTCCGGTCACGCGTTATCTTCATAAATCCCACTTTTACGTGATGCGATCCTTGGATGATTGGTCGCCCTATCGAGCCTTTCATTTCAAATGACGGCATTCCACCCATTGCCCAGGCTGTCAACCGAGGCTGAACCGTCAAAGGGCGTGTTATCGACTCTCAGATCTGCAGCCAGAAGATGAGTCTGCCTTGTGCTTGTCCGAGTGCCGGTGATGGAGGGTTGGCTTTCGTTCAGCAAGGTAATAGGTAGACACGGAATCTGCTTCCAACACCGATGCATCCTTCTTGAAGGTTTGGGCCTTGAGAGTCCAAGTCCAAAAGGTTGGAAGTTTGAAGCAGTTTGAAGGTCTAAGTCTAAGAGGTGTTTTTTAAGTCCCAGAATTGATACCCATTGACTTGATACACTTTATTTCTCAAAAATTGAGTGTTTCTCAACATCAAGCATGTTCTAAAGTATTACTGAACATGCCGACACCACCTTGGGCAGCCAGGTGTACAGGGGTCCACGAGCTGAGCTTACATAATGCGTCAAACTTCCTTGGTGGGGTCCTTGGTTCTGCCGCACCTCACCACCAAAAAGTTTCTTGAAGCCCAGAAAATTCGCCTAGCATTGCGCAGCGGGCCCCTCTGCGAATTGCCATACAAGCCGTAAACCACATGCACGATGTCGGCCCGTAGAAGAACATCCGACTGGGAAGACAAGCCAGCAAAGGGTATGCGAAAATCTGCTAAGCACATCATTGGAGTACTGACTCTGACATTTTCTAGATCTCGATCCTGAGGCTGAGCACGTCGAGCAGAGCGAAAACGAGAGCGGCAGCGAAGAAAGCGCAGATGAGAATGCGGGCACCGAGCACTATGTCGCAGTCGGGTACGATACACGCCAAACAGAAAGCATGCATATGTAGCCTGGGGGGAAACTAACCGTCCGTCACAGCAAGAGCAAACTCCGGGGAAAGGAGGGTGTCTCGCTAGGCCCGAAATACCGCGGCGCTCGCGTCAGCCGCGACGCCCTGAACGAGTCGAGCGACGACGATGATAGCGAGATATTCGAGGATGCGCAGGAGGACCTAGACTCTAATGGCGAGGAGTACGATGACCCGGACGCCGCCGACTTGGCTGCCGACACTGCAGCCGCCGGAGACGAAGACGTCGAGATCTCGAGCGACGACGCACTCGGCGAGAGCGACGACGAGAAGCTCGAGGCCTTTGCTTTCCGCGGCAGCTCGCAGCCCAAGGATAAGAAGGGAAGCCGAAGCAAGAGACCTACCGCTGCCGACTTCATCTCCGACGAGGAAGAGGAGGAAGAAGATGATGACGAGGAGGACGGCGAGGGTGCTGCATTGGATGATGAGGACGACGAGATGGACGACTCGGATGACAACGAAGGTCTGACGGACGGATTGGAAGGGTCAGACGAGGACGAGGAAGACGAATTGGGTTCAGATGAAGAATCTGAGGAAGATTCCGAGGACGATGACGATGACGACGAAGACGACAAGCCTCGCGGCAAGTCCTCCAAAGCCGACGCCAGAGCCGAGCAGCGCAGGCTCATGAACGAAGGCTCAAAGGTCCTCGCCGCCTCCATCTCCGCCGCCGCGCAGCAAGACGCCCAAAAGGGCCTCGCCGTCCGCGAGCAGCGCAAGACCTTTGACGGCCTCCTCAACATCCGCATCAGGCTGCAAAAGGCCCTCGTCGCCACAAACTCGTACTCCGCCGTCGAGGACGACGAAGAAGAGCAAAACTCGGAACCGTACGAGGCGGCCGAGGAGGCGGCGCTCAAGCTGCTCAACACCCTCGACAGCTTCCGCGCCAGCTTGCTCCCCGCAGAGCTACAGCAGCAGCAGCAACAGGCCGGCGGCAAGCGCAAGAGGGGCGAAGCGTTCGACGCCGCGACCTCGAGCCAGGATATCTGGGAGGGCATTCAGCAAGCCGAGGAGCGCGCGGCCAAATACCGCAAAAAGGTGCTCGAGACGTGGTCCAGCAAGACGCGCAGCGCCACGGTGGAGGTCAAGTCGCGCAACCTCGTCTCCACGCAGACGTCCATCGTCGCCTCCCTCGAGGAGCAGCTCCTCTCCGCCGACCGCCTGATCAAGCGCACCCGCACCCCGCGCTCGTGCGCGCCGGCGCAGGTCGCGGCCAAGGTCAACGAGGACCCGGAGATCTACGACGACGCCGACTTTTACCAGCTCCTCCTCAAGGAGCTCGTCGAGCAGCGCACCGCCGACAACGGCGGCGCCGGCGCCTCGGGCGCGCAGCCCACGGTGCGGTGGGCGGCGATGAAGGAGGCAAAGACCAAGAAGCACGTCGACCGGCGCGCGAGCAAGGGCCGCAAGATGCGCTTCAACGTCCACGAGAAGCTGCAGAACTTCATGGCGCCCGAGGACCGCAGGGCGTGGGAGCAGGATGCCGTCGACAGGTTGTTCGGCACGCTGTTTGGCCAGAAGATGGAGCTAGGCGAGCAGGCTTCTGATGCGGAGATGGAGGACGATGAGGAGGTTGATGCTGAAGAGGCCGGTCTGCGGTTGTTCCGCAACTAGGACTGTGCAGGAATGTGAATAGCCGAAAGAAAAAAATGGGAAACTGGACACGCAAAAGTTTGTACATTCAAAGATATCCCCATGATATTTGACCGGGGCGAGAATTCGCATCAATAATCTCAAAGGACCATCATTAAACCGTTCCCCCTAAATCGTAACACCAGTCGACTTTCTAAGCGGCAACCCAGCCTTCACATACGCCATATCAATCATCCTCATCTGGCTAATACTATCCTCCCCATCAACCCACACGCTCGTCTCCCTGCCCCTGACGCGGTTGACAAACTGCTCCAGCTGATGCCGGTACGTGAACCAATACTCCTCGCCCTTGCCCGCCAACCCGGCCTCGTCAAAGGTATACGCCTTCTTGGACGTCTTCTCCATCCACCTCTTGACCACCTCGCCCGAGCCCGTCCGCCTCACCACAAACTCGTCCACGACGTCGATGCGGTGCCAGATCCCGCCCAGCATGAAATTCGCAAACTCAATCGTCCGCTTCCGCGTCTTCTCCTGGCCCGCGGGCAACTTGTCGTCAACAATCCTGACCTCCTTGTGCACGACGCTCAGCCGCGGCAGTCCCATCCCCAACGTCCCCGTCCGGAACGCACCCTCGGCGTGCGCCGTCCCGCCGTTGGCCATCCGCCACGTGATGTCCCACGCGTAATCCGCCCTCTCCTCCGGCGGCGGCATCGTCTTGAACTTGGCCGTCAGACACTCCTCGGGCTCGACGCCAAACGTCTGCCGGATGCTCGAGACGGTATACGTGCCCAAATCCATCAGCCCGCCGCCGGCAAGACCGTACTGGAACCGGATGTCGTCGTCCCCGAGCGCGAACCAGGGGATATACGCCCGCGCATGCACGTGCTCGACGTTCTCCTTGTCAACAAGCCCCATGAAGTACTGCCAACTCGGCTGGAAGCGGTAGTGGAACGCCTCCAGCAGGACGGGTGCTCCCTTCTCCTTGAGCAGCGGCAGCCGGAACAGGGTCTCGGCCTCCTCGGCGTTGGAGACGGACGGCTTCTCCAGCAAGACGTGCTTGCCCGCCTGCAGCGCCTTGAGGGCCCACTCGTAGTGCAGGCCGTTGGGCAGCGGGACGTAGATTGCGTCGAGCTCGGGGTCGTCAATGACGGCCTGGTACGAGTCCTTTACGTCCGGGATGCCGTGCTTCGCGGCAAAGGCCTCGGCCTTTTTACGGTCGCGGGCGGCAATGGATTGGACTATGACGTCCGGGTGAGTTTTGGCCGGGATGATGAGGGCCATTGGTCTACATCTCGGGTTAACTTCCAATTATTGATGATAAGGTAACTTGCAGGAGTTTTCTTTTTCACGAAAAGGCAAAGTCCGAGATGATACTTACGCAATGTTGGCTGCGCCCAGGACGCCGAAACGGATGGCGCCATCTTGCTTTGGTGCAACGGGCGGGTTGAAGATGAGATAGTTGCGGCGTAGGAAGCCGAAAACGGAGGCCATGATGGTGAAGGTGAGATACGCAGGAAGGGGGCTATGTGTGATTACAGATTACAGCTCAGTCAATTGAACTCAGTTCGCAACTCCAGCTACTCGCGAGTATTTATGAGAGCTAGAATGAAACTAATTGAGTGATGAGTGAACCAACAGACATATGCAGGGGAAAGTTGATTAACAATCTGGGGGCTGGTGTTGCAAGGCATGGGATGTTTCTCCTCACCGGCTTTGGTCCGCCGACGGACATGAGACGACGTAGCAGCACAAGGAAACGGAAGGGTTAGCTCAATCCCGGCGGGGTTCAACGGGCAATTAGGCCGATAACATCAAAGCTTAGTGCGGGTAGCTTATATTCGATTGCAGACTCTGGTCACATAATAACGAGGTGTCGCCGAGCTTGAAGTTGTTGGTTCAAATTGCCAAATATGGGCCTTGCATCCATCGTACCGCTTCTGGCAGGTGTTTTCCGTGTGCACCGTTGGACCGACCGTTGAAACCCCTGCAGATATCCTCAGACAAAACCCCGCCATCACTGCTGGGCATGTTGCGCTGTGGGAACGATGCATGTTATCACAGTCACCGTATGCATAGGCCGGTTGGTTGTCTCTTTTACTTCATTTTGAGAACTACGTAGGTGGGCTTTTCGCCATCATCATCCTACGGAACAGAGTAGACCACATCCCATTTTTGGTCTCATCTCTGTGGAGGTATCACCCATTAACTTTTCCTTTACAAAACATCGTTGGCGTTGAAGTCGAACAGAGCCTGCTTGACGCGCTCCTTCATGGTCTTCTCGCCCTCACGGACCCAGACTCTAGGGTCGTACTTCTTCTTGTTGGGCTTGTCGTCACCCTCGGGGTTGCCGACCTGGGTCTTCAGGTAGTCGATGTTCTTGGTGACGTAGTCACGGATACCGGTGAGGTAAGCCCACTGCAGGTCAGTGTCGACGTTGACCTTGACGACACCGAAGGAGATGGCCTTCTGGAACTCCTCGACGGCGGAGCCGGAACCACCGTGGAAGACGAAGAAGACGGGCTTCTTGTCGTCGGTGCCCAGCTTCTGCTGGACAAACTCCTGGTGCTTGCCGAGGAGCTCGGGGTGAAGCTTGACGTTGCTGCAATGGGTTAGAGCTGTGGTTTGCAGGTTTTTTGAGACACACGCGACTTACCCAGGCTTGTAGACACCGTGGACGTTACCGAAACCGGCAGCGATGGAGAAGAAGGGGCTGATGGGGCTCAGGGCCTGGTAGATGGCGTAGATGTCCTCGGGCTGGGTGTAGAGGGAGTTGTTGTCGACGTCCTCGTTGTTGACACCGTCCTCCTCACCACCAGTGATACCGATCTCCATCTCGAGCCACAGCTTCATCTGTGCGTAATGCGTTAGTGATAGGCGCAAGAAAAAGGTTTTGTTTGTGACTTACGGGAGCAGAGCGCTTGAGGTACTTGGCGGTGGTCTCGATGTTGTAGGCGACATCCTCTATGTAAATGTTAGTTGTGGCCTTGGGAAGGGTGGGATTGGAACTCGACTACACACCCTCGGAGAGATCGATCATGTGGGAGGAGAAGAGGGGGTGGCCGGAGCGCTTGAACTCCTCCTCATCGGCGGAGATCATGCCATCGAGCCAGGGCAGAAGCTTCTTGCTGTGGTAGAAGGTCAGTTTGCTGGGTATCAAGATTAGGCAGTTATGCTTGGAACTTACGCGCAGTGGTCAGAGTGGAGGACGACGGGAACGCCGTAGATGGGGGCGATAGAGGTGATGTAGTGAGCGGCAGCAATGGCACCGGCGACGGAAGCCTCCTGCTTGTCGGCGCTGTTGGGAATGCCCTTGCCGGCGAAGTAGGCGGCACCACCCTGGGAACTGCAAAGCTATCAGATATCTTGCTGACGTTTATGGTGTGGCTGATCTTGGATCCATGGGATCGGTATAGGATCTCTACGCACGTCTGGAGGATGATGGGAGACTTGGCCTCGCGGGCAGCCTCGAGAGCGGCAACAGCGGTGGAAGAGGAGGTCTGAGAGGCGGGGTCGTTGTTAGCCGATTGTTACCAAATATTATTTCCCCTCCACTTTGGACCGCACGACGCCGACTCAGCGCGCGTCACGGGATCGACAAGATTGATATTGATATGGCCGGGGCAACCAAAGGGGAAGCTACTTACGACGTTGGCAGCAGGAATGGCAAACTGCTTGGCCTTGGCGTAGTTGAAGAGCTTCAGGAGGTCATCGCCGTAGACGACACCAGGCTTGATGTTGAGCTCTGACAGGAGACCCATTGTGAACGGCGGGGTATCTGACGTGGGGTAGAAAAGATGTTCAGGTTGATTGCGTGTAGTAACTTGTCCAGAGTAAAGTCGGACTGTTTCTAGATTGATGCTCAGAGGCAGAAGGATAAAAAAGGTAAGAGAATATGCAGGGACAGGTATTGGAGAAGAGGGAGAAGAGTCAACAGGAAAGTTTGGATCGGGGTTGAGGTGGACGCGGGCGAGTTATGTTTGATTCCCACGAGCGGGATTTTACTCGGGCTGAGCAGGACTGGTCCAGTGTACCGCAGCTAAGGTACTGTACCAAGCCAGCCAGGCCCGGTCCACCTTGACCATCCGTCGATAGGCCACGCCTACGGCCAAGCATCGGTCCAGTTACCGGCGGGTGCTCTCCCACCTCTTCCAATTTGACCAAGCGTTGGCTGGTTGGCTGGGCGTGTTGCGTGAGGTGCGAGGTAAGGTACATGGGTGACGCCGATTTGGCCGTGGTTTCCCCTTCAACTGCTCCGAGCGGGAGTACTTTACCTGGTGGTTCTGAGGTGAGGTACCTGACTCCGTCCATGAGGAGCTCCGCTCTGCCAGCTTGCTTCAATGCTTTGGGGGAAGTACCACCGTCCACCGAGCATCCCATGCTCCCTCCTTCTTTCCTGCCTTTGGTCACTCCGGTAATGGGAGGAGGTGGATGTACCTGTCCTGGCACCTTCCGTCTGGAATTATACATCAGTCACGAACATGAACCCGTGACATAATAGAGGAATCTTAGGTAAGAGACTTTAGGCAATGCATCTTCCTTTCACACACTCAATTACCTACTTTACACCAAGACAGCAAGCAAACGGTTTGACCTGTGGCTGGATCCGAGCAGTGCTTCCATTGGGAGAAACAAGTCATCAACAACACTGCGCCTGTCTCAACCCAATGGAACACCGTGAGTTGTTGAGGGGCAAGTACCTCGACCGGGCGGACAGCAAGAGGGGTACTTCGGACAGCTACGAACAGCCCCTCTATTTCCTCTTACCACCACGTCAAACGCGAGTAACCCCTCCCCCCACCCGGCCATCAAATTGACGTCAAAAAATTGATACTGCACCACTTTCTGCAGGGATCCAATCGTCGCCTCTGCTTTTTTTGGTCTCTTTGGGTCAAGGAGCCATCAATAATGGCGGGGGCCTCGACCTGACACCACCGAAACCGCCTGCAACAGACCACCTGAACCTGGGCAAACGGTACGGATACACCTGCGACCTTGGTGCCAATGGCGCGCCGACACCGCCATTGGCCGGGGGGCGCAGACTGCTGACAATCATGGCATTTGACTTTTCCACCTCCAGATCTCTCGGCCTTATTATTTTTTGTCCACCACTGCGATATTTAACGTACAGTAGTAGCCCCGTCGCCCATCGAATGACTCAACTCTCTGACCTCTAGGGTTGCGACTATTATCATCACGCAGGGTGACGTCTCACCGAGACCGATTCTCGGTGTAATTTTCCCATCTACACCTCAGATGCTTACTTGGTCGGTGGGAAACCAAAGTGATACCTTCGTACCTAGAACTAATGGATGTTATTCTAGGTTCACCCGCATCAACGAATCTCCGCCTCACAACCCCTCCATCCCACCCACACCCAACCCATGCTATCCCGACCGACCATTTCCTTACCTCATGTGCGCCGGGCCCCGGAAAAGCCAGACCAATCGCGCTGCCCCATGACGATAACCTCCCCCGGGGGACCATGAACTCATCCCGTCCGCTTCCCGTCTGCGCCCTCACGTTTCCACCCCCAGCCTTAGCCCATTGCCGAAGGCCCGGAAAGATGCGGGATCGTGTCCAGCTTCCATCCTTTGTCCGCCGAAAACCGACTCTGCACGCCTTCAAAACGCCCCTCGACGCCATTCTTTCCTCGGCACAATCGTCCTCCAAGGCGCGATACCTTCTTTCATTGCCGGAAGAATTACCCACGCTTCGGCTCATCTCGTGTCTCTGATATCGTGCCTCTCCACTTCCAACAACTCGCCTGTCCACCTTCCGGCGCAAACACGAACTCGGAGTCTCGAATCTCGGGTCCAAACCACGAGCTTGCATAGAGCCATCCATGCCATGGCTTCGCGACCTCTCAATAAGAACTGCCAACCAATGAATGACGCCGAAACTGGGAATCTCTTCGAGCTCATCTATTCAGTTCTACCGTCGTCTTGACCAATATCTAGCACTCGTCATCTTCGCCAGTGTACCATCCCGGGAAACGCTGGGCACCTCGGCCATCTCTCCGGCCTTGCCATGTCTTCATTAGCGCCGTCAAGTCATGGGTATGTATCCGGGCGTCCTGCTCTTTCTTGCCTCGCTATATACGATCTCCCGCTCTAAACCAGAGCACCCTTTCCGAACCTAGCCTCCCAAAACCCCCTCAGTCGAGATCCAGCTCCTCCATTGCCTCTGCAACAAAGGTCTGGTCGGCTTGACGCCCCGAAGATGCCCGCTCTTCCGACCGCACCGCGCCATCATCCCCAGCCTCGCTAGTGCTGCCCTCGCTCTCCGTCTCCGGTGGCGTCTGCAGCCCCGTGGCGTCTCGCGCCCGCATGTTCCGCTTCAGCATGCACATCTCCACCGAGATCCCCGGCCCGAACGCACACCCCACCACGTAGTCCCGGGCTCGGCCCTCCGGCGCCACGGCGTCCATGTCCTTGGACCGCAGCCTGTCCATGACGCTGAATATCGTTGCCGAACTCGAGTTTCCGTGATTGATATATGTGTCGTAGCTCGCCCGCATGTGGTACGATGTGATGCCCATCGTCGTCTCTGCCCCTGATAAGATCGTCGCTCCTCCGGGGTGCATCGCCCAGTCGAAGTCTTCGGGTTTCTGATAATTCGATGGTAGTGATGGTACGTCGGAGACCATCTCTGCAAATGTCGACGGGATTGCCGCCGATGCGAGCTTCGGCACTCGTGGGGTAAGGATTACTTTCCAACCTGGATTGCTTTAGTCACGATACTTTGGTTGCTTCACAATGGAGTTCTTGAACTCACCAACAGGGTCGACATCGAAGCCGAGGTCCTGATCCGTGTCGGGTATGATCTTGTGCTCCCAACCCAACAGGTCGTAGACGGGTTCCGTTGGCTCGCCGACGCCGTTGCTAAGCACCACGGCGCTTGCGCAATCAGAGAAGAGCGCAACACCGATCCGGGTTTCTTGCAACTCGTCGATGCTGTTGAGCTCGCTGCGCACCATGGTAGTGCTGACCTCGAGCGCAACGCAGAGGATCCTCGCGGGTTTCCCGCGCGCCTTGTGCCCCAGTGCCAGGTTCGCTGCCGTCCGGAGCGTTGCCAGCCCACCGCTGCAGCCAACGCCGTGGAGCAGAACCTTTTCGACCTGGTGTGTGATGCCGAGGCCGTTGACGACGTAGTGGTCGAAGCCCGGGTTGGCGCTGTCGGTGCAGGTTGTCGATACGACGTGGGTGATTTCAGAGAGGTCGATGCGCGCTTCTTCGATTGCTTTGCGGGATGCTTCTACGGCGAGGGGCACGCCATCGCTCATGAAGACCTTGTGCAGTTCTGCGATAGAGGGGGCGTCTTTCTGGTTGACGACTTCGTGCTCGTGGGTGCCGATGGAGGAACGGTAATCGATGCCGGTGAATCTGTTGATGGACAGAACCTTTTTCATCCTACATGGTAGCTGTGGTTAGAAGATGTCTTGCTACGACTAGATAGGCTACCCAATTTGCTTACGAGGGCGATTCTGGATAGAACTTATTGCTGAGGTAGTCTATTGAGTCTGTCTTGAGCGAGTAGGGCGGATACTGGCTGGCGACGCCAATGATGGAGAGACCAAGCTCCCCGAAGGTGTTGGGAGCCGCCATTGTGGATTGTGTGTACGGAGAGCTGCGATGCGGGGGAGGGGTAGCTCAGCAGTTCCTCTCGATTGGATGTGTCGTTTCGTGCGTATTAATTTCTGCTATGTGAAAATCGACGTTGAACCAGAAAAGATCTAAGGTCAATGGCAGGTTGAAGAAGAGAGGAAGCTTGTCGAAGCTCTGGAGAAGCTGCGAGAGGCGTTTGGCAAGGGGGTAGAGCTATGTGCGACTCGCAATGGGCTTTGGCGCAAGAGAGAGAGAGAGAGACAAGGATGGATGGGTGCTAGGCGGCTGGTAGCTGAGGTGCGCGTACTGGGAGTGATGATATCACTGCGGACGAACAGCAACACAGAAATTGCCAGTGTAAAACGTAAGACACCAACGTTGTAGCGCGGATAGAATTGTTGGTCTAGTGTATTGTGCCAACGTGGTGTACTTCGTATGTTGTCGACGGGAGAAACGATGGACACAGGCGAAGCGGGTACTAGAAGAGAGCTCTAGGTCTCTGGCATGTCGATTTTAGGTGTCTGGAAAGGAAACTCGAAAAGTCGGTCAGGTATGGTCAGGCCAGATGTGTGTTCAAAGCCAAAGGATAGAGAGCGAGCGGGAGGCGAAGAAAGATAATAGACGAGAGACAGGCCCGTCATGCATTAAGGAAACATAATAGTGACGCCGGCATTGAGCATGGGTGGTGGTGGTTGGTGACTTGGTTGGTGGTGGTGCCCGTGGTGCCGTGGTGGGTGGGATGAGGCAAAGGCGACGGGGGGTGGAGGGGGGGGAGTAAAAAGGACAGTATCCGTATGTAAGGAAACACAAGCGCCGGTCGTAGTTGCACCTTGAGCTCAACAAAAGTGGTTGGCCAAGAGGAGCTACCCTTGCCGTACCTTGTCCGTATGGCGGTGCTCTTTCTACCTGCTGATTACTAGGCTTGCCTTAGACCACGATGCTTCCTCTAAAGTCCGTACACTACCTATGGGCATATGAACACTGGAAATAGAGAGAGAGAGAGAGAGAGAGAGATAGACGGCAAGACGGGGCTGGTCAAGAGACGCGCCGTGTTTGCTTGTGGCGATAATGGCAGTGTGGCCATAGTGGGCGAGTCGGGTCGATACTCGATACCAACAACAGAGTCGGAGGAGTTGTTGCACCGTTTCGTTTCGCATTCATGTTCTCCCACCCCATCTTAGGTTCCCCCGACTCGGGGTTCTGCCTCATCCTGGAATGTACGAGAGAGAGGCCCCCGGAATGACTTCCGTGCCCGGTTACTGCTCAGGGGTCCAGCAGTGTAACGCTGCAGTGCGGTTAGCTTGCAAGGTTGGAGGTGAAAAAAGTAGGGTAGCCAACCCCGGAACTGAAACATTGTCTGAATCCAATCTTCGGAGCCGGGCTCACGCGAGGCGGCGAGGAGGTGGAGTTTTTGTTTTTTTCTGGGCTGCTTCTTGATAAGTGATACTTGCTCGGTCTTCGCTGTTGGTTCTGGAGTTGGTCCTTGAGGGCTTGGACACCACATGAAGAGTAGTCCTTATCGCGATGAGCAACATGATCCCTGTGCGACATTGATCTAGTAAAGGAAGCTGTGAATACGTGATTAGACAGGCAGGAAAGCTAGAAGCTCCTATGGGCCTGCTCATGAGCCGTGATTGCACTGCGGCCGATCAGTCTGGCTGTACTATCTCACTGCCCAAAAAGTAAGTGGGTGTGAAGGGTCGTTCCCAGATGGGATCGGCCGCCAGCTGTCAGGAACCAAGATGTGGTTATTGGGAGGCCATAATCTGACATGCGTTGGGATATCCGAAGAACTGGGCTGGGTTGGTTGGACGCTGCTCATGCGCTGCTCATGGTCGCTTGTGTACCAGTTAGTCGCCATCCATTTTTTCTATTTTATTTTTCTTCGTCTCATAACTTTGCTAATGATTTGCCATGACCAAGAGGTCGGCACGTCTCATCCGATACTGTGTTCCATCCCAAGTCAGTCCACGTCTTCCAGAAACGGAACTGGTTTGGGAGTCCGTCCCGCGGCCCGCGCTCACGCTGCCATCTCTTTTTCATTTGACATCTCTACGCAGTGCATGTTACCGAGCAGACAGGCCATGACCTCAGTATGCATAGGTTGATGAATAACACAGCGCAGAGGCACAGGCCGACGGGTTTTGGGAGCTTCATTGCGAAAAGACACGCGGCATGATTCATGAATTGGCTCCAGGCGGGGGCTTTGAGGCGCCCTACGAGAGTCGCAGCTGCTTGAATGAACCCCAGTAGCTTAAATCCTCAACCTCGGCTCCTAGAGCTTTCCGAATCGACCGCCATGGCACCAAGCTTGCGGGTGCACGTCACAGGATTTCATGCGTAATCGGCAAGGTTGCTGGGTCTTATTCTCCTCGAGAGCCAGTCAAAGGCACCTCAATGGAGCTGACCAGGTCTCATAAGGCATCACAGGTACGGAGTACAATTTTGCATGGCCCAGCTATGGGTCTGTACAAATACTCTGTACAGGTGTCGACAGGGCGATTGGGCCTGATTTGCAGCATCCTCCAGGATTCTTGTTTCCCAAGGCACGTGTGCTAGGTAAGGTATCCAGATAATGACCATTCGTACAAAAAAGACAAAATAGAGTAATGTAAACTCAAACTTCGTCGGACCCAAGGCCTGTTGCAATCATCGTTCATGAGCAAAGCCACTGTAACTTACGTCGAAGCCGGAGGCAGGTTTCCAAAATAAAAGTATCAATCCCTCCGCTCGGACTTTTGAGTTGCTCCACGGCCGACCGAGCTTTTCAAGTCTCACCGTGCCGGTGAACCTTTGCGGATCCGGCCAGCTCCGGATTCTGAACTCCGGACCGACCGTGTCACTCTTCGATTAGGAAATATCGTGTACCCAGGTAGCAACAGAGACAGAGCATCAGTGGCTGAACCCTGTAGGTAGGTGCCAATATGAACGAACTACAATGATCAACCAAGGTAGTTAATGCAGACTCAAAAGCTCACTGCATGCAATAGTTCCACTCACACACACCCACTCACCACGTTCAGCTCCTCAGCTGGGGTTGACAGACATAGACGCATCACCGATACAACCCTCCACATGATGCTGCCGCCAATGATCCAACCCGCAAAACTCCCCTTCCTCTTCCACATCGCCATCGAAACCGCCGCCGCGTGCTCCTTCATCCTCAGGCCAGGCAGTCAGCTGACTAACCCATCGATCGCTGCGCAGCTCGTGCTGCAGCAATTCGGTGGGCTGCTGCTGACGATGAACCTCATCTGCCTCATCTTTGTATCGCGGCCGTTTGACGAGACGAGCAGGCAGGTCGCTGCGGCGCTGGCGTTTTGGCATGTCTGGCCGTGTTGGCGCGCCTATGTGCGATTGACGAGGCCCGAGGTGGATGGTCTGGGGAAGGAGAAGGGAGGAGAGGTGAAAGCTACTACGCAAAAGACTCTTGGAGGGCCGGCTGTTCATCTCGCGGTACATGTTGGCATGTTTTTGTTATTTGCTAGGACTGTTTTCATGTGACAGCCTAGAATGTAACCACTGCTGCTGGTTGACCTTGGAAACTGAAAATAACGTTATTGCTTCAATGTTAGGAGGAAAACCTCCGTAAATCCAGTGCTGAATAAGGTTGGCATGATTTGGCTCGCCGTCTCTCTTGTCGAGGCCGGTAAACACATCCATCCCATCCCAGCCTTCCCTTCCTCTCATCGAGATGCCAACGCCAACTCAACCACGTCCAAACCCGCCTTTGGCAACCTCAATAAACTCCTCCTTACTAACCCACCCCTTGCCCGAAATATCCGCCATGTCAATCATCCTCCTCATATCCGCCTCGCTCAGCGTAGAATTCACCTCGCCGCACACGGCCCGCAGACTCTCGAGCGTGACCCGCCCCGTGCCGCGGGGGTCAAACATCTTCCACGCGTCCTCGGCCTCCTCCTGCGGGTCGCGGCGCATCAGCAGCCACGCCGCGATGGCGGAGAAGTGCTCCTGCGGCATGCGCAGGCGGGACGGGCTGCAGGGGCCCCGCGAGGGGTCGTGGTCATGCGGCGGGACGCCGTGGGCGAGGAGGAGGGCGTAGGTCTCTGTGCGGGCCAGGTCGAAGCCGATGGCGCGGAGGGCAAAGGGCCACTCGCGCGCGTTGAGGGAGCCGAGGCCTTGTTGGTCGACGACTTCCCACTGGTGAGGGGTGTCAGCGATGTTTGCGCGTAGGATGAGGAGGGAGGGAGGAAATGGAGATACGTGGATACATGATTTGACCAAGTCGACTCTCGGATTATATAGGAGAGCATGATGAAGTAGTGCTAGATAATGCAAGGACTTACAGCTTCTCTGATGTTTTGTTGCCAGTCGGAGGGTAGGGCGGCTAGGTCGCGACGACCTTGCGTCATGTCGAACATTGCCGATGGGGTAGACATCGCTTCGTTTGTATGTGTGATATGTTTCTTTCTCCCCTTCTCCTTGGAACCGGTTTTGGTGCTTCTGATAACTCAGATGGAGGTGAGTCTCGAGACTTCCTTGCAGCGGTTGCTAGCTTGACGAGGTAAGGCAGGCACAAAGAAAACGAGAGTGAGTGCCAATGGTGAAAACAAAAAGCGTGGAATTTCAAAGGGGTATCAGAAATATGGAACTTGAAGGCGAGAACTGGGGGAGGATGTCACTATGAGTTCTTCATATGTGAGATCTCATGCTTAGCGGGCGGTGGGGCTCGGCTTCTTGAACGAGAGCTTTCAGTGAGTGAGATGTCGCGTCTGCAGCTCAGTTTCCTCTCATCGCGAATTCGACCGCGATGAAAAAGGTACGTACACGAGCCATGGAGAAGGTTCGGTGGGGTCATTTACACCAGATCACGTGATATTTTGACGTCCTGATGACTTAGACGTTCATCAAATGGGTTATGCACTGTTGTTTGGTCTTTCTCGATGGACTAAAGATGCATTGTGAACACAGGTCACTTTGACAGTAATAGATTGCATTGTTCTAGTCATGTGCTGCCGTCCCAGGTAGTGCTATTGCAAGTGAATGAAGCTGAAGCTCAGCCGAAGATACTCCGCAAACAGATCCAGTCTACGTAGAGCCAATCAATTACATCCTCTCATCACCACCCCCGAGGCATTGTCAGTCTCCCGGGTCTCTTCAATTACATTGTGCATTGCATCGCTCTTTGACGTTGAGGGTGATTGTGTATCACCTGTCAAAGGCCACAGAATGAGGCCAACATTATTCCGTCCGTTTCAGTCGACTCTCCGAGTCCTGGGCCATGAAAACCCCTTGGTATAACTCACGCTTCTCTCTCACTCTCACTCTCATGCGCCACTCCAAACTCAAGACTTACCAACATGTCCTACAGGGCCTGCCGAAATCCGGCACACCGCCCAACTGGCCCAGGAAGCCCGTGAAGAGGAAGATTACCGGCGTGGAGAAAATCATTGCAGTTTCTTCTGCCAAGGGTGGCGTTGGCAAGAGCACAGTCGCAGGTAGGTTACGCAGCTCGGACTGAAGCTTGTATGCAAAGGGGCAAAGTAATAATCAATATTCATAGCAAACTTATCGTTGGCGTTTGCACGACTAGGCTACAGGGCTGGCATCCTGGACACCGATATCTTTGGCCCGTCTATTCCGACACTCTTCAACCTCTCCGGAGAGCCTAGGCTCTCAGAAAGTAGGGACTCCAAACCGTATTGATCGTCCAAGTTCGCCAACTGACACTACCGTCAGACAACCAGTTAATCCCGATGACTAATTACGGCGTAAAGACCATGTCCATGGGCTACCTCGTGCCAGAGGATGACGCCGTGGTATGGCGAGGCCCCATGGTGATGAAGGCGATTCAGCAGCTACTTCACGAAGTCGACTGGGGTGGATTGGATGTTCTCGTGCTCGACCTGCCTCCAGGCACGGGCGACACGCAGCTCACCATTACACAGCAGATCATACTTGATGGTAAGTCATGTTTCAATGTCGCAACACTGGGCACATATATACCGGCCATCGCTTACAATAGCCAGGTTCCATCATTGTCACCACACCCCATACGCTCGCAGTCAAAGACGCGGTCAAGGGCGTCAACATGTTCAACAAGGTCAATACCAACATTTTGGGCTTAGTGCAAAACATGTCACTCTTCAATTGTCCACACTGCAACGGCGACACACACGTTTTTGGGTCCAACGAGAGAGTCGAGCGCATGTGCAGAGAGCACAAGATCGACTTCCTAGGCGACATCCCCCTGCACCCATCCATCGGCGATGATGCGGATCTGGGCAAGCCCACCGTCGTATCGGAGCCGTCGAGTGCCAGGGCGGAAATCTTCCTCAAGATTGCCAAGGATATTGCCCCGAAGATTGACCTCCGCTCACCGTAGCTCGCCAATGACATGTGACGGCCAGTGAGCGACGTATTCTGAGGCCGAAATGAGAGTGTAGGATATCCTGTATAGCCAGATGTTTAGTCAAGGTGGCCAAGAAGCTGGGGAAGTTGGGCATCTCATGTATTGGTAACAAGGACCCCTCCGCGCCTGATGCGCAGAGTCCAGATGAGATCATAATCCCATGTCCACCTGGAGTGAGTAAAACACATGTGTACAAACCGTTAGCCTATGTAACGCGGAAACAAGACACTTTACCATGAAGAGAATGAGAGTGCCAAATCACCCATGAACGCCAATGCCTTGACCCTCCTTCCCTCAAGATCCTCCCGCATCCCTACGCCCTAGCAGCAGTTAGTCGAGCTCATCGTTTTGTTGATACACGTGTCGACTGCGAGCAGTGTCTTTCCGCATAGCTTGGCCAGAGCCTGTGAAACCAACTGTAATTGTGTCAGCATCATCCTCAGTATTGGTTCGGCGCATACAACGTACCTCGGCCGCCAACGCCGTCGGGTGTGCGGAACATGCTGTCCTTTTTGTGCTTTCCAAACTTGGACTTTGAGTTGAACTCCTGCCACTTGGATTTGCCCTTTTCCAATTCTTTCGTGGCCTTGATCTTCTTGGCTTTGGGGGGCTTTGCGGCGCCATCGGCAGCATTCTTCTCTGCTTCAATCTTGGCTTGTTGCTCCGGGTACAAGCTAGCTGCTGCGGATGTAACGACACCATTCGAGGGGCCCGGCGGACGTGCGGTCTGTTGTGCGGTGCTAGATGCGGGAGCTGGTGCTCCGTCAGCCTTGCGTTTGTTGGACATGGGGCGGATGTCCTTGGCTCGCAGCGTTTCCGTGTTGTCATAGCTCTTGAACTTGACAATATAGACGGGATCTGTTGAAGAGCCGGTGATGGATGTGATTCGCGCAGGATAGAAGCCTCTGTCGCCCGATGCCCATTTCGCCATGACAGTGTCATTCACCGAGTACGTGACCGGTGGTTCCTCCTTCTCTTCGGGGGCGGGTGCAGCCTTCTTGAAAGCTGGGTGGTTTTCCTTGGACCACTTCTCGGGCTCCGGCGGGCTGGGGGCTTTCTGAGGAACGGGCTTGGGCGCCTGCTTCGGCTGCAGCTCAGCAAGAGACTCGTTTAGGAGGGAAATCATGTCATTCAACTCCGCCTGAAGATTCTTGAGTTCAGCATTTTCGGGATCATCTTTAAGGCCGGCGAGAACAACATCGAGCTGTGGAAGTTACGTTAGCGAAGAACATATATGATGTCTGAACGTCGAGGTGTTGCGTACCTGCTCTTGATACTGTTGGCGATCCTCCTTCAAAGCTGCAATTTGGCCCGACATGATGGCGGCTGCAGAAGCGGTCTTTCGAGGGTTGAGGCTGTGCGGGTTTAGGAATTGGAGGATACTTAGATATTCAAAGTAGAGTCGGTCCCGACTAAAGTTGTTCCAGCGTTGAATTGCTGGGATGATGCGGATGTCGGTAGAATGATGGTGAAGCATGCGCCTGGTTGATCTGTGACGAACTGGGGATGGCGTCCATTTGCGGAAAGAAGCTTATCCGGCAGAGTCACGTGGAGATAATGGGGAATTCTGGGTGAACCAACTGCATCGTCATTCCCGATATTGGCCAATCACCGAGTGCCTGATTCGTGCAGCCACCCCCCCAGACTCGAAAGTGGGATTTTTTTAGGAATCGTGGAATGCAGGGGTGGGAAGCGGTTGAAGTCGGTTCCAGGCGCACCTCAAAGCAGCACGCACAGGTGCTGACGATGGACGTTAGCGGGCGTGGCATGCCGAGAATGGTCCTGAATGGCGCCGGAGCCAGCAGTGGAGAGGGAATCGTGGGTGCCTCCCATGGTCTCGGGTACCTTGTCTAAGGTAATTTAGCCAAAGGGTACCTTAGACAAATGGACGGGAACTTCGACCTGGCCCTTTTCCCTCTTCTTCACTCTCTTTCTCATTTTACACTCCTCATTTCTCCTCGCAGCTTCTTCTCTAGAACGCAGATACCCGAACTCCCACTATACCTCGACTACGATACGACTCTCACCTCCAGTTGTCATCCCTTTTACTGCGCAATTGCTCGCCGCAATCGGCCCCCAATTGGGCGCGCCTTGTCCAGCCCGCGCTCTCCCAGAGTTCCAGTGCTCTCCCTCCCTGTAGTTTTCGACGCATTACCTCATTGAAACAGCAACGCGGGCAGCCACCACCGCAATCCGTCGGTCCTCCGAACGCCCACGCAACGTACCGCACCGCACCGCACCGCACCGCACCCGCGCATCAGAGAGAACAAGCCTTGCTACCACCCCCAAAAACCTGTCGACACCCATGACATTGTTGTACCTTGGCTGCAACGGCACATCATAGTACCTATTCGTCAAGTACCGGTATCCCCCAGGGGGCCAAATAAGCAACCATGGTTCGAGACAGAGACAGAGACGGTGATGAATCTTCCGCGCCCAGCCAATCAAGGCGCCCTCCTCTCAATCATCAGGAGAGCGATTCGACAAACAGCGACCAGGCTCACCGAGACCACCATCATCAGCACCGCTCGAAATCCCAAAAGCACGTTGTTGGCGGCGGTCGCCTGCATGCACGCGTTCCTTCCTCCAAAGCACTACACAAACACCATGGCTCGACGGCCTCAAAACTAAACAATCACCGCCGACAAGCATCCCCCTCGCCCGATCGAAATCGCGCCTCCGCAGCTGGCCATCGCCGAGTCCAATCTGAAGCAAAACTCTCCCGCGACAGCTCCTCCGCGAACCTCAGCAAAACCGCCTCCGCGACGAGCTTACGGAGGAACAAATCCCACGGCGAAGTCAACAAGCCCGCAAAGATCAAGTCGGTGGAGAAACTCAAGAGAACTAGCTCGAATCCGGCCGTGAACAAGGTCAAGTCGCAAAAGTCGCAGGTACATTTCGACTTGGGGAACGACGGCCAAGACGACGAATGGGTTGACGCCAGCACATCCGCTTCACCATACCTATCAAGACGAGGATCGCTCGCCAGCACACAAGCCTCTGCGAAGCCTGACGACGGCAGCAGCAGCGCGAATAACTCCGCCAGCAACTCGGCCGGCAACTCTGCGAACAACTCCAGAGCAGAAACTCCCGCAGCACAATCATCACCCCTGGTCCCAGCGACACCCGACCGCGAGACCGTACAGCACAAGGCCTATCTGACCTCGAGATTACTCCAACGCACCCCTTCCCACGGCGCACCTCCCAAGATGACGGCAGACACAGTATCCGTCTCACGGCGGGGCCACTCCTCATCCCCCGACTCCATCGGCCGCGGCTCGACCCTAGGCGACTCGCACAACGTCAGCACCTTACCGGGTAGCGCCGGCGACGAGCTTATTTCGAGGTTCGTCAACGCAGGAAGCTCCGGCGCGGCGCGCGAAGGATCTTTCTACCAGCTCCCAACGCCTGGGCCGGCGAGCTTACGGTCTGAGGAAAACCCCTCTCGAGGGCGACCGCAGTCCTCGGGGTCCGGACGCCAAGGAAGACACCGCGATCTGCCATTATCAGACGATGAAGACGGCGACAGCGCTCTCGAAACTCGCAAAACCCGCGATACCACTGACGGTACAGCGCTCGCGCCACGGTCAGGAAGGCGCTTCGCTCCGCCGGCTGAAAAGTCGCGAACGCAGCAGAAGCTCAATCTGCAGCGCGCCAGCTCCGTCATCGAGCCAGGCCAGGCGGTAGGAGGAGGCGTGGGCGCAGTGGGCGCGAGCCCCCTAGTCGGCATTGGCGGGCCGGGCTACGACGGCGGCGCGAGCCGCGACCCACGCGTCGCAAAGCAGCTGGAACGGACAGGGATGGAGTACCTCAGCGTCCGCCGCTTTCAGAACCCCGTGGTGCGTTCGCTGGATCGTCTCGCGCAGGTGAACCGCGCAAACAAGACGCAGCGGATACCGCGCAACGGGACCGCCAATGGCAACGGCAAGGCCGCGTCGGTACGGGGGGGCGTTACGCCGGCAGGGCAGCATATGCGTAACTCGAGCCTGAATGAGGCGGCTCTGACTGCGGCATCGGGCGGCACCGGCTCCGGTAATGGCTCCACCCGGAGACCCGTCACCCCGCGCGCTTATTCCATCCGGACCAACGGGGCTGGGTCGAGCTACGAGGCCGACGGCGACGATCATCAGAGCAGTCGCGCCCTTCACGAGGGAAACGGCGTCCAGGGCCTCAGCGGGTCGAGTCTTGTGGGTGGAGAGGAAGACGAGGGTATCACGGCGATCCTCCGCAACCTGTGGGAGAAGAATCCGGACCTCAGTGCCAGCCAGGAGTAGGTTGACCAGGCTGGCTACGTGGATCTAGATATCATTCCACTTGACTCGTGAACCCTGAGGAGGAGACGAAGTGACCATACACCCAACGTTGATAAGCAAGCCGGGTCACGATCAGGAGCGAAGCGAAGGGAGGATGCGTGTTTTAACAACGGATAAGGCGTACTACAAATGAGGTCTTCAACGGGCCTGGACGGGACATGGACGGGAGGATTACAGTGATGGGATGGCCCGCCCGGGGTGATTCTTTTGAAAAAGCATCAGGTGGCTGGCTGGCTGACTGTCAATCCAGTCTCTGATATCCAGGTTTTTAGTTTGGCTCTTCTTTGCAGATAAACAAGGGCAGGCGAAATGGGAAATGGCGGCATACACAAAGAAAGACTTTTAATAATTCCAGCACGCTTTTGATTTTCAGAGACCATCCAATGTTCCCCTCAGGGATTTGTCAATGGGGTTCATATTGAACTCTAGGAAGGGTATTTGATTCACATGCATCCTTCAACGGCCGGACATGGTTGGCTTGTATCCCACACATGAGCGTTGCATGAGCGTTGAGTTGGGCGAAAAGCCACATGGATATAATAAAAGATGTGACATACATACACGCACACACACCTCAACTGGTGAGCTCGGTGAAACCAAGTGGACCAAGGAGACTGGCTCTGCACACTTCAGCCTCTCTGCTGGGACTCACTCTACAGGTGAGCTTAGATAAATATCTGCCTCCAATGATTGATCCGCTCAGACCAAAATCTCACCAAAGGCATGCCACTGGCTCACACAGACAATGTTGAGGAACACACAAACACCGTCTTTGGCACTCAACCCCCCACCCGCTCTAAAAAAAAATTAAAAAAAAAAAAAAGGAAAAAAAAGGAAAAAGGTTTCACATGCGCAGGCACACACACATACACACACACACACATGCAGACTCACTAAGTGACACGCAGATATGGCTGAATTCTTCTTTATTCGGTCCCCTAAATAGCGTGGGGGGTCATACGCCCATCAATGCCCTTTCAACGGGTGGACGGGGGCTATGTACGTCTGTATGCCTCTCTTTCGTCTCCGTTCCTTGTCCAAACCATTGACATAAACCCAAAACGCAATACTATTTACCTCCAAGAAAACCCGACTTGCAATAACACCGAGAGCGCCGGGTCATTAAGAATGACTAATCAGAATGCGATGCCCAAATGGCTCGGAGGGGAGGCTATGCTCTGCTACACTCCAGCCACAAGAAATATTCGAGACGACTGAGACCTCGAGGGCGCCGGCGATTGAATGAGACTCTCGTTCGTGTCGTTCGTATTATTCGTTCTGCGTCTATTTGGTGATGAAGCCAAGGTAGTCGGCAACGATGAGTGTTACCATTCTGTTGGAAACGCACTATTGTTAGCACACAAACATGGTACCTAAAACACGGGCACACGGGGTTGAGATGGTCCACTTACGCATGGGGAGCAATGCGGACGTAGTAAGTACCGAAACCGCGGTAGAAGCGCATAACGCCCTCCTGCTTAGCCACCTTGGCGAAGCAGTCGGCCATTGACTTGTACGGAAGCTTGCCATCGGGTCCCTTGGACTGCTTCTGAAGGCGGGTCTTGACGAAGTCGAAGGGCAAAGAGAAGAAACTGGCGAAGAAACCGGCAATGGCGCTGGCGGTAAGAGTCTGAACTTGAGAGGACAGCTGCGTATTCTGCTTGAGCTGCACCTTGGCCTCGCTGAAGAAGGCGAGCTGACCAAAGTTGAGAGCCATAGCACGGACGACCGTGGGGGCGGCACCGGCCCAGAGAGCGGCAACACCTTCAGACTTTGCAATGCTTGAGAGAGCGTCGATGACACTCTTGTAGTTCTTGCGCTCAGCAAGGGGCTTCAGTCCGTCACTCTGCATGCGGATGAGGGCAAGGTCGGCAGGATTTCCAATCATGGCGGCAAGACCTCCGGCTGCGAGGCCTGCGGTGGCACGTTCCTTGAAGCCAATGGCGTTTCCTTGCTCTTTGGCGCGTTGGCCGAGCTTGCCCATAAAGGTGTCAAAGAAGCCCAAGCGGGCCGTTGTGTAGACAGCTTGGCGCAGGAGACCGGCCGACAGACCGGTGTAGAGGTCGAGGGCCTTTCCGCTAGCAAGAATTTCCCGGGTGACTGACAATGGTGTAGGCTTGGGTCCTCCGGCAACACCCTCTCCAGCGAGCTGGATGCGGACCTTAATCATGTCGACGGGCTGGATAACAGAGGTGGCTACCATGCCGCTGATACCGCCATTGATGAAGGGCAACGCTGCCCTCATGACAGGAGTGTGAAGGAAGTCATTGGCGACAGCGGCACCGTCTCCCTTCAGAACTTCTGAGGTGCGAGTTCGTGCGGCCTCAGCTGCCTGCTTGATGGATGAAGAGCTCATGATGGTGGATGTGTGAGTAGGACTGAATCACAGTATACTCTAGTATTCAACTCGGTGTAAGTTGAAGAGGTCGTCGAGAATGATAGCTGCTTCGGGTAGACAGTCGAAGAGCTAGGATGAGAGGTAGAGAAGCTGTCAAAGAGAAGAAGAGAGGACACTAGTTAGCCAGCGTTCGATCCAAGAGGTTTCACAGGTAGCTTTATAGTATGAGAGAGAGAGCTCCCTCGTTCTTCCGTGCCTGTCAAATACCAATGTTAAGACAACCCCCCGGTCAGTTTGAACGAGGACCAGATCCGGTGGGGGTCCAACAAAAGCATGAGACGGGACGCAAAGACGCAATTCCACATTTGGGCTATGGCAAGTCCCACATGCAGAAACGGGCGCACGTTGGACAGGGTATGCAGATGAGTGGTGTAGTGCAAGTGCGCAGGCTTCGGCGTAGAGTAGATGCAGAACGAGACAAGGGCTGGGCATCCGGCGGAACTAGAAGCAGTGACCGAGGTGACGGTCCCGGGTCTCATCGGCCTGGAAGATGAGGCGGTGGGGGCGGGGGTATGTCATCGGAAAAGATAGGGACGGGGGGTAGCTCCGGGTGGATGCAGCCGTGGTTGAGGTGTTCCGCTTCCCATGTAAGTGGAAGGGAGGTTCAATGACGGTGAGTGGGAAGAGAAGGGTGTTCCGCACTAGGCCGGAGATGACTTGGACCAGTGAAGGAGGGGAGACGGAGGAGAGTAAGACGCAAGGCAAGGTGGGTTTGGTGTAAGGCGGAATGAGGTGGATCGTAAGTGAAAGGTGCCGGCTTGGGCTGGAGCTGGAGCTGGAGCTACTAGAGCTTCGAGCTGGAGATGTACAAAGGTCTCGGACTTGCACACTATGCAGAGCCAGGTAGGGTAGATTGGTAGAAGAATGCCGGGTCGTCTGCAAAGAGCAAAGCCGCAGCGGGGGTGGGGTTGAGGGGAATGAGAGAGAAGAGAGACGGGATTAGCTCAAACGCCCTTGTTGAACGCCTCGCGTCCCCAATGAAAGCTTTCGAGACACATTGAGAGAAGACCGACGTTGGCTCGAACGTTTCGACTTACCAAGAGATGAGATGTCTTGTTGGATAGGATGGTTATCGTACAGCTAATGGTTTGACGTTTTGCAGTCGATATAGGGTATAAGAGTGTTGAATAAGCGTCGCAATGACTCTGCACGAAGACTAATGTTTGATTCGAGGTCGCGTGCTGGCGTTGGGGAAATACTGAAGTAGTGAGAGGAGAGGAAGGCGGGGTTGGGTTTATGGCTTGCTTTGGGGTCGGAGAGGAGAGGGTGAAGGTCGAGAGAAAGACGAGTCGGACGAGCAAGCAAATAAGCAAGTTTCAACAAGAGAGAGGTGGACGGTAAGGTAGGTAGGTAGTCACAAAGCTTGTGAAGATGCGGTGGCCCGTAAGGAAGAGACGAGTCCAAGTAATTCCTTCTTTGCTCGTGGATGGATAGTTTCCTTCGGGAGTTGACGGTAGCTTAGGTGGTTCAAGATGTCAGGTGCTTCTCGGGACGATCAACATTCGGCAGTAGCTGCTCCCAGTTGGGCTAGCAGAGGAAGGCGGATTGGAAGCCGTTGATGGATTCCAGCAGTAGCCTTGCTTCTGTGTGTTGTTTGGAGGAGGACCGGGGCTTCCCACTTGATCGAGATGTGTATACTGCGTAGGTAGCTTTCACGTCTCAAGAGGGACGGGTGGACGAGAGCGATGAGTGCAGTACTTTGGTACGGAACAGACAAAAAAGTATGGATGGTGTGAGAGGTGAGCATCTCGTGCGGAGTCGAGGCTATGGTGTCGATATATTTATGAGAGAGACACATGCCTTGTGCCACTTACCTTGGCTGATCCTGGTGTCCGAGACGGCATGGAGGAGAGAGATACTTGGTGTTGATGACCAGACAAGTACCTCTCTACCCAGTACATGGAAGGCATTGTCGGTATGCCAGTTCACACACACAGGGTCACAGTCGGTCGGTCGGTCAGTCGACCATTGGACTACGAGGTATTAGCCAGCAGAGACAGCGAGACATGCCAGCCCCCCTCCTCAAGCTCTAGAGACGAGAGGTAGGCTACGACTCAAAGCTTCCCACCCTCCCATCCAAGCGGCGTTGTCCCTGGCTTGGGGAGGTAACGCGCCAATGAGGAGTTGGGGATTTCACCAAGAGGCCGTGGTTGCGAAGCCAGGCGCATTGTCTGTCGCGTCTGTCTGGTGCCGTCCGGATGCGGGGTTGAATGGTTTCGGCACACCTCATCCATCAACGTGTCGGAGGCAATGAGGGGGGGGGGGGGCGTGGCTGGCCCGTTCTTGTCCAAGTACCGTGTAGTCGTACCTAGAGTGCTAGAGAGCTGGATGGATGGATGGGATGGGACAGGTTACAGGGTGGAATGGATGGATACCTGGGGAATCGCTCGAATCTCGGGAACATCCTTCGAACTGCCTTGGGCTGCAGTAAATTGAAAGCTGGGCAATCTGAATGGAGGTAATCAGGACGACATGCACATCGGTGGATGTTTGGTGTTGAGGGGAACATTGACATGTCCGACATTGGAAACGTCACCGTGGGCGCCATCAGGAGAGGAAATCTCCTGACAATCTGAGCAGATTGGAGCGGAACGAATGACTGCGACAGCGAGGTGCTCAAGGTAGGCGGCGGCTATGTTTGCGCCGTGGGAGAATGCAACCCCTTACGCAGTCGAGTCTTCTTGGACCGTATCTGTCTTTCTGCGAGTTGTGACATGCCTTGCCTTGCTTGCTTGGAGTGATACCTATTAGCGGTAGAGACCGGGTGAGACGGTGCCTGGCTTCGCCTGGGCTTGGATGACGGCACGACAGTAATGAAACGGGTGTCGATCGTTGGCTGACCTCGGGCTGTTAGGCTGGCGGGGGTTTGCCAGTGTGACTGAGGTGAATTGGGGCAGTAGCAGCTATGTTCGAGTAGTTAGGTACTCGAACCGTGATAGAGAAGGCTGGTTGCCTTTCAAGATGGCTTGGATTGCTCCGCGTCAACACGGACAAGGGAAACACCGCGGATGAAGAAGAGATGGATGGCTGATAGATGGCGTGCAAATAATGTAGCGCGTGGTGGCCGAGGCGTTTGATTGCTCCTGCGGGAGAATGAGAAGCGGTGGAAGAACCAAAGCAGATGGTCTTAAAATTGGATGGATTGCCATGCATTTCATTGCCTTCTTGTGTGTTGATACCGTTCCCTATGTTTGGTATCGCACCCAAACAAGAAGCGACCAGCTCCCTTGCTCCTTGGCTGCTCATTTGGCTTTCCCTTCGTCCTCCCGAGGCCAGACGAGAAAGCCCCGACGATGCCGATGAAGCCGTTGCATTTGGTCGAGGTACTTGATCAAAGTTGGGGTAAAGGTCACTCGCCATCGCATCGAGCTATGAATTCAAAAAAGAGCATAGGGAAGACTGTAAGAAGACGTCTGGCAGATGGGACGAATTTGCAGAGAGCGCTGTTCTCGTCTGGGACTGGCCTGCGAACTGTTCGCTGCCACCTGCTGCAGGAATGCGGGGTAGTCGGTATGCACGGACCATGATACGCTCCATGGGCGAAGAGACCCAGTTGATACGCTTATGTAATCATACACGTGCTCGGTATCGATAAGAGCTTGTGCTTGGGTCACTTGATGACCTCCAGGCCAGGGCAGCTTCACCACAGGTACCTCACCTACCTAGGTAGTGTACCTAACCGGCAAAACCTTGGACAACTTGGAAGCAGTCACGCTCTCATCCCGTAAGGCAATAGCCATGATTTCCTTCGTATCACCAAATCAGTTTTTCTTGCCTTATACTTCTCCCCCCGGAGTGGAAGCTGGAGAGGAAGCAGAGCATCAAACTTGGGCTCCTTCCCACAGACAGATGCCAATGGGGTGACGTAGCTAACTAGTTTCGCTCCCCTGTGCTTGCCAAACAAGCGCACTTGGCGCCAGGATTCTCGTGGGACGAGAGCTGTCCCGACTCCCGCGAATGATTTTAATTCCAGCTCTCAAGACTGGCTGGGCTCGAATAGCCTCTATGCTGCCCCCGTATCTCATGCACCATACTATCCACTCGGGTCGTCTTATTTCGTCACAGCTTGGCAGAGCAACATGATTGGTTTCACACCTCTGCCACTTGCCCTCGACTCACCTTGCCTCACCGAAACGACGTCAAAATGCCATGCGCCTCGTTGGATCCGTCCGTTGGGGCCACACCGGCTCCCCTTCAGCCCGCCATGTCTTACCGAGAGGCATCTTGTTGGAATTGGGAACCATTGAGCTCGCTCAAGATATTGGGCTTATTGTCTCTCGGGCAGTCAGACTGTCAGCGTACGGACTACCGCTACTAGTGCTAACTCTGATAAGCTGCTTCCACCCCAAAGACCTTATTCCCGTATCATCTCCCACATTTCCATGTTCGAGCTCGAGCTCAAGCAGAAGACATGTGAAGCTGTTGAGCTACCGCAGCCCTGCAGCATCCATCCAATTTGGTCCCCAACGGCGAGCCACCCTCGGCCCTCTCAACCGCTGGAAGATACGGACGACGCAGCCATACCAACGCCTTGGGCCAGCCATCCCTTGCAATCTGGCAGAACCTCCAAACTCTATCCTGTCCGTCCACGATAATTCGGCTATAGCTGGCCAACAAGTTTGAACGAAATGTGCCGATGCCGCAACGGAAAGTCGCGGTTCAAGACATTAGGGAAGATCCCCCTCCGAACAGACACGAATCGGATTTCATTGATTGGAAGAAAACACCGCAAAAGCCTCTCTTTCTTGGCTCATATCGGCGTCTTCAACATTTTCGCCGTAAAAGCGAAGACGCGAGCGAGATAGCTTCACATTCTCACTTGTGTATCCTTGGCCTTCCTAGGGTCTAATTTGGCAAGCAAACGCCCGTGCGCCACTTGGCTGTTATTCCCGAAAGCTCGGTAACCCGCCACGGCACTGGTGGAAAAACCACCGATCCCTTGCTCTCTTTCTCTCTACTCGCAGTTCCTCTCTGCTCGTTAATACCAGCAACTCCACGATCCATCCATTTGCCGGAAATTCGTCCCGAGGGAATCCGAGCTCACCATCCCCGGTCCGGAAACGCCAAACGGCATCTCTCTCAATGAGTCAATCTGCTTCTTCCAAACAGGAACCAAGCAAATAACATGGAATATGCACCTCGGCCTTCTATTCCCTAGGGCGGAAATGTCAGGAACCTCAGGTACCGCCCCGTCTTCCCAACCGAGCAAACATCCTAGCGCTCACTTCCATGCGCGGCCCCTCCATCCCGCGGGATGACGCTTGTCCGTCCCAAGAAGAAGTGGAATGGGGATGCACGATATGACCCCATCCACCGGGCGTGGTTCCGATGCTGCTGACCGCTTGCTTGTCTATTCGTACATCATACACTACACAATCTGTCTCGGACCCCTGGTTTGACAAGATTGAACTTGCATATTTGATGAGCCGCACTACGTACCCGTAAACCGATAGCACGAAGCGTCCCAAAAGAGATCTTCCGTATTCCGGCTACTCGACCCTGAGAAGCCGGGATGGCACTTCAGCTCGGTTACCACAGAGCTCATATTCATGGACTAGCAGAGTCGCAGTATCGTCAACCAGCCTCCTGGTAAATCATCTTCTTGTAAACGTGGGATGACACACTGGCGGGCCAGATCAGGCATCACCAATAACACCCAACATGGACTTCGTCTTCTACCTTGTTTGCTGTTCTATCTAGACCAGTCACCGTGGTGCTCACAATCTCTCAATCTCATCCAATCGATTGACCCCACCCCCGTCACAACCCGGCCGCTCCCGCACATTTCATATCCTTAAGCCGAAAACCCTCGCTCATCCTCATCATCTCGGCTTGAGACTCTACAGCCCGGCCGCGATCCAGGCTTTTGAGAGATGCAGGCTTTTCCAGACCCGGAATGGGCTCCCCCGGAAAGGAGCGTGGAGGGCCTCAAACATGAATAGACCATAGCCTAGCCCGAGCCTCATCATCCAGCGGTTCATGGCTCGGCTATGTTGTGATGCCATCGCTTCTTGCGGCTGGCTATTTGGTAGGGAGGCAGCCCGGGATGGGTCATGCTGATGTTGAGGTATCCCCCCCACCCCCCCCCCCCTTTGACGGCAACTTGGCTGTAAAGTGTCGATTAGACCTTATGACAACATTTGATGGCCAAGGTCGATTTGCGCCTTCATTACATCATATCTTTGACACTGCCTACTTGACTTTACTACTCTAGTCTGAGAATTTCCGAATTGCTGCACATTAGTGATGTTCCGTATTTGATGATTTTGGAGTGCCAGGCATCGCATCATCACCCACACCACCATGCTGTCTCGATAATGGTGTAATTAGATGTTAGTAACGTACCTTCACTATTGGAGGCGCCGGCCTCACAATGTTTGTTATTACACGGACGGTGCTGAGCAAGTCTCAAGGACCCGCCGAGGTATCCCAAGCACCAGATAAAACTATAGTCCGTAAGTCGGAATTCATAGAACTTGGAACCCAAACGAGGAGGTACAGCATGGCGCTGTCGTTCACAATGTCTGGGAGAGCACTTAATTATCTTGGACACTCGCATGCTTTGTGTAGATATTGTCCTTGATCTCCCATGGTGCCACGTCGCTCTCTTGGAAACGCAAGCGAGGGCTATTTGGCGAGGTTCAACACAATGTATGTAATAACACTAGCGAATTACATACACATCACACGGGGGAACTCCTTTTATAACCGCAGTAGGCAGTCTATTTCTTAGATCTGCACGCATCACGTTCAGGTGACCAAAACTTGGAGAGAGGGCGCCTGGGATGTTATCGCGAACTAGCAGTAGACTCCAGAATTGCAGCTGACGAGCACCTATAGCACCTCATCTCACCTCGAACTCGCTCGTTTCCCCGCCGTAATGGGAACCAGATCTCACCACGCTACCATGTCCCCATGTGTCGTGGACCTCGCTGTCAACCGTCTTCGACTCTGATGGCGCGTACAACGCTGTTCGTCCACGATTCTGCGACGAGATAACAGGTCTTGACGACGCCGATGATGCGATCCGACAGAAGCGGCTCGTAGAGTGAACGAGGAAAGACTTCTCCGGCTCATAAGAGGCTGCTCAACATCTTCATTGCGCCCGATAGTGGCCATACTACTTCATCACCCCGACTCAAGCCTGAGACCTGTATTCATACTTTGGACGCAGTAAGGACAGGCTGATTCACTGTTGTTGTCAAAAGGCATAGTCACGGGCTGTACTAGACTGCAAACTCAAGCATCAAGTTGGCACCTCCACGTCTGACTGGATCATGTCACGAGAGTAGCTTGGGTGGAACAGTGCAACAGGGGCAGGCAGAGGAGAGATAATAGCAGCCAGCAAAGTAGTCACGTCAGCACTGAGCAGAGTATCTGCCATGTACCTTGGTTGGTACAGGCCAAGATACCAAGTGAATGCCTTAGACCGATGGCGACGGAGAGAAATCGTTTCCTATGGACATGTCAATTACATTAGACAATGAGATCGAGACAGGATGGAAGGGTATGCTTACATTATGCGTTTGACTCTTGCCGCAAAGTGTGTCGAGGTTGACTAGAAGTTAGTTGAAGTTACAGAAACAAAAAGGAATGAATGACTTGCCATGTTGTTCGGCCTTGTTTTGACGAGTACCAAAGTACCTGTCGAAAATTGTTGAAAGTTAGTCAAAGCTCATTGAGACATAGAAGGACCAAAGGCTTACTTACCATGTCAACCAAGACTACTCTACCGAGTCGGGCAGATTGTGTCTAAATGAAGGGATATTAGTTTAAGCAAATTGGAATAGAGAAGGGAGAGAAGCTTACCATGATGTCGAGTTTGATGGCTGGATCTAAGTTTGCATACTCAAAGTTAGTGGACTGTGACAGTTCAGAGGTGGATGGGGAAGACTTACAGATATCGCTGACACGTTCTATGTAGCAAGAATATTGACATATATAGTAGATAGATAGATAGATAGATGAGATGAAAGTTAGATCATAAGAGCGGGAGTACAATGACCCTCCCGAACGAGGGACCTATCGAAGTTAGCTGACCAAAAGGGGGGCCGAACGAGAGTGGGGGAGTGAGAAAAAACAGAAAACAAAACAAGCACAAAACAAGATCCCTCAATGGCTCCTAGAGCCAAAAGGGAAGAAGCAAACATAACAAACCAAACCAAGACCAGATCCGAGACCAGTACCCAAGACCAGTGGCCAAGACCAGTAACCAAGAAGAAGGAGCCAAAAAAGACCTAGGGCCTAAGACCTAACCCGAGGAACGCGGCGGGTGATCTTGAGGGTGACTGCCTTCATGCCCTTGGGCTGGGTCGTGATCGTGGACGTGACCAGGTCAAACTCAGGCTCAGGCGCGGGAACGGGCACGGGAACAGGCGCAGGCACGGGCGAACGAGGACCATAAAGCTCCAGCAAGGAAGAGATCGATCCAGATTCCTCGGCAGAACCAGAAGAACCAGGGGACCCAAAAAAGCTGGAAGTACCGAAAGATCCGGTAGATCCAGGGGACGCACAGTAACCAGAGGAGCCACCAGATCCAGAGGAGCCAGCGGAACCAGAGGAACCATGAGAGCCGGAAGAACCAGATGATCCAGATGATCCACGGGAACCAGGCGAGCCAACAGAACCAGACGAGCCAACGGAACCAGACGAGCCAACGGAACCAGAGGAAGAAGCGACTGGGGATCCAGAATACACAGGGGAGGCGGCCGGCGAATCCCACTCTGCCAGAGCTCCAGGGAGCTCGGGAGAGGCGACAGGGAAGGCGCCCTTGGTCCAGGAGTATTCCGAAACCCGATCCTCTTCCAAGGTCGAGTCCCAGTTGGAGATGGTATGCGGCGTAGGCGAGTCCGTGCTGTAGTCGTGAGAGGGCGCGTACCGCCTCTGGGGAGCAGGCCAATCCGATAGTAGAGCCCGGATCTGCGCAAACTTCGCCTTGGCCTCTGCGCTGAGCTCGCGGGCCCGAATCCGTTGCCGTTCAACGCTGCGGTCGAGGGTATCCATCTCACGAGGAGGAGGAGTACGAGGCGGAGGCGTACAAGGCGGGTCAACCGGATCACGGAACAGGGAGCCAGACTCCTCAACAGGGGCATCCACCGAAGGTGAGGAAGTCATAGGCGAAAGGGACCAGGGCTCCGGAGTCCTAATCATCCTTTGCTCTGGGGTCCTTGGCTCCGGGGTCCTGGGAGCAGGAACAGCGATGGGGGCAGGTCGACGCTTAGCGGTGTAAGCGCGGGCCAGGTTGATTTGCCGGTCGGCAAAGGCCATCAACTGTTCAAAGTCAGGAGGAGGTCTGATGGGCGAAACCAAAGGACGGGTTGGCGAAGCCAGAGCAGGATCAGCGGCGTCGTCCACAAACGGATCCTCCAGGTTGGAAACGGAAACCGAACCAGATCCTGGAGAACCAGATGAAGCAGAGCGAACCGAAGACGAAGGGCTGACCCGGGGAACCGACTCAAAGTAATGGGACATACTGAGAGTGAAGCCACGCGGGGACAAACGGGGAGGAGTGCAAACAGGGCCAACAGGCTCCGTAACCACAGTTCCAGCCAAAGACGGAGAACCTTCCAAAGGCAGAGGACCAACCCGGGACTCAGGACCTAAGTAATGGGACATACTCAGGGTGAAGCCATGCGGGGACCGACCGGGAGGAGTGCAAACAGGTCCAACAGGAGCCGTAAACGCAGAACCAACCGATGGCGAAGGAGACCTGACCAAAGGAGAGCCGACCGAAGAAGGACTGATCCGGGATTCCGGCCCTAAGTAATGGGACATACTCAGGGTCCATCCATGCGGAGGCCCACGGGGAGGAGGAGTGGTTACGTGCACAGCAGGCTCCGTAAACAGAGAACAAAAGCCCCCAGAGGAGGACTTACCAAGAGAGGACGACACCGTGATCGAGGGCCGAGTAGCTCCAGTCTGGGGTTGACGAGGAGACGAGCTACGGGCAAGCATCGCGGGGGGTGCCGGGGTACCGATGTACCGGCTAGAGAAGACTGATTAGCTATCAAGAAGACAAAAAACCCAGAGAGGCTGAAGGTGTGAATAGTTACAGGATGGGGCGGACAGCGCTTGTGACGGCGGCTGCGAGAAGGCGGGGGACGCGGCGGAGGAAGGAACCGAGCGAGGCCACGAGGGTGCTGGCGTTAACGGGGGCAGGGACTTGAACCCTGGACTGCGGACCGGTCTCAGACGGGCGGGCGGCAGCCGAAGCAGGCGAGAAGCAGAAAGAAGCCATCGTAGCAAAGCTAGAGCATCAAACGATCAAACCGTGAAGAGGAAAGGAAGAAGGAAGATTGGGGAGTTCGAGGAGGAGAGGTAGAAGTAGACGGACAGTGCACCCAGATCAGTAACACCTGATTGGCCAGAATGGCCCACCCCCTGAGGGAGTGGTTGCAAGAACGACTCGTAGGGCTGGACACTAGGCCTAATGTAGTGTAGCGCCTACACTCGATCACCCGCTAGGCCTAATCGGGATGGCGCGTCTGGATTGTCAGATGGAAGGAAAATGGTATGAAAGATGGGATGACGGAGGCGCAATCCAATATGAAGAAATAAAAACCGTATCATTATCTTTATTATGCCTATTTGAACCTATGTGCAAGTTTTCCCGAAGAAAAAGGCCTGTTGTGGCGAGAGATACCGCGTCGAGGGTGGAATTGGCGGTTATAAGTCGAGGGGACGTCGGGAGCTGGCTGAGAATCGTCGATTTCTGGCTTCTGGCATCGAATAATCGCCGCGCAGATGAGATACTGTCGTGAAAATAGAATCAAAAGATGGAGCAAGTCGGTTGGAACATTTTGATGGCTGGATATGCTCGCGCATTACCGTGCGGTTGAGGTAGCCGAAGGAATAGGTCGGATTCGGCCACGATATGCCATCCTTCGTCGGGAGAAATCATCGCAGCATTTCGCAGCGCACATTGAGGTGCATACAAAATTAGTTTCAAAGTACTCTCAAGACTGCCAGCTTCCTCTCGATGTAATTTGAGCTCATTCCCTTGCGCCGTGGCATCGTGGTTGCTCATCGTAGCGGCGACGCCTTCCCCGGTATTAGGATCGAGCTTGCCGCTTACCTCGTCCAGGAACAGCGCGTAGCTCCTCTGGCTTCAAGCTCTGTAAACTTGGTCCTCGATTCTCTGTCAACAAAGAGTCATAGCCCGGAATCAGCGAACCGTAATTCGCGGCACAAGATTGACGAACATGGGCAAAACCACCGCTAGACAGTAACAAGGACCACAATCAAAGGGACGATCATCAGTAAGAAGATTTGCTGTTCTATTGATACTGCTGTCTAACAAAGTTGAAAGAAGCGTCTTCTGAACAAGCCCTGCCACCGATGCGCCCTCAGCGTCGTTTCGACCCCCTCACCGAAGAGGCGAACCCTTTCCTGGTGTCCAAGTTGAGCCTGCACCGAAGCCGCCACTTGATGTTCCACCTCCCGGAGCCCCCGGCGTAGAGGGTGCCTCGTTGGGTAAGGGAGGAGGCGTGTCTGTTCTTTGGACATCAGCGGCCTGTCCGCTCCTAGCAGGCGGCCGGAAGTTGACGTCTCGTCCGCCTCGATAGATATCTTGAAGCATCGGTTCCAGGATACCTGCATCTTCGAACTCCAAATACTTTCGGTAAAGCTTCAAAGCTGTCCGAGCATCCTCGATCGAGTCGTGTGTCTCCAGCTGGATATCTTCCTTCAGCAAGTACCAAGCCAAGAAAGCCAGCGAGAGCTTCCGGAGGCGGGATTTCAAGAAGAACAGATCGATCGTGTCGATGACCTGGGACTTCGGTATGTGTATGTTGATTACTCTGAAATCCTGTTTGAGGCCATGGCCGAGGAACTTGCAGCCTAGGTTCAGCAGGATCCAAAGCTTCTTGTAGGCAACCTTCAGCGGCACAAGATTGTGCTTAGAAATGCGGGGATCCAGATCATCGTGAGTTATACCCGAGTACGATGTCAGATAATCAACAATGGGCTCTCTGATCGAGATGTAGTCGTCGATGAACGGCAGGCCTTCGTCCTCTCCTTGGCCCCGGACGACCGAGGCTCTGGCTAGGGCGTACACGATCGGCCGAATTGTCTCTCTTTCGCCGTCGGAGTTCATCTCGATTTCGGGCTGACGGACGGCGACGAACTCCGTGTCTAAAGCGACGATGCTCTCTGGCCCGGGTCTTTCACTTGCCGAATCGAGCGCTCGGTACGTCTTACCGTCGTTATGAGGGCTTGATATGTCAGCGGGCTAGCTAGGACGGCACATTCAGGGAGGGAACCAACTTGTTATCTTCGTAAAGGAGGGAAGTATCAATATTCTTCTTCCAGTCCATATCGATCTTGTTATTTGCCTCCTTGATCTGGAAAGCAATTACCGAGGGTGTCTTCCACGGCGGGTGGAACGAAAGGGCTTCCTCGGTGCTCACAGACCGAACTAGGAAGTCATTGAACAAGTGCCATTGACTTGTAGCCGGGGCGGTTGGCTGCGAATGGGCAACTTGGACTTATCAGCATCGCCACTCCACAAGCAACGAGGATAACGTACCGTTGGCCATTGCGACCAGGTGAGGTTTTTGACCCGGGCCTGGGTCAATATTCATAGCCATGCCAACTAGCGAGTACACCGTTATGTTGTGAATACCACGCTGTAGGTGGAGCTTGAGATCCTCTCCCTCATAACAGAAGAACTGGCCGTGGTCTACTATGACGCCAATTTCTTCCGGAAGGAATCCGGGTGTCGACCAATACCGCCTTTGCTCCGAGTTCCCGATTGCTGTGTTCAGCATGAAGACGGCGGGGATATTATGGATGGTCTTGCGAGTTGCGATGGTCTGGTATCGCTGGCACCGACCACACCAACCTTTTGACGTTGTTTCCCTCTCGACACTTGACTTCAGGATTTGTGAAAACGTCACTTTCGGCGCTTTCTGACCCCGGCTAACGTTCTTCTGCGAGCAGTTAGCGTTTGGACAGGAAGGGAGAACCTTGGCCGAAAATCAGGAAGCTAAGCAGTCGGCGAAGCTGGCCACATGCGAGTTACGACATCCGAAGACGACAGCCAACACATTTGAGAACACGGACGAAGATCACAGTAGTTTGGACTTACCCCTGTCCCAGTTGTTTGCGGGTACATCAGATCGTTGACAAAATTTGATCCAGGACGAGTGTATTCGAACCTGCAGTTGATACACCGAATCGAACTCGTTGCGGAAGTTGTGAGCATCTAGAGACGGTCAGCCACTGCAACATTTTCCAACTTGTATTTGACGAACCTGCTCCATCATGTTCGAGCCAGGCGGCATGGAACGATAATCAAGGACAATCTTCTCCAAAAGGAACCTCGTCAGTCCCTGCAGCATCACCGTTAAGGTAGAGCCATTCGATTCTTCTTCAAGGAGGCCAAGATTGGCGGCTACGAAACAGTCAATATTCGCCGCAGACACAGAGAATTTAGTCACAGACATTGAGGGTGGTGGCTGAGTGTCTTCAGCATGTTGGTCGCTTGACAGATTGAACCTTCGGCCTTTTGGAGCATATCGAACAGGAAACCCAGTTCGCACAACAGACAAGTATCCGTAACACACGCAGTAGCCGCGTGTTGGAGAGCCATGTTTCGAATTAGAGGCGTAAAGTTCATGACTTGCAGCAAAGAGTTGGCGTATGAGTTTGCGATATGGATCTCGAGTCCAGAGTACTGCGTTCTGTTGTAGAATCTGGACAAGGTTAGCAAGCCAAACCATTTCAGTGCGATAAGCTGACATACCCAAAGTCAAAGTCGTCAACACCAAACTTGCTGTACTTGATCTCAACATTACGGTACATCGGGTGACACTCTTGTTTGGTAGGGTCGATTTCCATTTGCATCAGAGAATGGGCAACGTCGTCAACCTTTTCGTCGCCGCTAGCATTGCCGACTGTGGCCATAGCAAACTCTCTAGCTTTCTCGCTGAGGAACTTTGGCGCAAGGATTCCCGAAGCGTTTCCTCTGTCCAAGTTCCGAGTATCTTCAACTTGGTTCCTTCGAAGGCCCCGTGTATTCCGTCCATAGTGGCCAAATTCGGACTGTTTGAGGCCCGCAACAAATTGGGGCTCAAGTTTGGTCGGAGGAGCCCCAACATCAGAAAGAAGATCTGGCCAGGCGGACAGCAGCGCCTCGCGGTAATGCGGCATGCCAATAGAGTTGAGAGGTCTGGTGCTAGGTCAGTGATCGTGGCACATGTCACAGATTCAGCACAGAGAGGCATTACTAACGTATCGGCAGTCCACTCTATGGTAGGTAGAGGCTCTTCCGGAGTTGCGAACTCAGTTTGAGAGGCAAAATCGACGAAGCGGAGTTTCGAAGGGGAGCCCCAGATGTGAATGTTATGATCCGCATCTACCAGAGCCACGGCTTCGCCAGATGGGGCGATTTCGAACATGGTAAGGTAGTTCATCGTGTTGGTTTGCCGCACATTGCTAGTGTTTGGGTTCATCAGATCAACAACGTGCATCTGGCCACTTGTGGACATGACAATGCTAGTCGTCGACATTCTTGGGTGCATTCTGACAAAGGCAGCCCCGGCAGGAAACGGAATCGGCGACATGGACGACATTTTCTTGATATCAAACACATTCAAGAACGGGTCGAGCATGTAATCTCGTCCTTGCCGCAGTGAATAGCCGCAAGTGACGATGAAGTCATGCTGAGCATCCATATCGCTGATCAAGGCGGAGTGGGCGTTCCAGCTCTTAACGACGGAGAAGTTGACCGCGTCGATCAGGTTGACTGTGCCGGTCTCTGTGGCGGCGCAGATGTATCTGCTTTTCTTCATAACCTTATATGAATACGCGGTCGGAACCTGGGTTCATCAGCAAGGCGTCATCATCGTCATACCGCCGTCGAACGTACCTGCTTGACCACCTCTCCCTTAGCGAGGTCGATCACAAACATGGTGTCCTGGAATCCAGCAACCAGGATTTCAGACGTCCCTTTGGACGTAAAGCTCATGCATCGTAAGTCTTTCATATCATCGTGTCTGCGTTTATGCTGTCAGGTAGAATTCCAATAGGTCAGGTTTTATGCTCCCGCACCTTATATGCCATATCGGAGGGCCTTTCCGCGAAGCCATGTGGATGTCTCGAGACCCTAGTACCACGACGCCCTTGTCATTGACGAGTATTTGTCTAACCGGGCCGTCGGATGAGGTATGGGCCTTGAAGGACGTATAGCGCTGAAGCTCGCTGCGGTAGAACGACGTGACGCGGCCCTAGAACACGATCAGTCTTTGTCGTCGGTAAGAACCGAATCCAATGGCTCGTACATAATCGTTTCCTGTCCACAGCAGCTCTTGAGCCGTGTCAAAGGTCATGGTCGACACGGGCGTCGCTGCGGCGTGGATGCCCGGAGGCGGAAAGGGGATGCGAGCGACCTATCAGCCATGAAATCGGTTAGTTCAAGGTATGACTACCGGACGAGACGTGCGATATCCGCAAGCTAAGCTAGCGACAAGAAGTGCAAGGCTTGCGACGAAGGTGCGTCGCAACGGGCATTGAGGGGTGACGATGAGCTTCAACGTACCTCGTCCCAGTCTCCGTCCATTTTGGTCTGCGTTTCCTTGCCCAAATGACCATAGTAATGGGAACAGAAGAAACGACGTCAAAGGATGGGCGACAGACAGGTCGCAGTCGAAAGGTCCAGGACAACCAATATTGGGCACAAAATAGAGCAGAGCACCTCACTGAACTCAGATCGCGACGACGCCGGAGCTTCGCGCAGCTTGAGCCTTGGGGCAAGCGGGCAGAGACAAGGTGTCGCGCGCCCGAAAGCTCAGCCACTTGCATGAGCCGGACAGGGAAGAGAATGTGGGGGAGGGATGCTGAGCTTCTTTTCCGACTTCTCTGCGCTTTCTCCTCCCCTCCTCCTCTCCTTAGCTTCTGGGCTCTGGAGTGTGACGCACGCTAGCCGGCGTATTTCCGGAACTGGGTCCAGGTGAGACAAGCCCCACCCAGCTCCTCACCGAAAACCATCGAACTATGGGTACCTTACTTGTTGTCAGGGTTGAGTTTGGTAACATATTCCCTACTACTAACGATCTATTTTTCTATGGCTCATATACCTTCTCATCTTTGTTCACTACACAAAATAGCGGCTCAAAGCCGCGCCTATGGGTAAGTATCAAGTTGAAACTTATAGCAGCGCTCTAATAGTAGCACCGACAACCAGCGTCTCTCAACGAGTCTCGAAACACCATGGCCGGCGCGTGGATACCATGGAACGTCTAAGCGTGCCATGTGGTAGGGAAGTTTCCAAGTCTACCTCCATCCACGGTTATCACCGCGCCGTTACAATACGCACCAGCTCTCGAAGCAAGGTACAGCATGACGCCTGCCATGTCTTGCGAATCGCCCATTCTTTGAAGAGGCACCATCTCCTTTGGGACACTGCCGTCCTCAGCGTAAAGCTTGGCAATGGGGGCCGACATTTCGCTCGGGAACACTTATTGTTGGAGGATCAGTATGAATCTGAATATTGTTCTCAGAGGAATACTCACAGCCAGGAGCAATACAGTTCGCTCTAATGTTCCAACGGGGCAGGTTACTTGACAGTTGCTTGATAACCAACGTCGCGGCCGCCTTGGATTGGCCGTACGCCCAGCCGCCGGGAGCGATCTTATTGAAGGCGGCAATGGAGCTCGTCGAGACGACCTGAGAGCTTTGTGATAGGTTTCCCTTTTTGTTACCAAGGTCAAGCAGCTTCACGAAAGCCATGGCTGTGTACCACACAGAGGTGACATTGATGTCAAAGACTCGCGTGTAGTCGGCCGTGTCATGGGCAAGGTGCTGCTCGGCCCATTCCTCAGCTGTCATCTCAGGGGTGGGAGCCTTGACTTGCGGTCCACCGACACCAGCATTGCAGACGAGTAGATTGACAAAGCCGGCTTCCTTCTCAATGGCTGCGGTCGCCTCCCTGAGGCTGTCCTTGCCACTAACATCGCAGACCAGAGGAATGATGCTGGGTCCCACAGATGCGGCAGCTTCTTCCAGGACCTCTTTGCGCCGACCGAGGATGTAGACTTTCTCGGCGCCATTGGCAGCCAAGGCTTTGGCCATCATGAGGCCGATTCCTGAGTGATTTAGCACTTTCACGGTAGATATGAAGCTATCGCGTAAGTGACTCACCTGAGCCACCACCAGTGATTGCGGCAACCATGCCCTTGACGCCAAAGAGGTTGCCAGCTCCGAGAGCAGCGAGGTCTTCCTTGTTCTCAGCCATTTTTGAAATTACACAGTATAGAGATTTAACTAGGTATAGTTCTAGTTTTGAATAACTTCGCGGGAATAACTACTTATACGATTTGCCAAACAAGACTCATTTGTAATAGCGTAGGTCCACGGGCTATCTGCGACGGCGGGGTGCTTCGAGTGCCCCTCCAAGATCCAAGGGAACGTCATCCATGAGCGCTGGAGGAGCAGCTGTGGCCAATAAAAACCGTCAAAACCAGTAGCTATCATTTATGACCAATCGCATTGTACAGAATGCGACCCGTAGCGGGTCCTTTCTCTCGGCGAGCGTTCCGCCTTATCGATTAGATCTTTAAGGTCGCTGAACCACATTTTTTTTTCTGTTGCGATCCAGCTTCGAGGTTCGACGATTGATTGCCTGCGCATGTCCATCTAATACCCGCGATAGGGAATACGCACGATCCGAACTCGAACAAAAGCACAGACATGGTCAAACGAAAGAGGTCGCGCGAGGATGATCTCGAGGCGAAACTTGCCGACTACAAAAAGGAGATTTTTAGGGCCATCAAAGGCGCAAAGGGACTCGAGCGTCAACGGTACAGCAAACGCTTGCGCGATGACAAGGCGTCGCCAGACAAGGTCAAGCGGTTGGAGAGGGAGATCTTGGTCTTAAAGGTAAAGAGTTTGCCCATTATTCCTAGGTTTTCGCCGCTGATCATTGCTTCCACCTACAGTCCCTCGACCTCCAGCAAACCGCCGACGCTCACCTCCACTCCTCGCTACTCAAGATCAAGCAGATCGCCGAAAGCCCCGCTCTCCCCGAAGAAATTAAGCAGGGCGTGCCGAAGCCGGATTTGTCCGAGGAGGAGAGGGCGGCGCTGCACAATGTCACGAGCGGCCTGTTCAACCGCCCGCACGTCCGGGAGGCCGTCGACAAGGCGGTGCGGGGCGTATGTCTTATCCTGAACGTGCCCATACCAGACAAGAAGAGCAAAAAGGGGAAGAAGGATTCTATCGCGGCTACTGAGAGTAAGAAGCAATTAAAGGACGAGGTCGACGATGAACCTAGGGAATCGAAGAAGGCGAAGCTGGTGGATGCAAAGGATGTCTCCGCGAAGCCAAGGGCCGAGTCTAAATCAAAGGAGACAGAGGTAGAGGCAGAGGAGGAACCGAACCCATTCGACGAGATGGACGACGAGATCCCAACGGACAGCGATGTCTCGGAAGGCGGAAAGAATGCAGACGCCGCCAATGAAGAGGAGGAGGTCGACTCAGACGAGGAAGAAGAGGAAAAGGCCCTGTCCAAGATGGAAGCCATGCTCGGCGGCTCCGACTCGGAGGAAGACAGCCCCGACGAGGATCTCAAGGCCAGGTACAAGGCTTTGCTAAGTGAAGTCGCCGACGAAGGGGACACGGCCGACGACGAGAGCAACAGCGACGACGAAGACGAGGACTCGGACGAAGAGATGGCGGACCCGGACTCCGACGCAGAAGACAGCGGCAACGACTCGGACCGCCAACGCCGCATCAACGCCGCCAACGTCTCCCTCTCGCCCGAACCGGAACCAAGCAGCAGCAAAGAGAAGAAAGTCAAGCGCGCAAAGAAACCCACAGGCCGGCCCGGCGAGACGACGTTCCTACCCTCGCTCATGGGCGGGTACATTTCAAACTCCGAGTCCGAGGCCTCGGACCTCGACCTCGCGCCGCCCAAGAAGCGGCTTGGTCAAAAGCAGCGCCAGGCTATCTGGGAGAAGAAGTACGGCGCGTCGGCGAACCACGTTAAGAAGCAGGCCAACGGGCAGAGGGGGGCGGGCGGCGCGAGGGACAGCGGGTGGGATATGAGGAAGGGTGCCGTGGGCGCCGACGAGGACGGCGGGGCGAGGAAGCCGTGGAAGAAGGGCGTTTCAAACCCGTTGGGCGGCGGCGGCGGCAAGGGTAGAGATCGCGGCGGCAGAGGGGAGGAGAAGAAGAAGGCGAGGGTGCCGCCCAAGAAAGACGATGAGGGGATTTTGCATCCCAGTTGGGAGGCGAGGAAGAAGGCCAAGGAGACGCAGACTACGGCTGCGTTCACGGGTACAAAGATCACTTTCTAGGTCCACGATGTAAAGCGAAATACCAATGGAAAATTCCAAGTCAACTGTGAAAGAAATCATTCGCTGTCTGCCTATGTGGCTAAGGTAGTTACTGGTATGCAAGTGAGATAGCCATCACCTGTGCCCCTTGATTCGACCAAAAGCAAAACGCATATAAGCTCCCAAATTCGTCGGGCTCGGCACCGCAATTGCTCCAAATCGCTTGAAATTTGTAAGAAACGCCGCAAGATATTGATCAACCGCAGAACCCGCAAGAAATCAATGAGTGAGATTCAGGACCCATCCTGGCGAGTCAATGTCTTCGTTTTTTAGTGAAGGGACAGTCATCTACGCTTCCGACGCTTTGAAGACGCGAAAGCCTAGGGAGGGCAGTCTCCTGCTGTATGACGGGCGGGATGTATCCATAAATCCCTTCATTACCGCTACGGCGCGAGGCGGTGGCCATAGAAGAGCTTGGGATACCGGTGAAGTAGGAGCTGGCATCGTCATCCTCTGTCGTCAGATCGATGGCGACTCGCATTGCCGACTCGTCGTATCCTCTCTTGCGCAAGGCATCCGTCAGCACGGTAGTTTCACGGCGTTGTCGATAGTGTGACATTGACGGCGACGAGCCGCCCACGAAGAGGCCGTTTCCGCTGCCGTGAGATCTCTCGCTCCCGGCTGAAGACACATGACCAATTGACATTGCGTCGGAATGCTCGCGCTTGACGCGGTTGAAATTGTCTTCTTGCTGAAGGCGCCATAGGCGTATATTCATCTTTGGTGGCTCTGTGCTGTCCAAGTCGATCGGGTTGCTAGCATTGGACCCTGCCAGTGATAATTCGTCGTCATAGTCGTTCGCGAAGCTGTCTTCCGTAAGCGTTGAAGTGGTCATTTCAGTATCCGCTCGAACGCGGTGGATGTGTGCTTTCGGTGTTGCTTCGCCAGAAGCCTCGGATTCGGTTCCGTCTAGGTCCCTATCGGGCGTTGTGGTCCTAGATCGGGCGACCTTCTTTCCCTTCCCAGGACGTGGACCCTTTGATTTATTGATGGAGCTTGACTGCCCCAATTTGCTCCTTGCAGTTGTTTCTCCTGTTCCTTTGTTGGCTCGTGATCCGCCTCGAGATACCACCGTAGCACGTTGCTGGACCGGATCCTGGCTTCCAGCGTCTGCCATCTCGATATCGCCGTCTCCATCCCTTTCCACAACTGGCGGCGACACATACACTGCGTCAAAGGCTTGACTATTGTGATAGAGGCCCTTGATCGCCTCAACGTCCTCTTGAGAAGCCTCGTACCGTGGAAGAACCGGAATCAAATTGGCCAAGTTTGCGGTTTCTGCCTTATCGCCGGTCTTTGGCATAGCCGTCACACCCTCGATATCCCTGATGAATGACCAGTCACGGATTCGATGACGACCACCTTCCTGGCGGGATATGTTGTAGTCGTAAAACTGTATGAGCTCCATCCCACGAAGTGCGTGAAGGAAATGCAGTCCCTGGAGATTTCGCAGGGATCTCGTCATGCGGAAATTGGGTTGACCAGCCGTGACAGACGCCATCCAGTCAGCATAGGCCTTGGGCTCATGACGGCGCCTCGTGTACTGCGGGCCACTCTCATCGATATGTATAATGAGAGTTCTTAGACGAGGCAGCTGGCAGAGCCAAGAAACGTCCCATGTCCTTTTGGATACATATTTGAGTGCGCCCTTTCTACCTTCCTTGACAGGCTTGTGAGTGAGGTACTGGCTGCCAACCCATAGCAATTCGATATGCTGGATTCTTTCTCTTCTTGCTTCACCGATGCCAGTGCAGAAGCGGCCAAATTCTCCAAGGCTCGAGAAGGCGAAGGTGTTCAGACCGTAGAAAGCGTGGATCCCAAAGTAGTACCAACGCTTGCAGACTGTGAGCAGAGCGAGGCGAGTGTTCGGTTTCATACCGTAGGTGATATTGCAAGATGTTCCGGAAAGGTGGAAGCGACGAGGGAGACCACTTTTGTTCGCGTTTGTTTGCGTGGGTTGCTCTGGAGGCATGAATCTATCGAGACGAGTGATGCAGTGAATAAGCTTGCTTTCTTCAACGAAGACGAATTTGATGATGTTGGCCTGTACTTTGGCGGGCAGTCGATCGAAAGGAAAGTCCTTGAGGTAAGGATCCGCCCGTGGTTGCTGGCCCTCTAAGCTTTGAACTTCCTCGGGGTGCTCATCGTCCTGCACGAAGAGTCCCTCAGGACCATTACGGCTCTCCTCAGACTCCCTGTCCTGACTGACTGAATTGGTGTCAAGACCTTCCAGCACGTCGCCTTGAATTTCCTTACTTGTGGGGCCCCTCAGTCTCAAGTTCGGATGAACATTGTCAGTCTTCGTGCTCATATTCTCCTCCTTGCAGCATAGCTTGTAGATGTCAGTATATGTCAGTGCTTTTCGGTGGGCGGGGTTCGTAAGGTATAGGTCCAGCTTCTTGTGCCAGGTCGGCTCGTGTCTATTTTGGCTGTTTCGCTTTTTCTCCAACCTGGCTATATCCGCTCTCAAAGTGTGGTTGTCTAGACTAAGTTCATGGATCTTGCTCTCGAGTCTTTTGATCTGTTCATCGTAGATGCCGATGCCCTGCTGGAACTCCGATCGGCACTCGTCGCTGCAGCCAATGCTACTGAGATTGATGGGCGGTGGCAAAGACGGCTCCTCATCGTTGTCATCAAGAGGGCCAGGCTCATCGTCGAGCTCTTCGTCATCTTCTTCCTCTTCTTCTTCTTCTTCTTCTTCGTCGTCGCCGATTTCCTCAGTGTTCTCGTCTTCACCCTGTATGGTATCCACTCGCCCATCAGACTCTATGGTCTCTTCCCGATCAAGCTCCACTTCATCTTCGGAAGTTACTTCGTCGTCCTCGGACTCGACTTCGTCGTCATCTGGGTCATAGTGATGCTGTGGCCCATCGGCCTCATTGGAACTCAAGACAACAAGTCCATTTCGATCTAGCTCTTCTTCTTGGCTCAGTACCCGCAGGATGTAGGAGCTGGTGCCTGTGTGAGCTGTAGGGCTACTGTGTCTCTCGGTGACAGCGGCTTGAGAAGGGGATCCCGTCTGAGATGAGACATGCAGGTCCTGAAAAGACCACTCGACTTCGGAGATCCTTGGAGAAGAACTGTCGATATTGCGATTGTCAGAGACGGCAGCAGTGATTGCCGGTGGCTGGACGACAACCGAGCCTTGGCCGAGAGATGCCCCTGAAGCCAGAGGAGGTGAAAAAGCAGGAGGAGAGGGCGTGGGAAGGCATCCAGGTGTTGCATTTGACCCAGCTTTCGAGATGGCTCGTGATATGGATCGCGAGTGATCTTCCATCGTGACTGTCAGCGGCCTGTCAAAAATGAAATATCCTCAAGCTGAGGCTGCCCTTGAATGGTTGTCAATTATGCGTGCCGAGCAACCAACCAACCCATGGGGCAAGTACGAGCTGAAATTAGCTACACAGAGGGCAGTAGATACTGTGAGATGTGAGAAGTAGACCTGTGAAGGTCGTGATAAGTAAGAAGCAAAGCTGCCAAGACGTAGAGAGCAGTTGAAGTAGTAGTCCTCGTAAGAAAAGGAAAGAGTGATGTGCCTGATCACGGAAGGTGCCACTTGCTGCGGAAAGAAAGACGTATGCTTTGAGCGAGGCTATATAAGACTGCCCTAGGAGTGATCGTAAGTCGTGTGCAAAGTATGCAGCTAAAGGTTGATTGATCGAATAGTGAGCGTAAATTTGAAGCGGCCCTGGCGGTTGAGGTATCATGTAATGGAACGACCGGGCTTGAGGTACAAGCAGAATCAATATACCAGATCCGAAATAGAACGACTGTTGAAGATATGTTGATGAGAAGACGCGTCTGGGCAGACAAGGTCAAAGTCGTATGGTTGTGTAAAAGGAAGAATAGAGGCAAGCTCTTGTGTATGTGGCAGCCAAACCGTATAAGTAGCAGTAATATCGAGAAGGAAGGAAGCCTCTCAAGTCGTAGCTTCTTAAACCGGAAGAGGAAAGTGCGGGTTCGTTCGATGTATCCTGGTAATGAACTGTATATTGGGTCAGAATGTGAGAGAAAAGGGTGAACACAAGGCCAGGGTCGGTCTTCAACAACGCAAAGCTCGCGGCAGGCGATAGCAATGCCAGCCAAGGTACCTGATCAAGCAAAGTTAGATGTCACTATGGCGAGCACATATCCTACCGTTGGCAAAGGCCACGGAGATAAAAATGTGAAGCCCAAAAGTTTTGAAAATGATTGCATTGCTGGGCGCCAGAATCCAAAAAGCCCCGGTGTTGGTATCTGCCTGTACAAGATGTACATTCCTCCGGTTGTCTCTCTCTTTCTCTAAAATTTTTAATCTGTTCCATTCTAGGTGCGGATTTAAGCGTTGGTCTTGAGGGTGCGGAAGAAATCCATGACGCCGGTGAAGACGACGAGAAGGATACCGCCTCCGGGACCGAGACGGAGGACCTTGGGCAGGAAACCCTTGTACAGCGCGCTGAAGCCCTCCTCCTTCGCGACTGTGGCAACGGCGGGCCAAGCCCAGTTGTACTTGGGGGTCTGTCCGGGGACCTTGGGGCTGTTCTGGATGCGGGACTTGACGACGTCCATGGGGGTGTTGAGGATAGTACCGACGGTACCACCAATGGCACCGGAGATCAGGTCGTTGGTGACCTGGCCGGCCTTGTTCTCGGCCTTGGGGAGAAGCTCGCGGACCTGGAAAATGCAGCCAAAGTAACCGGCGTTCCAGACAATGTGGCGCCACATGGTGCTCTCGAGGCCATTGTACATGGCCAGAACACCCTCGGCGGCGACGGTCTTGCGAATAACGTCGAGCATGCCACTGTACTTGCCGGCAGAGGCCTTGTCCTGTAGTCTAATCTTGACGAGCTCGAAGGGGACGACGACGAAGGCCTCGGTGGCACCGGCGCTGGCTCCGGTCAAGATGGAGAGAGACTGGTTCATCTTGGCAGCGCCGAACAGGTTGCGGTAGATCTTTCCCCACTCGTCGTTGGCGGCGAACTTGGTAGCACGCTTGGGAGCCTCCATGAGGATGGGGGCGGTGATACCGCGGTAGAGCGTCGCAAAGCTGCGGTTCGTAAGCTTGGTGAGTACATTTGCGGAGGCCGAAGGAGTGGTTTTGCCTACCCCTCGTTGCGGACAATCTTGCGGAAGCAGTCAACCATGCCATTGTAGTGGTCGGCACCTACGCCCTTGCCGGTTTGGAGTTGCCTGGACGTTCGGGTCAGTCGGGGTTTGCGCGAGTGGCTGGCGATCGCGCAGAGCTTACACTCGTGTCTTGACGACGTCCAAAGGGTACCTATTGTGCGGGTTAGCATGGTGGCCACGTGAGCGTGTCGTAAGAGGATGGTTGACTTACATGACCAGAATCTAGAATTGCAGAAAGCGTAAGCATATCTCGTCACTCCATTACCGTGTGGCATCGTTGTGTACTGACCTCCGAGACACCGGCAATGGCGCCTGGATGCAGTGGTCAGTATTTCGGGTCCGATATCGCGACGGTGGGGGGATTTCGGGCAACGAACCTGCGGCGAACTGGTACTGGAAAGGGAGGGGCTTGTCGGTCGACATCTTGACGGTAGACAGCTGGGAAGTCGGTGGTTAGCTGGGAGAGGAGAGCAACGGCGGGTGCAATTGAGAACTCACCGAGGAGCAAAATCAATCGGGCGGGTTGAGGTGCGTAGGTGGGAGGGTTTGAGGAAGCGCTGGGAAACTGGAGTGAATTGGATGGAGCGGAAAATCGAACGAGGTACGGAGTCTTAGCTTTAGCGGGAACTGGGCTCTTATCGCCAGGGCCCCCGGGCGGAGGTCCCTTATCGGCCTCTTTTTTGTGTGTGCAGCTCGCACTGAGAGTCTCAAGCAGCCAGTTTCCAAGTTACCGAGCGGCGCCGGACTCCACCGGATGGGCTCTTGCAGCGTCTTGCTCATCGTCCCTGACACTTGCGAGGCTCATGATTGGTGCGCTCTTCTGGGACCAGCGGGATTACGTATTGGCATCTCGCTTTGGTAGCATGGCGGCACTGCGGCAGCGTGGGCAAGTGGCTTTTTGGGACGTTCCGGGGACCTGGGGGGGATCTTTCTTTACCCCAGGGCCCGGGCCACCTCATCTTCCTCTGCAATCCATGCCGAGATGCATCTGCCACTGCGACGGTGAGACAGATTTCATGTGCCGTCTATTGCCGAGATTCGGGCGACAATTCCGACTCAAATGCGATGGTCATTCTTCACATTGATCTCAATGCCATACTTTTCAGTACTAGGCGTGCCAGATATCGCGGCTTCGAAGCGGTAATGTATCATTGTACATCGTTGACAATGGACTCAAGAGTAGGTTAACGCAACAAATTACCTACTCACATACGCTAAACTAGACACACCTGTTTGGAGTGTTGTATCTGAATAAGGCAAGTCATGACGATGGCAATGGGGCCTTTCGCCGAATAACACTCTCTATATAAGATATGCAGGAATTCAAGGTACATGCAGATGACCGGCATTGGTTGCCAATAACTAAGAGCAAGCCCATTGCGCCTTACCTAGGTTCTTCGGTATCTTCCCCATTAGCACAACAAGGAAGCAAATGGCATTCGGTAATATGCAAGCCTGCCGAATGGAGGCTCATCGCGTGCAGGCCGAATGCGATCCCGGCGTTTCGAGGGCAAAGAGACCGCAGGCGGGGTGCAGCAGCTGGCGGGGGATAGCTCCCCACCTCATAACGGCCTTAGATAAGCACACAGCGTGTACCTGTCCTATGAGTCGGGAGTGGCAGCTCTTTCATTGTTTCGTTTCCACCACTGCTGCAACTGGGGCAAGTATCCGCGGATTTGTTTCAACGCTTTGGTCGAGTGAAGACTGATTCTACCTTATAGATACAATAAGTGAAAGTAAATTTGAGAATTCTTTCAGCCTATCCTACCTTCTTTGGGAGACGTAAATAAGTATACCTATGTGAACCTAGTAAATGTAAATTCAAGTTACCTATGGATTGACTTGTATGACATGATCAGGTACCCTAGATATTGACATAGATCCAGGGTGTTTGGCCAAGTCACAAAGACCTTGAGTATTGCACACTAACCAATCACTTTACGAATTGAAAAAAGTAGGCTGGAAAGTTCTCACCTTGTCATCGCCGTGACTTGGGTTCTCTTAGAGAACATGCTTACATAGACAGATTTCCTGTGACTTACTCGGCGTGCCAGGACCAGCATGTCTCAATCCCCAAAAAGTGCACCGCTGCCCGCTAGCCACCCCACCTGAAGCGACAAACGGGAAGCTTGTCTGGCCTGCAACCAGAGCACAAGCTCCCAGCTTCGAGTCCGATTGGCTGCGCCATAACGCACCAAGGTGCCTGTCACCTACCTTACCTTCGCTGCATGCCCCCCCGTGGAGCCGGGAATTCGCGGCGCGGCGGGCTCTGACGCGCACAATTGGCGACTTGAGGTGAATACCTTCAATTTCCATCGCCAACCCCACCCCCGATTCACATCTCTTCGCCAGCAACGACCCTCCTACAACCGTCGTACTCATCTCATCTTCCGTTCATCTCGGTCTTTCTAGGAATCAACACCAAAAATCGCAGACCCGCGACACCGTTCATCAAACCGAATACCCTCGCCACTCGACTGCTACTACGCTACCGTATCTAAGAGTCATAAGCTCAACGACCAAGTGGCAACTTCGATAAACCCCCCCCTCTCTCTCTCCCTCTCTCAACTCTAGGGCTTTGTAACCTCACAACATCCTTCGCGCACCATCTGGCCGCCCTCGAACCGTATCGATTCAATACCCACGATTCCGCTCTTCTCGCGCTCGGAATCGCACCTTTAAACAAGCCGTGATCCCAGAGACTCACAGCGAGGTGCTATCCAAGTGCTGGAAGGGTCCCTTGCCTACCATCTGCCCATGAGTCACCTACTTTGGAAATATTACTGGGAAAACGATGTCGACAGGTTTCGGCGTCTGCTCGTCCCGGCCGGCCATACGGCGCAAACTGCGACAAGGAGCCCGGGCATAGGTGCTGGACCCCTTGGGGGCAGTCCCGGACAATACGGAACTTCTCCCCGGAATCTTAAACAACGCAAATCCTCCGCCGTCGGTTTCGGCCCAGCTGGATCAAAGAATGCCAATAACGCTCTCGGAAAGGCTGAGATCAACAGCCGTGATCATGCTGGCCTCACAGTACTGCTCCGCGCTGCTTCCTCGACAGATTCGGCCGCCATCCTCTTCGTCCAGGCCCTGCTCGACCACCCCTCGATCGATCTATATGTGCAAGACCCCGAGAGTGGCTGGAACGCTCTTCATCGAGCACTCTACTGTGGAAATATCGCCATTGCACGTCTACTGCTTGAACGAGAGCGCAAGATCCTTACAGAGCAAACCCTCGGAGTCTCGGTCTCCAAGGTTGGGCAGTTGATCAAGACGAAAGACCGCGAGGGCAACAGTCCTTTTGATCTCTACAACTCAACCATTGCTGTGCGAACACTGGGAGACTCTGGGGACCTCAACGACTCTGACATCGACTCGGATACAGACAGCACCTCAGATGGAGGCCAGGCGTTGATGAGATCAGTCGCTGCACTCGATGGCGCAGCGGAAGGCGAGGAAATCTTTGTTTTTGGAAGCAACCGCAACATCTCACTTGGTGTGGGCGACGAAGACGACCGGCAGTATCCCGAGAGGATCAGCCTAAAGCGGCCGGATCAACTCATCCGCAGATTCTACCAAGAGTACCTGGAGAAGACCAAAGCTGTGTCTCATGGTGCCAGCCTGCCGGATGAAGATGTGGACCTGGAAGAGATTCCAGCCCTCATCCGCAATCGGCCTCTGCGGATTCACGATGCTGTTCTCTCAAAGCTGCATACCGCCATCTTGACAACTGACCCGGTTTCAAACTTGTACATCTGCGGTGTTGGCCGCGGCGGGCGACTTGGGCTAGGCGACGAAAATACGCAATACCGCTTCGTGCCGGTACAAGGCGGTCTCGCCGACAAGAAGGTGGTGCAAGTTGCACTTGGCCAGAACCACACTATGGCTGTCACGGATGCTGGCGAGCTATGGACCTGGGGCTCCAACAGCAACTCCCAGCTAGGATATGGCTTGCCGCCGCCAGCCAGACAAGACGAAGAACCGATGAGCACCACCCCACGACAAGTGTTTGGGACACTCAAGAAGGAGGTAATCCTGGGCATCGCAGCATCGGCCGTGCATTCAGTCGCCCATACCTCTTCGTCACTGTTTTGCTGGGGTAAAAACCTTGGTCAGCTGGCGCTGATGGATGCGGATTCGAGATCTTTGGAAGTCCAACAAACTCCCCGAAAAGTCGCAGCTTCGCTCTTCTCTTCGCCCATCGCTGCAGTCTCCGCCGTAGATAAAGCAACCACCGTCTTGCTGGCAGACAGCACCGTCTGCGTCTTTACGAGCTACGGTTACAACTTTGTCAAGTTTCCTTCCCCTGACGTCTTTGTAAATCACCAGTTCACCGCATCAATGTCGACTAGGTACAGTACAGTACGGAATCAGGTCAGCCGTATCACATCCGGCGGCGAAACGATTGCGGCTGTCACTACGAGGGGCGATCTCTTCACTATGGCACTGATCCACAAGTCGGATGCGACTACGACGGCAACTTCTACGACAAATCCAGCCAAGATCAAGGGTGCCGTCACGACACCGCAATGCGTGTGGAATGCTCGGAAGGATGGTGTCAAATCCGTCAGTGTTGGAGAACACGGCGCTGTGATCATCTGCACAGAGTCTGGAGCGGTTTGGCGTCGTATCAAGCGCGCTAAAGCGAAGGACGCTGCCACCCCGGGGTCAGCAGACATCAAGAGAAAGGATTTCAAGTTCCAGCGTGTACCGAGTATCACCAATGCTGTAGCTGTGCGAAGCTCCACCTTTGGTGCATTCGCGGCAATCCGCAAGGATTGTGATGTCATGAAGGAACAAATCAGCATCAACGAGCAGTCGCTCTGGGAGGACTTCGCCTCCCTATTCGCACTACGAGAGTTTCAGGCATCGACGCCCAAACCCGGCGACAAAGACACAATCGGTTTCTGGAAAGCCGAGGAGCTGAAGTATCGGATAGGGGAGCTGCCGTACGAACTCCTCAAGTCCGTGGATCTAGAGCGTGACTTACAACAATTTTTCCTAATGTACCCGAACTCGGACGTTGACATGGAGCTTCGCACCTCGTCATATCCAGATGTCAAGATTCCGGTGCACTCATGGATCTTGACTGCCCGAAGCTCTGTTCTGCGAAGTTTGCTCAGCGACTATCGCAATGGTGGTCAGGGGAACATCCCGCAAGTGCTTAGTCTCGAAGAAGGAGATGGGAGGACGATAATCACCCTCGAATCGGTCGACCTGCTGTCTTTGATGAATTTGGCTGTTTATCTTTATGATGACACCGTCGTCCCGGCATGGAATCACACTCGCCAAGCACCCGCTCTAGCCCACAGGTACCGCCAGGTCCGCAATGAGCTGATGAAGCTTGCGACGAAGCTTGACATGATGAAGCTGGAGTCGGCTGTCCGTCTGCAGACGACCGCGGAAAAATCACTGGACAAGGACTTTGCCAAAGCCATTCAGGACCTAAGGTACTTTGAAGACGCGGATGCTCTTGTTGAGCTCGACGGCGAAGAGGTACCGGTTCACAGCCAGTTGCTGCGCCAGCGATGCGAGTTCTTCGAAGGCCTGTTCCATGGGCGAGCCGGCGGCATGTGGCTTGCTGGCCGTCGCGATGAACTAGACGAGGAAGAACTTGTCAGGGTGGACTTGAGTCATTGTGATCCTGAGGCGTTCCAATATGTTCTGCGATACCTCTACGCAGACGTCGGAACGGAGCTCTTCAACCAGACCACATCAGCCAATATTGACGATTTCTCTGACCTGGTAATGGGCGTCATGAGCATTGCGAATGAACTCATGCTAGACCGGTTGTCCCAGGTCTGCCAATACATCATCGCACGTTTCGCCAATGCTCGAAACATCGCCTTGCTGCTCAACGAGATCAGCGCATGCTCGGTTACGGAGTTCAAGGACGCGGGGTTAGAGTACATTTGTCTGCAAATGGAGGCTGTGCTGGAAAACCACTTCTTGGATGGCTTGGAGGAGGATCTCCTAGAGGAGTTGGATAACGTTGTCCGAGAAAACCAGCTAGCTCGCTATCCTTTCGCCAGAAGTGGACGGGCCGAGCTGCTCTTGTTTGAGAAGGACCCCGATCTGGCTCTCGATATTGACGAGGAACGCCGCCGAAGAGTACGCGAGATGGCCTTCCGGGTTACGCAAAGAGACGACGAAAAGAAGATATCATCATCTTTCAAGACCAAATTTGGCAGTCTTGAAGACTTGTCCGGCGTCACGTCTCCCAGTTTGGACAAATCTCGGCGCAAGTCCAAGACTGGCCGCAACGAGCCGTTCAGTCCCAGCCTCAGACCCAAGGAATCCCATGCCGATTTGATGTTCAACATGGACGACGAGGGACCTTCCGCTCTAGGTAGCCCTACAGTATCACCCACGCAAAGGGCTGCCGAGGCCAAGAGCCAGTCCGAATTGGACCGGATTCCGTCGTTGTCTAGTCCCTGGAAAGACACCAAGGTTCAGGCAGGCTCGCCGCAATACCCAGTGCAAAGCCCCCCGATGGGTACATCCGCCAACCTCGGCATGAGTCCTTCACCGACAGACTCACGTGGGCCGACTGCCCAAAGGTCTGGCAGCCCGTGGGCAGCAGCAGCATTTCCAACCCAGAAGATGGACCTGCGTCGGGTTCTGACGGAGACGCCCACAAAGTCTGCCTTGTCCGCCGGCATTGCCGCGCAAAAGAGCAAGGAGGCGTCGCCGAAGCCCGCGCAGCCCAAGGTATCGCAAAAGGAGCGGAAGAAGCAACAGCTAGCACAAGCCGCTGCTCAGGCGGCTCTCGAGGCTGAGGTCTCGCAGCCGAAAGCAGCCTGGGACAAGGACGCAGCTGGCAACAAACCCGCCCCCTGGAAGCCTGTAACGAGCGGGCCGAAGACGTCGTTGAAAGACGCACTGGCCAAGGGCTTGGCTAAACCGGTATCGCCACCAGTGGACAGCCCATCTTCAAAGCCGCTACTCTCAGTCGAGAGTTCAGCGAGATCTTCACCGCGGAGGGCAGCTTCACCGGACACGCGGTTCCCGGGTCAATCACGCGTCAGCAGTTCCTCTCCAGCCGTGGCCGGCGCCTCGACGAGTCAGCCTGCGTCGTCGAAACCGCTGGTCCCGCACTCCAAATCTTACATTACGCCCGCGAACAAGGCCGAGCCCATTTTGGGATTGAGTATGGCAGACATTATCGGCCAGCAGAAGCGGGAGCAAGAGATCGTCAAGGAAGCCGTGGCGAAGAGGTCGATGCAGGAGATCCAGCAAGAGCAGGAGTTCCAGGAGTGGTGGGACCAGGAGACGCGGCGGGTGCAGGAGCAGGAGGCGAGGCGGGAGACCAAGGATAAGACGGCGAGGGAGGGCAGGGCGCAGAAGGACGGCGGCGGCGGAGGCGGCAGCAGTAGCAAACGAGGGCGTCGGGGCCGGGGCGTCGCCAAGGGTAAAGCATCCGGTGGCGTTCCTCCGGGCCAAGACCACGGCGCCACCACCGCCAGCAACGCCGGTAACGTCGATGCCGGAGGGGTACCACCGGCCAAGGCGCCCGGTGGCCCGGCGAATAACTCCCGAGGGCGTGGTTACCGTAACCGGGGGAGAGGTGGGAAAGCATCGGCATCCGCAGCGGCATCTACATCTTGATTTTCTGCGTCTTTGTTTACAACTGATTTTCTAGGGCGTTTCAAGGTGTCACGGAGCCCGACAAAAACCTCGAGGCATGGTTTACCATTTGGGAAACACGGCAATTGGGTTTTCTATTTTACACGAGCATTGGGGGACACCAACTTTGTGTTGTTACCAAATGTTATCAAATTGCTTTCCGCTTGGTCACAATAGACGGAACGAGAAGACAGACAGACGGAAAGAGAGAGAGACACACACACAAGAGAAAGAAAAAGAGACTTCTTCACTCCTACATGCTGCGCCCACTGCTGCCCACCGCTTCCCAAGATTTTGAAAAGACTTTGCACGATTCAGGTTCTCGTTGACCGTTGAGCGCTAAGGCATTGGCTTGGTAACGGACTTGTCCTTTTGCTGGATGGGAGGTGATGCCATGTGACCAGTGGGGGGGCAGAGAGGGAAACGTTGCCAAGAACGGTTTACTTTGAGCTACCTACTAAGGAACGCAGGAAACAGAAGGCTCTCTTCCTCCGCATCGGCGAATTTACCACGATGCCGTGCCCGCTTCCTCCTCCGATGTACAGGTCTCACAGAGAGCGTATCTATACGCAAATGTAAAAAAGGAGGGACAATGTGTGGTACTTTCGGGAGATGGGTCCGATCTGCAGACGCCGGTTCGGATGCAGCGTGCCACTGCGCCAGAACCACAGTCACCATGTTGCGTGGGTGTGTGATGCGTTGTGGTGCGCGGTTGACTTGCCTTGCCTTACTACTACGTATGTACTCCGTACGTTGGACGGGTGCGGGGGAGAGGAGAGGAGTGGAGCCCGGGCCGGAGCATGGTCTTATCGTTATCTGCAGATATCACGAGTCGGGTGGCAGTGGCACTGATAATGACTATGGCAACTAACCTGAAGCACCAAAGACGATGGTGGTGATGCTGATAAGGGGGCTGGCTGCCAGGCTGGCTGATGGATGTGCAGGTTGCTAGTTCATTGGCGATCGGTGCGATGACTCGTTTGCCCAGGGAAAGGTTGCTTGCTGCTTGGCTGCTCGATTTGGGATTGCCGCACATGCCGCCAGGGGTGGGATCACGACAACATGAACAGGCAACGAAGCGGCAAGCCAGATGGAGTAGGTCGCTCGGGGTTTGCCTTGCCACGCTTGCCTACCTTGGTATATGGGCGAGAGATCGCTTTCTCGGACGGTGCCATGTATAGGAGCTGCTGGAGGCTAGATCCGGCGCATTACAAAGTTGCCGCCCGTGGAGAGACGACGATAAGAGAGGCGGGTACGGATACTCTGTCAGTCCTGAGTCTGCAAAACAGGATGGGGGGTGGTTCCCCAAAGAAAAGAAAGGACGACGAGCTGAGCGCTACGGTGACGGGAGAAGGATTCCCGGGATCAACCGAGGACCGGGTGAGTCGAGTGCCTACCTTAGAGTGAGTGTCGACTACCGGCGTACAAGCCTGCGTACCTTGGACCCTGCCATCTATCCGCCTTTTCAAAAGTGTCTTTGCTCATCGTGGACTCGGGCGAGACAAATGTTGGCGACCTTGTTGACCTCGACGTTCACTTGATGGACACAAGGGGTTGGTTGGGTTCTCAGCCGCAGAGGCACACCGAGAAGGGGGCAGGGTGGTTGTTGCTAACACTAACAGTGCCTTGACAGTCGTAGACAAGGGACATGGCGATAAATCGAAATGATGATGGCGCTTGGATGACCCGGCCAGCTGTCAGCGAGCACCAGTATGTATTTGGACTCAACCCCAATTCTTCGCATTGCAGGGTCTGTGGTAAAGGCTGCGGCACTCCGTACAAGTCAACAAATCAACAAGCAAACACCGCTGCGGCCGAGAGAAGCGGCCCTGACGCAAGGCGGAGAAGAACAGGAACAAGCAAGACTGGTGTGACTGGCGACGGAAAGTCAACGAAGCACAAGTCGGCCGAGGCAAGGGAAAGGCGAAAGTGGAAGTGACTTAGCAGAGCCGCCCGCCACCCCTTACCTACCCCGTCATTTCTGCCCCAGAACCCAGTGGTCATGCATGGGGTGGAGTTGAGGCCATTCTGAGGTCCGGGCTTGGTACGGAGTAGGGTCGCGGCGCTGCCTAGGTATTCCCCATCCAAGACCTTTTTGCATATTGGAGGCGGCGACCCGGAGGACTTCCAGGACTCAAGCGTCAAAGATGTGAGAGCCAATCCCAGTGGATTTGATTGCCTGACCTCTCCGTATCGGGGCAAGTGTCTGTATGACTACGAGGTGCAGTCCCGGGCGCGCCCCATACATGATACATGCAGCTGGCGATGGCTTGATCAAGTTGGCGAGTGGCAGCCTAGAGGAAGAAGAAGTTGAGCCTCGAAAGTCTAGGTTGGGGTTGGTTGAACGTCGACCGTTGGAGTTGGAGTTGGAGTCAGAGATGGAGTCATGTCGATTTGAGGATGATGACTCTGACTCGGAAGGTAATCCGTGCCACCCCTTAGCCTCTTTCTTTTTCGTCTTCCTTTCTTCTTTTCTGCATTTTTGGGATCTTCTTTGTTGACATTTCTTGATACTCCGTACGGTATGTCGATATCCCCAGGTCAGCTGGGGGTAATCAATCGAGCCCAGGGAAGCAACACAAAGACTCTTGGTGATTGAATGAGGAGCATGCAGGAAGCATTTCAGGAGAGAAAAGTGGAAGAATGGGAGTCTTCACCCCACGACCGCTGTCACACAATAGAAAGGCCGGTTCTACCTGAGGTACCTAATGTATGCATCTTGACGAACGAACGGTGCAAGTACAACCAGGAAGCAAAAGCAAGGCATGGTACTCTGACCATGTACATACTTCCCGTCGTTCGTACTTTGGAGAACATCAGGGTGCTTGTATGTCACCATGTCACTCATGTCTCTACGTACTTGATGCACCTGCAATCTGCAACACTCACAACTTCGCAAAACCAACAACGCTCATCATCAGTCAATAGAAGACAGCAACTCGTAACAATACCAACTGACCTTGCCCTGTGGTGCTACAAACAACAACACCTGCAGCAACTTCAAACCCCAGCTCTGTTCTGTTCCGTCCCATCCCATCCCATCCTGCTCCAGTCAACCTGACGGAACGATGCATGCACGGGTGTGTCTTGGTCCACCGCCCATCACAGATGCAGCCCCATCGAGCCCATCCATGCTCCCCCTGTTGCTGTTCCATGCCCTGCCCCCCATGCTCCATGCTGCGGCTACTGGCTGCTGCTGTTGGCCTGCACGGCCTGGTACTCCTCCCACGGATACTTCCACTGTCCAGGCTATTAGCAGCACCTCATGCCGGGGCGGATGCGCTGCCGCTGCAGGACCCAGACCAGCCGGTGCCAGCTCCTCTCCTGCCCCCTACCTCTCTACCCTAGGTACCTTAGGTAGGTACCCTGTCACTCCTCTCTCTGTCTCTCTGAGTCCACGTCCCTATCACTGAGGTGGTGAGTCTCTCCAAGTCACTACCAAGCTCTGTATCTACACGAAGTTACTTCGTTGCTCATATGCTTATCCACACACTCAGACAGCTCCGACGAGAGATCCATGTCATCGGCTGCTCAGTGTCTCTCCCTTCCCATCTCTCTTCCATCATCCTCTGCCTCCCGTACCTTACCTCCAAATCTTCTCTATTACCTCTCGCCCTCCCTCACCTTGTGTCTCTCTTCCTAAACTACCCAGCAACTGCTCAGACAACAATCCCCTTGTCTTTGCCTACCTCAACGCACTTGATTATCTACTTCTTCTTGTCCTCTTTGCATCATCGCCTCTGGCCCTTGCGCCTTATCGCCCTTGGCCCCCATTCTGGCAACGCTAAATCTCCGTCTTCTCTCCAAAGTACTCACCACAACCTTTTCCCCATCATCACTCTTCTACACTTTCCCTCGCTCTCTTCGAGTCAGCATATCCCGTCTGATCTTTCTGCTGTGCCTGCTTCTTCTTCTTCTGTGCCATACTTAGCCTCCCCTGCCTCTTCGCTAGGTACGAACGCATCGACAAGTATACACCGCTTTACTTGCACGCCTGAATTACAGTCCATTCTGCTGGCCCACCCAGGTGACTCGATGACGGAAGGGTACTTGTCGACGATCACGAGGCTCAACAACCATTGAGCGGATGACACCAGCGCCGATAACCTCCGACTCGACCACCACGGCACCGCAACTCCGCATATCGCCGTCCATTCTTCTCTGATTTCCTCCCTTTTCTTGGAATCCGGATAGCCACACCAGCCGCGCATTCTGGAGCGGCTCGTTTGCGTTGTTGTTGGAGGACGTGCTTAGGAAGTCGCTTTCCCTGCTTGGCGAAAGCTTCCCCTCTGTCACCACAGCTTCTCGTTTCGACTTTCCTGCTCTATACCGCACGCAACCGAGAGCCATGGTCCAAGGCAGCGCTTAGCTTGTACATTTCGCCCTCGCCCTCGTTCTGCGGTTCTGCAGTCATCAAGCCCGGCTCCATAACGCCCTTGGCCTGCTTGTGCGATATCGCTTCTCACCATTCGCCGCCCGTCTCCACGTTGACTTTGTCGCCTTGCCCGTCGTTGCCTGCGTCGTTGCGCGCCTTTCCAAAAGGGTACTGCAACAACTACTTTCTCTCCGCCCGCCCTACGAGTTCTTCTCCCCCGACCGGCCGATTCTCCCCTCGCTGTTCTCTCAACGACCGAGGCAATCGAGGTGTTGTTTCACTCCCCTTGCAGTTGTCATGAAGGATGGATGAGCAAGTTCGGTACCACCCCAACTTCGATATCGCGAATACCCTCTCCCCCGCCGCCTAGAACTTCCACGAACTCGCAACACACAGCTTGTCCTTGTCTTCCCGAAGCTTAGCCTATCACGGCGGCTCTTCAGATCAATCTTGTCCTAGACTTGCCCTTGGGGCTGCAATCTGCCAGACAAGATGCATCAGCAAGCTCGACCCGCCCCACGGGTCTCTTCCCCCGCTTCTGCGCCCCAGACGAATCCCACAAGAACGAACAACCCGAGAGAAGGAATGCTTGGTACACGCGAAAGAGCTAGCTCGGGAGCGTCTGGTCGCGATTCTGCCGCAGCGTCACCCACCATCGAGACGCCTCCGGGTTCCGTTTCGGCAGATGCCGTCAAGAAGTTGGATCAGATAATTCAGGTGTGTACTACGAGACAGAGGCCCAAAGGTGCCTCGGCCAAGATCTTCCGCTAATTTGAGCGCAGAACTTCCACACCAAAGCTGCATCACTGGTGTTGCAATCGCGTTTGAACCTGAAGCCCATATATACGGCTCGTGGCTCTGGGAACAAGAAGCTGAACAAATGGGTGAGTGCTGGCTCGTTTTGAACCTCTGGTATCGCTTGCAGAGCTGGGTACTGACGCCTATGCCTCCTCAGTTTCAAATCGAGACGGAAGAATTCGACGACTTCAAAGAGGAACTTCGTATTTGGCGTAACTGCGGTAGCTTCGAGAACAAGCCTATGCCCCTCATCATCGAAACCTATCTCGATACATCACGTTTAACCCCTAGTCAGAGCCTGGTCATTGTGGACGAAAATGGTAAAAGATGGGACGTGATGGAAGCTCTCAATTCATCCGACTCGAGCGACGACGGCCGCTCTCTACCCACAAAGAGGAATACGGAGGTGATACTCGAAAGATGGCGCATTGAACTCAAGACTTTTCCCACATCCGACCCGGACGACTTTGGCCCGATACTGCCAACCATCTACAAGAAGAGCATCGTCTTCTTTCGGTCTCTCTTCGTTGCAACCAGGATTCTTCCTGCCTGGAAGTTCTCTCAAGCATCTGCAACCAAAGGCGTCCATCCTTCATTAGAACCCCGTTGTCGTGTCCGAACTGGCGAACTAGACACCGGCGGCATCGACCGGCTTAGGCATCCGTTGTATGATGGTCGCCCGGATGTCGTAACTGATTACGTTTTTGGCGACTTGGAGGTACCGGTTGGTCGCTTCTATGCATCAGTCACTTACAGAAATGAGTGTAATTTCAGAGTGGACGACTCAGAGGCATTGCTAAGCTCACGATTCATGGGCGTTGATGAGAACTTCTTCAAGCCATCACTGCCCCAGCGAACATCAAGCACCCGACGAAACGACCCCGAGGTGGGTTCTCTTCCGTCTCACAGGAGGAGTAGGACTCTTGCAGATATGCACCAGACATACGGCAGTCTCTCAACCTTTCACGGAGAGGGAGCCTTGGGCACTAGCCCTATATCAGCTCTCAAGGCTGTGAAGCCCCCTGGATCTGACACGAGCTCTCCGTCTGGGTCTGCTCCTACGAGCAATGAGCTGAACCCACCAAATTCATTACCCGTCACTGGCCTCGCAACAAGGCCCACAATGAAGGGCTTCAGCAGCAGTGGCCGACGTCCGTCCGTCTCTTTCCAGCCATTCAAGGCTGGGTCACTGTCTGGATCCCCCGTCCCTCGAACTCTCGATTCCGAATCTCCCGCATCTCCCATCTCACGCGCGGCGGCACTCAACGCTCTTACACAACCTCGCAATCGGACGTCACTGACCGCAGGAATGCCTGCCACCCTCCGAGGTGGTCCTCCACCGGCCGAAACAGCCGTAGTAGGCTCGCCCCGGCCGTCTTCGACAAGTCGGTACAGCAGCAGTTTTACTCATCGCAAAGGACGGTTATCCTTTGGCGGCGCTAGCAAAGCCGGCGATGATGAGCAAGGAAGCAGCGGTCGACAAAGCCTATCCTCGTCAGTGGCTCAGCCAGGATCAGGCCTCCTAGCAGAAGCGAGTGCAGGCGGCAGCTCCGGATCGCTCCAAACAGATGACGACCAGATCTCGGAATTCTTGAAAGCGCTGGATAGCAAAAAGACACTCAAGAGCTTCGAGTCAGGCAAGAAGGGCGAGGGCGCGACGAATCGGACAGTCGCACAGCTTTCGAGGTTCCACCTCATGAAGGAGTCGAACCAGGCGCTGACAGACTCGATGACTTCATCGATGCAAATGCAGCGCTCCTCAAGCTCATCCAGTCGACAGCTGTCCAATGTGCCAAGCATGGCCGCGCCAGCGTCAGTATCCGTTTCCTCCTCGCCTGGAAAGCCTCTCTCTCCTCACACCCCTCATACGCCTGCTGTCCCCTCACGATTGAGCGAGAACTCGATCATCAACTACAACACAAGCCAGCCGCGAAGCGACCGCACCAATCCCAGTGCAGAGAACACACAGATGCCTAGAGAGGACACCATCACCCAGGATGGGACCACTGCCATTGACATACCCATCTCTCCCAGAATCGGCACTCACCCTAGACGGTCTAGCTCGGTGGCACAGCAGAATCGGGCCATGGCCGACGATGAAGACGGGGATCTGGCCTTCGCCGCCAATCGCAGCATCAGCTTGGGGGCAGAGGATCGCGAGCCGCCCACGCTTAGCATGCTGCTGGGAAGACAGACAGAAGCTGAGTCTGCGTCTCGGCGAGCAGCGGGCTCGCTGCAGCCGACAGCGGACATCCCATCCTCAGGTTCGGCAGAGATGATGAGGCAGGGTTCGTCAGAAGGATCCAAACCCCCAGGTGGATTGATGGCAGTTGCGCCATCCAGTTCGCCATTTGGCAGGCGTCGTTACGCTGGCATGGCATCCACGGGAGGACGAGGCCAGACGCCTCCTCAGTCCTCCAGGGGAAGCTTTACGGGGTCCATTGGACGGTACGGACGCGGCGAGAATGACTTGATGGACGAAGAGCCGCTCCTCTTCGATATGTCAGAAATGGATGCGCAGTCGCGGAGAAGTCTGGAGGAGGGTCGAGGTGGTGGCAACATTGGTTCCGGATCTGGCAGTCGAGCCGACTTTGAACCTCGTGGTATCAGTCGAAGGGGATGGTGAGTAAGGAGCTCTCAGTGGTGATGAGGGACGGCTTCACAAGCAATGTTGCTGGAGGTGGCCAGGAAGCGCACCAGGCCCATCTCTTTCACTGGGTTATACTTGGGCTGAATGACACGAGCGCTTTTTATTTTCTCTCTCTGTTTTTTTCATAGGCCTACAAAGCTCAGGAGGACCTGAGGACAGGGTCCGGCAGAAAGGTATCATCGAAACGGTCTTTCATTTTTACTTCTCTTCTCCCGTATTCAAGACATATATCAACGGGTCGGAGAGATGGGTTCATGGCGTTGGATGGAATAGGAATGGCCAAGACAATTCCCAGTGCCGGCAGAGACGGCGGGGAGCACCTTGGGGAACCAAGGACATAGTACAGATACGATAGAAAATGCACAAAGACTGGCATGCATATACGCATTACCTCTGGGCCCCGAGTATATGCTATCCGGCATCGCATGAGCTCAAGCTTAGAAAATTGCAAGGGCGGAGTGACGATCCAGGGATGTTAGACGTTCTAGATGTGGCTTGACGTCGTTGCTGGTCCCGTTGGTTGGTAACTTGTTTCCGTGTTGGGTTCCCCGCAGGCCGTGATGGTGTGGCGCACGCAAGACTGACGTTGTGTTGTATAATAAGGATTTGGTTTAATCTCTCATTATCCTGTTTTTCTGTTCTTTCAATCTAGTCTGACAGCTTGATGCCTCTTCTGACGAAGAGATTTGGTCACCAAGGTATTTTGTAATCCATCTCGGGGCTACGTGGTGATTGTTGGGAAGTGAAGGGTAGCGACTGCAAGGTGAAGACTTGGATGATGCATGGATATCTACTAGAAGAAGAAGAAGAAGAAGGAAGAAGAGATTTGTAGCTATTTTAGGCAGCGGGTTTGAAGATGCTTCTTTGGAGACTAAAACAGAGGCTAAGGTAAAATAAACGCAAGAAGCCGTGGACCGTGGTGGAGCAAGCGAGGACGATGAGCCCGAGGAGGCAGGTCGCAGGACCCTCGGGCTCAAAGACGGATCAGGATCCGTTGGAATTAATTCGAGTCGAAGAAAGTCATCGTCGCAATTGGGCAGCGAAAGAAGAGGAGCCTACGGATACAGAGCAAGGTATGGAAGGCAACAAAAGAACCAAAGGCCCACGCGGTTGGTTACGCATGCTTTTGGCCGTCTCTCCTCCACACGTGTGGCGGTGCAGCAATTGCCCATAGTAAATGGGTACTGTTTTGAGCGTTTGCTGCTAGACCGCGGGTGGCAGAGGAGCAAGTCCGCGTAATTCATGGGCGAAACGGGCTCAGCCCCCCCTGTTGGGTTTTCCTGAGGTACCTTATACTCCGTACCCGTACCCATGGAGTAACTTACGCAGTACAGAGCTACCAGGCCGTGATGACGACGGGGCCTCTTTCGGGCTCTCCAAGGCGCACTTTGTTGGTGGCACCGCGGCACCGCAGCACCTTACACTGAGGTGAAGTATGTCACTCTCCGACTGTAGTTGTATGCAATGGGTACATCCCCCGCACATTCACAAAGCTGAAGAAGAGGAGCTCACACTTGGGCTGTGGTGGACGGGACTAGGTACCTAATGGTCCGGACCTTGTGACAGCCCATGGTGGCATGGCCACCTCCCAGAGCCCAGGTGCCAGATGCCAGCTAGAGAGCGTGCCAGGTTTCCCTGTGACCTTCTTCTCCCCCAAAGCCACAAGGTAATATCCGACCTCACCTTGCCTTCCATTGCCTTCAGGTTCCATACCTTGCCTTAGCGACGGATGCATGCTGCCGACTTTACTTTACTACGTATGTACATTAGGTATTAGTTGCTTACTTTATTTTCCACCAGAGGTAGAAGACGACGACTGCAAGATTCTGCCAGGTGTGCCTCAGCACTTACGCACTTACGTACCCGTCACTGATTACCTCAACCTTGGCGACCTTATCCATCACCTTCCTTTCCCTCGGGTTCACGCTTCGCCTCAGCACACACCTAGGTACACACTCGCGCGACATACCCACCTCATCGAGACGTCCCTCTCCCCAAACACCCACGACCTTCAACTCCGCCGACCCAGGCTCCAAGAACCTCCAACCTACACACGATTTGGCCAACTTTCGAGCGCACGCCTTTCACTCCGTCGTACTCGCCTAATTCCGTCCTCAACATTGCCAACCATCGCATTACATTCGCGCAGCCCGACGACAACTTGCACGTTCGCCTGACGTAGTCCACCGCTTTGCCCACTCCAGGCATCTTCTTGCCACAAAGCGCACCCGCAATATCTCCAAACCACTCGGAACAAGACAGCTTCTTGATCTCACCCGCCACCACACAGCATCTGCAGCGGCTCACAGCTTTTGCCCAACATGTTTCGAGCTGCCGCAGCTGGTCCCTTTGACGAGGGCGTCGGTACGTGTGCAGCCTTGCGAGCCAAACCCCATCGCTGGCCAACGTCGCTAACCTGTCCATCTTGCGTCATCTAGCCAAGGCCACCGACGAGAACCTGACGTCCGAAGACTGGGGAGCTATCATCGAGGTCTGCGACCGCGTAGGCAGCGATGCAAATGGTCCCAAAGAGGTTGTACAGGCAATGATTAAGCGTCTCGCCCACCGCAATGCCAATGTCCAGCTCTATACCCTCGAAGTGAGTTGCACCCATTTCTCCCCAGCTCGTTGCTGCCGCACCCATCCCGGCACACTGGACCTGTCGCTGACCTTGCTCCTCTTACTGCGCAATAGCTTGCGAATGCCCTCAGCCAGAACTGTGGCAAGAACATGCACCGCGAGCTCTCAAGCCGAGCCTTCACTGACGCCATGTTGAAACTCGCAAACGACCGCAATACCCACACCCAGGTCAAGGCCAAGATTCTCGAGCGCATGAAGGAGTGGTCCGACATGTTTAGCAAGGACCCCGATCTCGGCATCATGTACGACGCCTACTTCCGCCTCAAGCAGAACAACCCGACTTTGCAGGCCCCCTCGGCGCCCCAGAAGACTGGCCTGACCGACCTCGATCGTCAGAAGGAGGACGACGAGCTCCAGATGGCCCTAAAGTTATCGTTGCAAGAGGAGGAGAAGAAGAAGGCGCCTGCCGAGTCCAGCGCCGGCCCATCCTCTTCTGCCGCCGCCGCTGCCGGATCCTCGACACACGCCGCTGCACAGCCCCAAGCTCACTCTACACCAGTGCCTGCTGGCACGACAGCTGCCACTGTATCAAGGGTGCGAGCATTATACGATTTCGTTCCTTCCGAGCCGGGCGAACTCGAGTTCAAGAAGGGCGATGTTATTGCAGTCCTCGAGTCGGTTTACAAGGATTGGTGGCGGGGCTCGCTCAAGGGGAAGACAGGAATTTTCCCCCTCAACTATGTTGAGAAGCTCACAGATCCCACTCCTGATGAGTTGGCACGTGAGGCACAGATGGAGGCCGAGGTGTTTGCAGAGATCAAGAATGTCGAGAAGCTGCTCACACTTCTGAGCACGTCCAATACGGCGCCGAGAGAAGAGGATAACGAGGAGATATCGGTAAGTCCTACGAGTGCCACTTCAGCCCGACCCGGTACTAACAAGTCGCCAAATAGAAGCTCTACCATCAAACGTTGGCCATCAGGCCGAAGCTGATCAAGCTTATTGAGAAGTACTCCCAAAAGAAGGGTCAGAGATGCTCCACTCGCTTGTCTATGCTGCTTATACTGACCAAAACATGTAGATGACTTTACACAGCTGAATGAGAAGTTTATCAAGGCTCGCCGCGACTACGAGTCTCTTTTGGAATCATCCATGTCGCATCCTCCTCAGCCTAGTTACCACCAGTATGCCATGAGACCCGGTCCCGGCGGGTACCCAGGCGGACCGGGGGCGGGCTATCCTCCTCAAGGGCCTCCTCAAGGCCCTCCTCAGGGCCCTCCCCACCAACAGCAGCAGCAGGAGCAGAGATACTATACTCCAGCTCCCCAAGGTGAACTACCTTGATTGCCTTATTCCAAGCGCACCAAGTTTAACTAGTTTGTACATAGAACAACCCCAATACCCTCAGTCCACGCCCTCGCCGAATTTCCAGCGTCCGGCACAGGCAACGCCTGCTCCTTTCTACGTAGCTGGTGCAGAGGTCCCTTCAGCGCCGTCTCATAACCAACCGCAACAGTATCCTCCGCGTGATCAACGTATTCCATCCACGGGCAAGGCACAGGTGCCGCCGATCAACACCTCGTCACCACCGCCGGCCAACACGTACTCCGCATATTCTGTGCCTCCCAACCAAGGAAGGCCACAGAGCACTTACGGTCCCCAGGAGCTGGCAACCTCTGTCTACGACTCCCCTATTGCTACCCATAACCCGAGCTCTGCTGCAACATATACGTCCTCCGTGTATTCCCAAGACGATTACAACAACGGTAGCCCCGTCGTAGGCAATTCGACTGTTCCAGCACCTTCATCCTTCCAACCATCTGCACCACCAGTTGGGCAGCCCTCACAACCCCCTCAACAGCCACCGCAACAACACCAGCAGCCACAGTACCAGAGTTATCAGCCACCAGGAGCTCAAGGGCAGGATAATTACGTCAGTGCCCCTACTCAGGCACCGCCGCCTGTGCCAACTGGAGCAGCTCCGCCGATCCCTGGTGCCGGTCGATCTGAAGTGATGACGCCGCCGCCTCTGCAGCCCGGCGGTGCGGCCTACGATGCTAGAAACAGCCTTCCGAGCCAGGGACCATCACAGCCGCAGTACAGGGCGTATGTTCCGCCCGGTGGCGGTGCCGATGGGCCGAGCGCACCACCCGCTGCGGATTACTATCGACAGAGTGGCGTATACTAGACGCGGGGGAGACTGGGTAGTAGCAAGCAGCCTTGATATCAAGTAGATGAGGTGGTCAGTTTGGTCGGAGGCCATCCTATTAGGCGGGGTACATTTGATATTTCTAATGACTTTCATTGAGTGTGTCTGGGAGGTATCTTGGGCATGAACGGCCGCCCCTCGGCCATGCAAAGTTATGTTGTGTAGCAATCAGTCAATCGCATTGGTTGATTTTCAGGATGACGACTGTCAACTTTTTGGGAGTTGCAAAGCCCGTCTAGAGGGCATCATACCCGACATGACGGGCAATTTGTCGATTGTGGAGAGGGAGGGAAACCACCGTAGTGAAAGTAGGAGGAAGAGGAAGGCCGAAGGAAGGGTAATTAATAAATACTCGAATCTGTATACTACCTTGTCTCGTGATTGGTGTATTCCTTTGTTCCCATTGTCAATCCGCTGTCGCAGTCATGTGTCGCGAAGCAAGTGAAGCAAGGAAAGGGCGGTGCTTGATCAAACGTATATCCATAGTCGATTTTGTTCCTATCGTCATATCATAAAATGAATCCAATAACGCCAATGGTCCTGGGCTCTATGGAAGAAGCCGCCATCTACAAATGTCGCACAACTCCTAAACCGCACACTGCCTCCCTCCCGTCATAATACGCAAAACAAGTTTTCCCTTCTACTCCATAACATTGCCCACCAGGACGAGACAAGATATAAAGTGATAAAAAGGGGCTTCTACCACCGCCGACCAAACATCTCGTGCTCAGGCTTCTTCGCCTTCTTCTTCCCCGCAACCAAGCTGGACTCGGGGGACCCTTGCCTGCTCGTTCTCGCCGAAGTTGCTTGGGAGGCGGACGGGTCGGGATAAGAATCACCGAGGCCGATGGCGGGCGCTTGGGAGGCATCGCGCCGGAACAGATCCATGATCTCCTTGAATCCGAGCTTGAAGGCGTCCTTCTTCATGCCGCCCTCGATGGCCGTCTCGGCGAGGAGTCGCTTCTTGTCCTGCAGAGCTAGGATGCGCTCCTCCACCGTGTTCTCCACGGTGAGCTTGTAGACGATGACGTCGACCGTCTGCGTGAGGCGGTGTACTCTGTCGATGGCTTGTTCCTCGACAAACTAGAAAGAGGTAGGATGATTAGCATACTGTAAGATGTATATGTCTCGAACAAAACGCTGGGGTAGACTTACAGGATTCCAGAAAGGCTCTAGGATAATGACACGAGTCGCCGCAGTCAAGTTGAGACCCAAGCTACCGCACTTGAGACTGCAAAGAAGAATACGCGTGTTCTTGTCGTTGCGAAGACGGTCCAGACTAGCCTCGCGCTCGTCGTTCTTCATGCTGCCGTCGTACCGAGTGAACTTGAGCCCATCCTTGCGGAAGAATGGCTCAACGAGGTCCATCATGGACGTGAATTGCGAAAAGACAATGAACTTGTGCTTGCGGGCCTCCTTGTGGAGGATCTGCATCATTTCGCGAATCTTGGCCGAGGCCAGAACCTTGGATGCCTTGCCTGCAGGATCGTAATCGGTGTCATTGTCGGAATGCAGCTCCGACTCGTCTACACCGGTGTCTTCTTCCGAATCAGTTTCGGAGTCCGAAACACGCGACTGCGAAGATCTGAGCTTCTCCTCCTTGACCTGCGATGCTATCGCTCCTATTGAGAGAAGGCTGTCGTCAGAGACGTCACTCTGGTCGCCATTCTGACCGTGCTTGTCCTCGTCATCCTTCACAATAAAACTGTCGAGCTGGCTGTCGTCGTCTTCGTCTTCGGAATCGTGCTTGGAATCATTCGCACCAATCCACTCGCCACCCCCCTCGGCATTCTCATCCTCTTCGCCGCCGGTCTTCCCCATCCGCAATTGGCCCTGCTGGTCCTCGGGTACGAGCCAGCTGCCGTCTGCCTCCTCATCGTCGCTATCGACGACAACGTTTCTGTTTCTGGGCCTCCTCCTAGCCTTGGGCTTATACGGTGTTTCTTCTTCAGCATCTCCTCCCAAGGATTTCCGTACCACCTTCTTGACACTGCTCTTCTGCTTCTTTTGTTTCTTTGGCTTCGGCGTCTCGTGCTCATTGAAATATGCCAGGTCTTCGCGACACTCCTGGCAGGTGTCTTTGCCGCTATTGGCTACGTCCCTCGGCAACTCCCGACCGCAGACGTCGCATTGCCTTGCGGCTATGCCCATTCCGCCAAACATTTCAGCAAGAGTGTCGATGTCTCCGCGCGCGGTCTTCGGGGCGGCATCGGACAACGCTTCCCTGTCCTTTTCGAGCTTGCCTTCAAGTAGCTTTGGATGGTTACAGGCCTGCCTGAGCCGCAGGAGCAGAACCAAGGCATTAGCATAGTTGATCTTTCCCTGAAGCATTTGCTCGATGCTCTTGTCGGCTCGAGCTTCCAACCTGGTATAGAAGCGACGCTCTGCTGGGGAAAACTTTGTGGCAATTGTGACGACCTTGCGCTCCGTGACTTTGAAGCCAGTGGTGGACTTCTCGCCTTCCTTAGTTGGCTTACCGCCAGGGTTGAGGGCACCATCTTCCTTGAGGATTTCCTTCGTGCGTCGTTTCATGAAGCATCGCAGAAGGCTGTGAAGCCGGCCGATTGCCACATGGCCCTGGCCATTCTTGAGAGGCTTCTCGATTTGCTCTTTCCATTCCTTGAGATTATCGTATGGCTTGATACCGAGGAACTTGATGAGGGACTGCAGCTCCTCCAAATTGTTCTGCATCGGGGTTCCTGACAGGCACCATCGATACTCTGAACGCAGAGCGTAACAGGCTTTTGTCGACTTGGCGTTGCGGTTCTTGATTGTATGTGCCTCGTCAAGCACAACTCGCCACCAATGGAGGCCGAAAGCGCCTGCTTTGACACCCTTCTCATCTTCGGAGGAGTGACCCCATTCGGAAACCAAGACTTGGTAGGTTGTGACTACGACGTCGTAAAATGCGAGGTCCTTGAAATTCTTCGTACGTTGAGGTCCATGATGAACACAAACCTTGAGCCCGTGCGACTTGTTTACCTTCTCTTTGATCTCCGCTTCCCACTGCCTGATCAAGGCAAGAGGCGCGACCACGAGCGTTGTCTTCTCGATACCGCTGAAGTGCTTCTTCCAGCCCGCTTCATCCTTGTTGGGTTTTTGGTTGCTGAGTATCAAGGAAATGGTCTGAAGAGTCTTGCCGAGACCCATGTCGTCCGCCAGAATGCCACCCTTAGGTACCTTGCCCTTCTTCACCGGGCCGAGTTCGCGACCTCGCATCCACTCCACACCTTCAACCTGGTGAGGCAGAAGCTTCACTTTGAGACCCTCCACGGTACCGTCATTCACGGCTTCGCCTTTCTCCTTTTCTTCGCCCTCATCCTCTGATTCCATTCCGCCCTCCAGCAAAGCCTTCAGATCGGACGACGCCTTCGCAGGGTCTGTCCAGAACTCGTTTTCTCCAAAGGTTGTGGTGGGCCTAAAGGTCGAAGGGTTGGCATCAGGGCCTATGGAGCTATACAGCGTGGGTGGCTCGGGTTTCCTGTCTTGGTAGAGAGGGACTGATGGAACAGCCATCTGCTGAGGTCGGTGATGCTCGGGGCGTGATCTCCTCTCGTTGAAGATGCCTGTTGCCTTCTGCTTAAGAGAGGACAGAATCTTGGTAGGATGTCCAAAAACAGGCTGTGACGACGAAGAATGAAATGGATCGTGACGTTTGACATCCGAGAAGAATGACTCCAACGCATCGGAGTGCAGTATTGACTGCTCGTGTTGCGAGCTTGATTCGCTCGCCTTCGGAGCTGGTCGAGGAGGCGGCTTGAAGTCGTTGCGGGATATTTCGACCAGGTCAGGACTCGTTTGGCGATAGGCTGGCGGGTTGCGCCTCGCAGACGAATTCGGGATCGCTGCGGATGCTTTTGACTTCGGTGTTGTTGACAAGCGCATGGAACCGACTTGGGCGGCAAGGTCGTCGGGGTCGAATGAAGCTGAGTCCAGACTCTCAGCTCGTGAAAGCAAGTGTGCGGCACCACGGGATTCCTTACTCGGGTTGTTCGTCTTTGGAAGCTCGCGGCTGGTTGATGATTGCGAATCGTCGTTAGGGTTGACCGGGCGCAAAGGGCCTCTGGCCGGATTCCTTTGGTTAACCATGACTGTGTAACGCAGCTGCGGGCTGTCTTCGTGAATATTGTCGGAATGCAGTTTTTGTCTGCAATGAGATGGAGGGAGGTCGGAGGATGTCTCAGAGGCAATTGTGTTTCTAGGCTGGAAGGAGAAATGGGCGCCTGGTTTTCTGGAGTTTCGACGTAAAAGTGTCAGTTGGATGCTGGACTCTTGGAGGGGTAAATCCAGAGAGAAAAACAGAAAAGAAGGGGGGAGAAAAACAAGCGAATGTGGGCTTTACCAACTTCATAGAAATTTCATGAGGGGGATCGATATAGTGCCTGGACTCTTAGTAGACTAGGTAGTACTCGCCCCTTTTGTAGTAGAGTGGCTGATCGCGTCCAGGAAGCTCGAAATGTGTAAATAGATGCGATTGTTGGGGAAAGTGCTTAATTGTGAACGGGATGTGAAAGCCGTCGGTACCGCCTACTTAGCAATGACATAACTCTCCCCAGCAACGGGCAGGCAACGAGCGCGACGCCACAATATACCTTGATTGCGGGACACCTGCTAGGGGTCTTGTGCGACAGTGCACCGCCACTATCTTATGGACAGTGCAGAGTTCTAGCCCGCACTCCCTGCCACTTTGCTTCACCGAGTCTCACCGAGACAAGTAAATACCACAGTGTGCCATTATTACAGGCTACACCCTAGAAGGCATTGATTTTCTTTCGTCTAATTCAGAGGCATTTCTATTGTCTAGATGGGGTATCAGTGTATGGATCAAAACCAACACGCTTTTTCGTCTCCGTTCGAGCCCTCAAACGCTCTTCTCCCGTGAGCCCAGTCGTCGATGATTCCTCCAAGAAGAAGTTCAGGATATGGTCGTGCATCGTGAGATGCGGTGCCTGCTGGAACTCTTGCAAAGTCGTCAGTCGAATCAGCATCTCCATGAGAGACAGAGAAGTGACGACAGCATAAAATGGTGACCTCGCCGCGAACGAATCAGAACTGTTCAGCGAATGCTTTGCCACTTCTTGCGAGAAGGGCTGCGTCGGCGTCGGCGATCTCACGCTTCTACTGAAGGGGGATGACTGCACAGATAGATTCTGGATCTGTGCCATGAGTCTCGAGTCCAGCGAAGTACGGGAGTTCCGCAGGGCTGGTCTAGGAGACCCTCTTGCCGAAGTAGGCGTTGCCAACCTTGGTAAGCTAGGTAGCTGCTCAACATCATCTTCATCTTCGGTATCGCTGCTGTCCGACTCATCCTCTTCGAAAACCTCCAGAGCGATCCA